GCGATATTGTTCTTCGCCAGGTTGAGGCTCTCTAGGGTTCTCGACAGGCCTAGAGGCTTCTTCGATGTTGAGCGAGCACTATATTGAGGTGGTTGCTTTGAAGGAGAAGACAAACCGGTGGCGGTTGTGGAAATGTCGGGGAATGAGAGTGAGAAGAGGGATGGGTTCGTTGGGGTGGGAGGAGGTGGCCTGAGGCATTATAGAGCTTGGAATTATGTTTATGTATGAGCGCAAGCTCCCCGAGGGTAATCAAACCTCAGGAATATGAGTTAGGTAACTTCGTTCTTGCTTTAGCAATGGTGGTACTCAACAAGAACTACCATCTAATTCTCATCAACATCAACTACAACCTCCTCTCATACCACAATCGCTCCTTGCCTTCCTCCGACACTCTGCACCGCTGCTCGTGGTCCTAGCAAATCCTCTGCCGTTATGCGTTCCAAGCTGTTCCCTGCTACGTTCAAGTCTTGTAATGACTTCAGGGCATCGAAGCCGCGCAGTGTCGTTAAATGGTTTCTGGACATCCATAAGATTTCGAGATTTTTCAAGCCACGTAATTCGGTGCGACTAATGCGACCAACGAACTCGTTGTCGCAAAGCTGTTGTGGCCGTTCGTGTTGAAGCATTTTTACTGGGGTGAAAAAGAGTCACCATTGATTGTCAGAAAAGTAAGACTAAGATGACAAAAAAGATGATGACAAAGAAAATGATGACAAAGATCGATAGAGTTGTATGTAGGTGTCATGCAAGAAGCAGTCTCTTTTCAATTTCACATTTGATGACTTCTAACTCCAAGTATCTACATAGAGTCTCTTCAGTCCCGGTGTGTCCGATACTGGTTCCGGCAACGCCGCAGAAGATGTTCCCGAAACCTGAACATCTCCAACTCCAAGCTTATTGCTTTTGGATGCTGAAATCGTCGAAGTGTTTTTAGCTGGAGACGATGTTCCTGCAGTAGTTGCTGCGGAAAAACTGTTCTTCTTGGATGGAGATGAGGATGCTGGAGGTGAACCCTTGACACCAGTTTTGGCAGGTGCATGTGTACTAGATCGTTTCCCGCCATCTTGCGTGCTCCCTTGATTAGGATCGTGTTGTTCGATTGATTAGAAGAGGCGTACGTCTTATTGCAGCATCAGCATGTGCAACCTCCATAAGCACAACATCTTTAAGCGCATCTACCCAATTATTTCGATTATCTAACTTCTAATCTGCATCTACTAACTTCGTTCGCTCCCTACGTATTATTTCTGAAACCAGCCTTAAACTGGAATTTGACTTGTAGCCGCTGCTCCCGCTCTTCCCGACCCATGCGCTCCTGCGCCATGTGCTACTGCGATTCCCACCAGAGAACTCAGCCTATTCTCTGACAGGTTCAAAGTGTGAAGACAGGGTAAAACCCCCACTATATTGATTTTTGTAAGATTCACGCGTATCAGACTCAGGGAAACCAAGTTTGGTGTAAACTGGGACAAGAATTTTTCAATCGGAGAAGGCACAACGTCCATCAAAACTTCGATTTTTCGCATTTGTTTCAACGTTTTCTCCAACTGTTGCTCACGCTGTTCGTACGTGGTGGAAGAAGATGAAGTGGTTCCACCTGCTCCATCTTGTTGATGTAGTTCCTCTAACGTTGTACTACTTTTAGCGTTGCTAGTTTCTCACTGTGCCTGGTTGAGCGACTTGCCGTCTTCCTCCCTATTTTCCCCTAAAAATCAAGCAAGGGGTGGAACCTCACTCAGCATAGTCCACATGGGATAGTGAAAAACTAGTAGCCTTAATACTTGCTCCTCCTGTTGCACTATTTGCGGAGCCCTCTTGATCCCCAGCACCACAACTTCCACCTTTACCCGGACTACTAGAAGTATAACTCGTCAATGCTTTTTCTTGAATTCCTATGACATTGCAAAATTCCCGCAATTCCCAACCACGAATAACGTGTTGAGATCGAATTTTTAAGCCGCTTTGCTCTGAACCGGCGTTGTAGGTATATGCGAAATTGGATCGCAAAGTGCTGGCGGCTGACAGGGGTTTAGAAGGGGAAGGTTGTTGCAGTCGAGGTTTTTGGCACCACGAACCTCGACATCGGAAGAACTTCTATACTTTCCTAGTGGTGACAGGAGTAGCACTTCTTGTCAACAATACCTATTCAACAACATCAAACAAGAACAACCGCAAACACCCTCCCTTAATAGTAGACGTCGATGTAATGCGAGTCTCTTTAAAATTGGCGCCATTTCCCCCACCATCAGTCGCTGTCGCGGAGACCAACACTGACGGTGGCGGGTTCCGTTTTGAGGGACTGGAGGACATTTTCTACTGGTAGCTACAGTGGTAGTCGCGGATGTTGAATAAAAAATAGAGATTGGATTCACGTGGTAGTTTCCACTTCCTGTTAAGCGTTATTCTTTAATTTTTCTTCCTGCTATTCGTTCACCTACTCGCTATTTCTGGCTTTTCGTTACTGCTCCTCGGGAACAAGGCGATCTCTCTGGATTTCTAGTTTCCAATGGCAGAAGTCTTATTGTATCCATTGTCCTCTGAGTCTTGGCGCGGACCTCAGGGGCATGGTAACTAATAATATGGGTAACTTAGAAACAAGGACAACTTCTCTTCATTTTCTCGCTTAAATTAACATGTCCAACATGACCATCAGAGTGGTTCTTGCAGAAAGAGTTTTACAGCCACAGAACAAGAATTTATCACTCCACAGATGTACAACACTTGCTTAGGTTCGTGTGCTCTTCTTGGGGGTGGTCTCTCTCTCTCTCTCTTCTGTAGTACTGATTGATTTAACAGATACAGTGGGTTATTCTTGGAGACGCTTAACGATTTTTATGCATAGCGAGCCTGCATCCGACAAAACAAAGACGTCTCCGAGAATTCATCCGTCACTATTCCTTTTTCTGGACGGCACCCAAACATCGTACGACGAGTTTTTTTCCGTGATGCTGGCTCTCTTGCGTCACAAAAATGCCGATCGCGTTTTTTGAAGTCCAATCGCAGTCAAACGCGACTTGGTGGAGGACTTGCTTGGAACTTTCATATCAACAACAGCCTACGCTGCTCATGATAAGAGAGACCTGTTGTTAATGTTCCCACGCCTTCCGATGAGGAGTCATCTGGCGACATCAAAGCCACTTCTGGACCTCTCAAATCTCTGTTTAAACCTGTTGAGATACTAGGACTTCTAGGGCTTTTTATAGGATTAATATAATGTGCATGGCTATGGGATGTAAAATGCAGACTCGTCTTTGTATCATGAACAACACGACGACCAACTTCTACAACGCCAGCTTCGCTAGTATAACTCCTACCGCCCTTTGATAACGATGCGCTCGTTATTTCTGGTGTCCTTGTCCTATTATGTTGGAGAAGATTGCTCCCACGATCTCCTTGTGCCTCTAAAAACTCATCGCCATAAGCCTCAACCTCCACAAGTTCTCGACCATCTTGTTCTTCATCGCCCACTTCGTCCTGTCCTTCTGCAAATGCAGCATGTCTTTGGAAGGTCTGCGCAGAAGCTTGTATTGGCTCTGTTTGAGCACGAAGTCGTCGACCTTGACCTTCACCCTCAGGTAGAAAGTAAAAGTCTTTCAAAGAAGAAACTTTACCGACTCGAAGATTTCTGATATGACTATTATCTTTCTCCTTAGAGATCGAGATCTCTTCATCCAATGCAAACCTTTCACCCTTCTTCTCCTCCTCCCTTACGAACAATGCCGAACGAGGATGAATCGTTCTAAACTTTTGGACTTCTGCTTCCTCCTCCAAGCTACTCCTCCTAGCAGAGACTGCGGTGCGACTCCGAAAGTCTGACAACATTTGCTGCGTATCCTCTAAGAGGGCAAGGGCGTGAACTGCGGATTGTTTGCCGGAAAATGTAGTGTAGTTGTTCTTGGTTGTAGATCGATAAACATTTCTGGCTTGTTTAGTACTAGTTGAGATCGTACCGGCTGTGGGGGCGGCGGACACAGTACTCCCAGTACTCCCAGCAGTTATTTCCGCACTTGTAGAGTCATCAAAACGACCATCATCATGCTGATCTAGTACTTCTAGTTGTTGCACAACCTTCTTGCCTCGCCCTCTGTTTCGTATCTTGTTCAGCATATATTGGATCTCGTCGTGCTCGTCTTGATACTCATGTACTCTATGGTTACCATTTTTTGTTGCACTTCTCGCAGAGGACAATGACATTAACTGCAATGCCTCTTCTTCAACGGCTTTACGGGATTCAGTCAATTCTTGACGTAACTGGTTTAGCGCGTCTCCTAGGACGAGGCAGCTTTCAGGATAAGGGGGCTGCGTTGCTGCCCCCGAGAGGAAGAGGATATTAGAAGATGGCTCTGATGTGTCTGAGGTCGTTGTTTCCGTGGCCAGAAATGCTGGTACTGCAGATGAAGTTAAAGACGTAGCTCTAGCTTTGTCTTCACCTGGACGCTCTCGTATATCTCCGCTCCCTTCCTCGTCCCCAAGTGAATAACTTTCGCTACGACACCTTTCCGATCTCCATCTAAGCCATGCTTTGCGAAGAAGGATGTGCTGTTTCTCGTTAAGCAGTGGACGCAGATGGTCTGGAGCTTCTACATGATCAGCCTCCTGAACACAATTTATCTTACTTGTCACCATTTTAGTATCTTCGTTAAACCCTTCGGAAGTGCAAGAACTCGTGACTTTTGACGATGTAGCTGTGCTGGGGCCACCAGTTGTAGTGCTCTCTTTCGAAGACGTCAATTAGAGGCGTCGGGAATTCATCTCAGGGATCATCTGGGTCCCTTTTTCCTCTTGTCTTTCTCTTCCAGATGACTTTGGGTTTGGAAATGAATTCCCTACTTACACGACCCATAAGTCAAAGATACACCTCCTGCTTGAGGACTTCTTGGGTCTACTTTGCTCGTCTGATTCTTATACAGATTCATCGTTTTTTGAGGATTAGGACTTGAACTTGAAGACGTTGCTGCAGGATTGCTTGTGGTTCCATCAAAAGGTGGATGTTCACTCTCGTTCTTGGCAAAGTCCTCCTCATCTTCGTGTTCGTCCTCATCCACTTCCACTAAGCGACCTAGTGGAGACTGGTCGGGTTCTTCTTGATAAGCGAAGGTTTTTAGTACTTCTTGTTGATCTTCTAGAAGAAAAAGGCCTTTCTTAACCTTGAATGGCACTTTGCTCTCTTTCCACACGATCGTCAGTCCACGCAGTCCTCTTCTCAAAAGATGCCGTTTGTAACTGCCAAAAGCTACCTGGTTCAAATACTTGCACCGTAGCAGCAGTCCAAGAGCCGCAGATTGAAGTGCTAACGTTGTCTCTTGCAGGCTGTAGCTTGTCTCTCGCAGGCTGTAGCTTTCAGCTGTTGGGCCCACTCCTTGCTCGTCATCGTCGAGAACAATACTTTCATCTTCTATCGGATCTAATGGCGATGGCTCAGGTATGTTTAGAGCGTCGCTCTGAAAAAGATTAAGATGATCTGCAGGTTCTGCAGCTTGTGTGGATGCTAGTACTTCTCCTGCTTTGCTCCTCGTTGCACTAAAAGTCTTGTTCAAGAACTTCGTAGACGTAGTGTCGATCCCCACTTCCCTTCTAAAGCCAGTCTCTGCGAAGGGTGTAAAGTCGCATAATCCTGAAGCTAGTAGTTCAGTCGCCTCATCCTGAAAGGGATTGCCACCTGCACCATTGGGGACAGCACCGACTGGAGTTACCGTTACGTTCTTGATATCCTTAGCCGGGTGGATCACGGCTGCTCTGGTCAGAGGAGATGGAGATTTACGTGCTGCCATTTGAGCAGATGAAGTTGAGAAAATTGGATTTCCTGAAGAAGGCTGTGCGCGTGTGTCGACTTCATACAATTTCGGATCGTTTTGCTCGCTATCGACGACATTGCCGCTCGTATGGAGATGGCTACCTTCCCTCCAAGCCTTGAAATATCTAGGCAGCTTGTAGAGACGAAAAAATTTGTCAGCGATTCTTGACAGTTTTCCTACCCAAATACTGTCGTGATAGGGCCAGGCAGTACTCGATGCGTAGGAGCTGCCTGGAGATGAGGCTCTTGAAGCAGCTATAGAAGTATTACTAGAAAAGGCAGAAGAAGATGCAGGTGAAATTGACGGGAGCTGCTTATGCGCAAACGTATGACGCGGAGGTGAATCAGGTAAAGGAGACGACCACCTCGTCCTCGTCGTGCTGCTCTTACTCGTTGTATAAATTATGTCTTCTCTACTCCTGGAAGCTTGTTGTTGCTTGGGGAAGTTGATCTTCCGTATTCTCTCAATACGACCTACAGCAAGGTTCGAAGTGGCATTCTCCAGAAAGGAACTTCTAGGATAGGGCCGACTAGAACTCGAAGTAGATGACGTCGCAGTTGATCCTAAACGTGGAACAGCAGGTGGGCACGCATCGTCAGGCACTACAGCTGCTACAGGTACAAGTAGGTTAGGACTACTTATTTGACGTCGATCTTGTTCCCTAACTTCTCTGTAATGGCCTCCACCTCCCGGATTCCCAGGGTCTCTGTCTCTGTAGTGATCAATGCTAGTACTTGTTGTTCTTGTTTCTTGACCACTCCCAGAAAGACCACGTGATAAATTTTTATCACATGTCGGCGAATTCCTATCACGATCACGTGTCGGTGCACAAAATCGAGCCAAACTACCTGGACGAAAACTTGTTTCCCCCAGCCGCTTTTGTTGTGCTTGCCATTGCTCAGACCTAGTAGCATCCGGTAGCTCAGATCTTAGTCCTGTTGCTATCACAGAGGACGTTCTCCTCGACTCGAGGATCGAACCAGGTGGAGCAGGGGCTCCTTTTTGCGTCTGTAGTACATGATCTGTTCCGTCTAGTACTGTGGACGATTTCCATCGGATACTTCCTGGTTGAGGATGCCCTACTGTACTTGAGAACGAAGGACCTGTCCTTGAGTACGAAGAATCAACAAGTGGTCTCTGAATCTTCAGAAAATCGTTTACCACATCGTCATCCGGAGTACTGTTCGCGTTCGCAACTTCTGCAGGAAAGTCATCTGCGTGGTCTTTTGTGCCGTTGCTCAGGAGGTCCTCTGAGGACAAGAAACTATCCAAATCCATATTGGTTTGTAAATTTGTCTTCTCGAGGTTTCTTATCCTTTCATCCTCTGAACGTGAACCATATCATAGAAAATATTATTGTCTAGTGTAACTGCTCAACCATCGGTTTTTTCACTGCTATATCCCAGCAGAAGTTGTATCAGTATTAAGTGTGAAAAGAGGAACCTGTACTGTGCACATGGTTCTATTCTTTTAAAGCGGCCAATTTGGTATTAAAAACTTATACTTAAAAAAAAAGGTTAGGTTAGGTTAGGTTGGGATCTACCATCCAATGTGGCAGACTCCGAAGGCTACTGAAGAGCCTAGCAACGATGATACCTAGATCAGAAAACCTACTCTATCGTTCGATACGTCCCTACGCTAGACCGATCACCGCCGCTGAAGGACCGTGTACACCGTGGCATCAACTACAACTTCTCGTGTCAACAATCCATTACTCAATTCCTTGTTCGAAAAAAAGTATTTTACACCAGCTGCCATTTTGCAACGCTGTGAGGCTTTCACCTGGAGCCCCCTGCCATTAATAGCTGCTTCGGCTTCGGATTGGTGATGATATTGCTTGGGGCGTCAAAATGCTTTTCACAATTCCTCTGTTGATGGGGACATCGATCGTTGTAGCAGGAGTTGACGAAGTCTCGTCGTGATTGTGAATCGACCTTTTTTGATTCAATCAAATGTAAAGAAATTGAAAAACTGCGAAAGCATCAAAGGAGGTTACAAGAAAAATGGAAAGAAGTAGACAGAGTAGTTGTAGCGTTGAACGGTGTTCAGGTAGTTGTAGCGTCAAACAGAGACGTGAGAAAGCAGCTCAAGGTCATTGTGATCAAAATCAAAATAAAAAGTGACTCGAGTTGAAAGAAGAAGAAGCAATAGGACGGCCTGGCCTGAGACTAGCCTAGTCCTAGTCGTGCAGATACAACTACATTGAAAGCAGGATGAGCAGCTCATCAATCACCATCATGGTGTCCCATATAGTGCTACTTAGTACTTAGTATGAGCTGGAGGTGGTGCTGGACGAGCAGAAATTATGCGATATAATAAGTAGTCTATGACGATTCGTCTGTGAACAAGTAGATTGCCAAACTCAAGTAGGTAAACAAGTTGTTTCAAGATACAAGAAGAAGAAAGTCATCTTATGTTCGTCAGTCCCTCCACTAATTCCAAGAAACCTCAGATGATAATCATAAAAATGGGAAGTACAAATATCTATAATACTGGTATCTCTACATCAACACGAAGCTAATCATGCTTGATTAAATGAAATGGAGGTTGTGGTTGTGTTGCGCAAGGGTAGTTGTCCTTTAACTATGAAAACCGAGGTGCTACAGTTCACGCTGCCACGAGGCGCAGGCTTCCCCCCTGCTCAGGGCTGCTGCTTCACCACTCTGCCTCTAGCCGTGTTGAACAGTCAGAAGTGAGTCTGAATGTGAAATTATATTTCTTTTTTTATTCCTTCCCCAGGATTGGATCGGTGGGCACGCTTGGCACGCTGGGCGGCCCAAAAGTGGGTCTTCTGCGAAAGATGTCGCCCACCGTGTGCCCACCGTGAGACTTGGGGCAATAAAATCGGGGCGCCCTTCAGGCGCCCACTTTGAAGCCCCTCAGCAGAGTAAGCGCATGCGTCCTGGATCCGCAGCAAGCTGCATACGAATCGGGGCGCCCACCTAGTTGCCCGCCTGGGGATATCCCTCAGCAGCACTGGCCCCACATTGCAGCAGAGCACTGAGTCACACTGCAGCGCTGCGCCGCACTCTACACACCCATGCGGCACTGCATAAAGCAGCGAAGCACCGCAAGCAGCGAGAACGTGGCCACTCCGCAAAGGAGCACAGCGCCCCGCCGCCCTCGACTGCGGCCCTGTGCATTGGCGGAAGCAGCGGGGGAACGCTATACGCGCCCAGCGTGCGCCCACCGTGCCCCCCATGTGTGCCAAGGGTCCGTCCACCGTGCCAAGCGTGGCCGCCCAGCGGCCCAGCGTCGCCCACCTTCCCACCGTCTATAAACTACTCTTTATAGCTTTAACTTTTTATGAAAAGGGTACAGGTGACTGTTGATTTTCACCATAGAGCCGATACAACCTAAGCAATTAATATTACAGGTTGTAGTAAGGCTGAGATGTCGTGTTTCACGTCAAATTGATACGACGTTCTTCTAGACACCAACTACACCAAATTTTCAGAGCTGAAGAGACAAGCGCCGAGTGTAGTCCTCTCCGGAAATTCATACAAGTTGTACATACAGGAGTTTTTACAACTACATCAAGAACAACTAACATCAAGATCAAGATTAACATACTGAAAGAACAACTAACATCAAGATTCTACTTCTTGTTCCAAAAATCAAGAAGATCTAGCTACAAATTCGTTCGTTAATCCTACACAACTAAGTCTTTCAATAACTTTACAACACTAACAAACACAACTAGAGTCCAAAAAACTAAAAGCTAACAACTTGTAAAGTTAATGTCAAATGAGTACCTAACTCTAAATCACAATGTAAATCTGCTTGACACCATTGGTCTAAAATTTTTGGTCAATACAGTAGCTTGAACTCCTTCTTTTATCACCATCTTCTACTCGGAGCCGCAAACGACAGCGAGGAATTCCTATGCCCTGAAGCAGTCTTCAGTGCTGCCGTTTGAGAACGTGGGTCACTTCTTCATTCATTTATTTACATCCTCCACTCGGAAAGCTCTTTCTCAACATGCTCAAGTCTCCTCCCCATCATTTTCCTCACGTAGCAGTCGTTCGGTTTGACTTGGATTTATCCCGACGATTCTCGCATACGGTGCTTGACCTGAGTGGTTGCTCGCTCCCGATGCACCTCTCTCTTAGAGTTTATTAGCTTTTTCTGTCAGGAGAGTCGTAGCTTATCCCATCACTCAGGATTACCTTTCCTCCTTAATCTAAAGGCAAAACTATAACTACGACCATAAATAAAACACCTAAAAACCACCTACGACCCTTAACTTTCAACGCCACCTGCACAACTCCCAGGTCGAGAACTAACGGAATGGAGATTATAAACTCCTTCCTCTTGTTCTTCGTGCTCTTCGCGTATTGGATTCAGTTCACCTGGTCCAGGACCTGTGCTACCAGCAGAAGACGCCGCACCTACGGTACCAGCCCTAGTGCCGTAACTACTATTCTCGTCCTCCGTCCCGGCTTGTGGGAGGCATGAAGAATAGAGGACCACAGCTATAAATGCCAATCGCTATAGTACACGAAGGAACTGCTGCACCAAGTCCAAACCCAATCATGTAGATGTTATTGGAAATTCCTATAATCTCGTATAATTCACCAGCCTCAAATTGTAAAAAAAATAAGCCCTAAGCCCATATTATTGTTTTCCTGCCATAACACTACTCCAATCATGTACGCGATTTTTTCTGCTCTTGAATGCACAACTCTATCTTGATCGGTCATGGTGCTAGACCCTTCCTCTAGTGTAGGGTCCGCTTCAGGCGCTGCGGCAGCTACAACCTTTATAGTAGTTGCTCCTCCTTTGGGTGAAGGTGTCGACTTCTCAGCGGCACCTTCGCTTGAACGGAAGGACGAACTACACTGCTTATCGCGTTCTGCTCCTGCCTCTGGAGACGAACTGCTCTCCTGTGGATGAAATGGGGTGGAAGGGGAATCAAGTTGTCGCTTGAGGTGAAGACAATGGGGAAACAGTGAATCAAGTTGTCGCTTGAGGTGAAGACAATCTGAATTGATCTATTGTTCGAAAAAAGCATCCAAATGACGAAGACAATGACTATGACAGTTGTTGAAAATGCAATGAGCAGGACGATAGGCTCAGATATAGATGAGCTCAGTGCACATCTGAGCCGAGGAACAATACCATAGGACTGCTTTCCATTTTCTCAGGTGTGCTATCTCCTCCGATATCTTGTTTTAACCGTTCTGCCAGCTCACTCTGAAAGGCCGCTTGAGGATCCGTCGCGACGACACTTGTTAAGCCACCTTTTTCTTAGAACGAAAAGTAAGTCGGTACAGGAGAAGCAGAGTCCACCAGTATCTATCAAATCACTATTAAAAAAGTACAAGTACTAGATCCTCATCTTCACTACGTAGAAGATCTACAACATTAGGAGCTATACATTGTATGACCAGAACCAGATCAGGATATATTCATTCATTCGCATCCCAAGTAGTCCCTCAAGCCTACCGGCGGGATGATACAGTTCCAACAGTGTGTCCAAAGGAACATTAAGTTGTTCAACTTTTCCTTGTGATGTCATAATCACGTTCTCCCTGCTCCCCTCCACCTGGGCCTGAGTCTCCGTTTGAAGCTTTTCCTGCTTGCTGCTGTAGTATAAGTGCGTCTTGTCCTTGTTGTTGCAGTTGTAACCGAATCTCGGTGTTTTCGCGATCTATTAGAGCTCCTGTCGTAGGAGCACATAAAAGAACAAGAAGTCTCTTCGCGATCTATTAGAGCTCCTCCTGTCGTAGGAGCACATAAAAGAACTGACTCTCTAGAAAAAGGCATCCCTGGGGACAACATTTACTCTCTAGAAAAAGAACCACGGATCCTACATGATAGACATCTTTTTCAAGCCGTGTCATAAATGTAGTGACGAATCCTGAGGATAATACTGATCTATGTTGGGGAAGTAGTGAAAGAGAAAGTTGAAGCTGCTATTCCGCGTATACTCTTTCCCCCAAACGAGGCCACTAGAATACGTCCGCAACATGCGATCTGCTGCGGCATTGTCCTTGACGACCTAGGAGTTGGAGGTGGTGAGTGTCTATATTCTAGTAGTTTGTGAACACGAGGATTTGTGTGGTACTAGGAAGCTAGTCTGGTAGTCTGGTGTGAGTGTATTCTCGCAAAAAAATTGACCAACAAGCAGCTACATCTATGGCAGAGCAGTACCTGCTGATACAGCGAGCATCATCCTCTGCACCATTGAAGTTGAACGAACGTGAAAGTAAAATTTAAGGAATACAGAGGTCGTACCGGAATTATCTTATCCAAGATTTTTTGGCCGAGTTTTGCCACTAGACGAAACGGTAAAATCCCATCCCCTGGCTCTTCGCCTTGGCTGTCGCTTCTTGACTGGACACTGCTTTCCGATGTTATCTTCGTCAATGGTACATGATCCTGCAAGTCGTTCTGTTAGTGTTATGATTGATTGGAAGGGCTTTGACGAGGAAAGTAATATGGACATACTTAGATCAAGAAAGATCATCATGAGTCTATATGTTCTTGATCAAAGTTCTTTGAGGTTCTATTTCTCAGTAAAACCAGTTCTCTCAACATCATAACGTGCTTTAATATTCTGCTTCATCTGGGGGCATCAAAAAACCAGACGAAAATCTAAATGCAATTTTAAATAAATGGAGACCGACGAGTAGCAGAAGCACCTGCATCAATTTCAATTGCTGATCCACGAGATTGGTGTAGAGTGGGGAAATTCCCTTCTTCCTGCATACTGTTGAGCAATAGGAGCTGTCATTCCGCATGTAAATTGGCGCTGACTCGGGAATAAGTTTCACGCAGTGATTGCATCGAAACAGGAAATCCACCTGCTTGTGTTCGATAAGGCGAGGGATGAAAGAGAACGGTGGAGACATATAAGACAACATATAAATTTGGGTCGTGAAATCAGGGTCGTCGTGATTAAGATTCATTCATTCATTCGAACCACGTAGCAACTCACTCAAAGCTGCCTGGTTCCGTAATGGTGAATAAATATAAATCATATAGCAAATAAATCGCATATAGCAAAGTCTGACCCTATGCATCGCGCCTTCAATTTCTGCTCCACTAGCACTACAACTGCATAATTGTGGTGGAGCAGACGGTCTGCTAGAAAAAAGTAAGACCAGAGGAAGATAGAAAAGAGAAAAGGGTAGCTATCATGATCATCAAGTAATAAACTCCTATCTGCTAAAACTAATGAAGCACTACTTCATAACATTAAGAGTTACTGCATTCACAGTTGTTGACGAGCTAGAAGACGATGCTGAGGTGGATTTACTAAAGGCAGGAGGAGCTGCTGTAGATTTGCCAGATGACGTACTTCCAGCAGACGGCGACGTGCCGACCACAACGCCTGGAGCTGCAGACATTTTACTACACTCCTCTGCTTTAAGCACAAGAACGGTGGCTAATATGGCTTCGGCTTCAATAAAGTTGCTTCAGTGCTAGTCGCATCGATGGTAGATATCATGTAGACGAGGTTCCCCCGTTGTCTCTGGCACAGGCACTCTTATAGCAATACGCCAAGCGGAGAAGCGACGTCGTGGTCTAGGGCTCGACCACGGGACATGTGGACATGTCGGAGGCCATGAAGCTTGTTCGCTGCTGTAGTTGTGTAGTGGGAGCAGGTGGGAAGTGGAGCTCTCAATCATGAAGAAACCAAGAGAGGACCAAGCAGACCACAAATATTCAACAACTACTTAGAGACAACAAGTCTTCATAGCAAAACAACTAAAAAAGCAGGTGGACAGAGTAGATCCGTTTCACACAGTAATCCTAGTCCGTGTGCCTCTGGCAGCTCTGCATGATCCACAGAATAAGTATGGTACTTCTTTCGCTCCGCTCATTCTCACAGTCTATCATTGTGATTTCTTTCGTGTGTTGAAGGCTCACTCAGTACAGAGCATTACCGCTCATCAGTCGACTTCTCTCACACTAACAAGGCGGACACAGGACGATAGCAACTAGAGCGCGACTTTCTGGTGTGGAAGTTTTTTTATCCTCTTTAAGTGGGCGGAATGAGGTCACTACAGGAGTTTCTAGAGTGGCAGTGGGCGTGCCATGTCTCATGCTCATCAGAGGTGTGCTGGGTCAATCACATCTATTTCTATCATTTCTTGAATGGGTCGTCACATGAGAGGGTCACATTGGCAAACGAGAAGCAGCATCTGCAGGGGTCATTAGTTGTAGGTCATTGCCTCGAGTCGTGGTCGTTGGGCTTGGTTGTTGATAGCTTTGAAACCTAGGAGACGTCTTTGAGTGTGCTGTTAGTGTTTCTTCGTTTTCACATCTTCGTTTCCTGATTCCTTAGTTTCTTTTATGGCTATGACATAATGATCTGATGGGAAGTACTAAGGGGAAAACGTGTGAGAGGATGTTTCTATTGGGGTAAATCGATTGTTTGGTGCACATGGAGAATGAGAATATCTGCATTTGTAAGATGAAGGTGCATTTCTAAGATGAAAAAATGTGACGATCATGAATAGGTAGGCTTAGTAGTAGTACGTAATAATCATTTTTCTTTCTGTAAGCAGTTCTCCACCTACTGCGTGTTAGAAGTCCATCTATTTCTACCATGTAGAGTCATTTTTACTAAGGCTGTGCAAAACTGAATACTACGGGATGCGTTTCATGGGGAATGTGCGAAGATGATAGCGAGTCTACTTTGGATTGCTAACTGTGGAGTATGCATGGTTATGGTGAATGTCTGCCTGTCGTGCCTGCTGTATTTATGAAGAGTTCAAAAAGTCGTTCGTAACACTCATGATAAGTGAAAGTCTCTGTGGAAGTGCTAGTTATGAGTAAGTATCTACTGTATCTGATCCCGAGTTTGTTGTGAGTTTTTTCAATCAAAAATATGATCGAACGTTCATTCACTAGTTACGAGTCTAAAATAAAAGTTCAGATGAACTTTACATCATCCCCTAATCAAAGTGTCATTTCCCTTCCAACCTTGACATTACCGTCTTAGACTCTAGTTTGTTGATACTTCTTCTACTAGCATAGCAAGTCCAAGTACCCACTAAAGCGTCAGATCTTCGGAACTTGATCCTCCATGATCCGCAGGACTTCGATCCCCTCCACCACGTTCCAGATCCGGCTGATCCAAAGCACTGGTCCCTGTCGGTGTCGCTTTCGACGCCTCCTTGGCCGAGTAGTGGAGGTATAAAGCGATGGAAGCGATGATCGCAAGAATCACCACAATGCTCATCACGATGGGGAATTAGAATTGGAATAAGTATGTTTTTTTTTTAGAATCAGAAGTCGAACAGTGTCTTCTAACTCTAACAACTGCAAGTGCAACTCTAAGTACATCAACCAGACTATTTTTCAAGACTAAAAATTTTTGTTCTTGAGAATGAACCGTGGACATAAATGTATACTTGACTGCAACCTGGATTCTCGTCTTCTGTTTGCGTGCCTTCGTTCCCCTGCGCTCCATCCCCATCGGAAGTCTTGCCCACGAGCGTACGCCCTTCGGAAAGTTTTAGAGCAGCCCAACGTAATCCATCTTGAGATACATCTTGAAGCTACTTCCTTGCTTTCTCCTTACGAGACAGAAGGCTTCAAGATGCTTCTGAAGATAGGGGAAACCTTAAAAGTTGCTGTTCTGTTGCGGAGACGAGTCCACTGGGCTGCACACCGCTAGGCCACTTAATCTCTCCTGTCTCGGTGAAAGTCGGACTGCCCTGCATAGTGGAGACCGATGCTGGAGGAACGTACCTGATAGAAGTTAGATTATCGTTAGATTTTCAAAAAAAACAAAAAGTATCTATATTATATCCGAATACGTAGTTTTTGGGGAAGGCGGATCTTTGCGCAGGATGGAACAGTCTGCGAATAGATTAAGATCAAGCATATCGAGCAAGAAAAAGTATCTATAAGCACTTCATCTTCATGTTCATATTCACTTCAATCATGTTGAACTTGTTCTTGAACCTCCACATCGAACTTGACCAAATAAAAAGATGATGTAAAAATATACATTCCGCTTCCCACTTTCTTGACGTCTGTGGTAACGAGGTACCCACCATCCTTCAGTTTTAGGATTACCCCTTTCTCATCCGAGCGCACAATATGATCGCTCCCGTCGCCGGGTGTAGTTGCAGAAGATGAAGGAGTTGAAAGTCCTTCTTCTAGGTGAAGGAAACTTGATTTGAAGGCGTTGCTTGCGGGACTGTTAGTAAGTGGTCCTCCAGCTCTGCTGGTTGTTGACGTAGGGGCTACTGATGAGTCCTCTCGGAGTAGTTGTGGGGTTGAAGAAGCTGCTGAAGAAGTGGCGGACGCGGAGTCTTCCTTTAGGCCTGAAGGAGAAGAAGCTGCTGTTGAAGCAATAGCAGTTCCCTCGGTCCCCGACGCAATGAAAGAACTACTAGCGGCACTAGTACTAGAATGATCCCTACTAGTAGAAGCCTTAGAAGTTGTGCTCTCTGCGTCAGAAGTCTTGGCGTTCTCATCCTCCGTTGACCCGCTGGGGTTAGAAGAAGGTTTCTAGAGAAGTAGTCTCAAAAATAACAACTATAATGCTGTTGCTGTAGCACGTTCTTCATCTTGTAAATCTATGTATTTTTTACTTCTATTCATAGTACACTTCTAGTAATCAAAAATCACAATCTACTAGTAGAGTAGATTGAAAACCATAACACAACAGCTCGAGCTCGAGGCACTGGAACTTTCGTCATTTTTGGCCGCGTCAGCCTCATCTTTTTTGGCCGCGTCAGCCGTTTCTCCATCATTGGCGTCAGCCGTTTCCCTCTTCTTGAGATGGGTGTCCTCGTCTTGCTTCGCTAAACTACTACGCGCTGTACCTAATGATCTGGCTTGACGTCCCTGATTCTTTGCTGTTGTTCCTATTATTAGAACCAAGCAAAACCCATCTTCGGCAGCATCTTGGGTATCCTTTTCCCTTTAAAAACGGGACCAAGATCGATGCCGGCGAAGATGGATTTCATCTTGTAGCCTTAACATTAGAGCCTTTTGTTTTGCAGAAGGTTGGATCTCATTGCAAGAGGCGGGGAGCGCTTGCCACAACTCCTCAACATCTTAATCTTATGAACTACTAAACGAGTAATATCTACTCAATTTTTGAGCCTTTCATTCTTCATCCCCTTAGTCTAAGAGAATAGCCCCTTATGCTTCATCCGGTTATTGAATCCCCTTAGAGAAGAATTTACTTCCCCGCTTAAAGTTAACAACACGACGGAGTTATTAACCTAACATGCATCCCCTCCCCTCGGAGAATGAATGGTTGATGAGCAAACAACTCAAAGCAGGGCTCTCAGATCCTACTTCGACGTAGTCTAAGAAGATAGTCCTTCGCGTTACGTCAAAGTACTAATTCTTGTTTCGGCAAGATGAGCTAAGGGAACAGGCCATAACCGTATCATCTCCAGACTGTCCATATTCGCCGGCGCAACAACCTCACGCACCCTTTGCCCGTCAGGGGCACGCTTAGTAACTACCAGACCCGCTGCTGGCTGCTGCTCAAATCGTTCGAATCTTAGAAAGATAGCGGTAGAAGTGCAGCGGTAGGAGTGTAGTTTCCCTTCCCTTGAAAGAATAAAACCAAAGCTAATTTTTAAGGAGTAGTTGAGGGGTAGAAGGAGAACAACAAACTCAAACTAGTTTCTTAATACCAAAACCTATTTCATCGAGAACAACCTACTTCATCGAGAACAACCTCCTTCATCGAGAACAACCTCCTTCATCGAGAACAACCTACTTCATCGAGAATAACCTACTTCATCGAGAACAACCTGCTCCTTCATCGAGAACAACCTACCGTAGTTATGCAGATTTTTATGTTGGAAAAGGAGACGTAAATGTAGTACCTTAGGATGTAATATATGCATGGACCGGAAAAACTGGGCCCCCTGTATTATAAGGGCCCCTGTGCTTTTCCCCCTTTAATCGGACCGGGGCCGCAAAAATCCCGGGTCCTTATTTTTCCGCGGGGTTCCTTATAGTTCTGGCGGGGTCCCCGGAAATACTGGGGCCAACATGGCCCCGGGAAAAACTGGGGCCGCGGTATCAGAAGGGGCCCGGAAAATAGGGGGCCTGACCTTGGCCCTTCTTGTAGGCTGCTCCTTCCACCCCACTCACTGCCAACGCAGCGCCCCGGTGGCTTGTGCAATGCGCGCCCGGGCCCGGTGGGGAGCCGCGCGCGCTTGGCCGCGCAGTGTCCTGGCAGGATTGCCACCAAGCTGCGGCCGGTCCCTCAGGCTTGGCGCATCTTGCTGCACCTTCCGTTTCTCTATGTTCTCCCGCTCTTGCCGCAGTACCTCGCACCCGCCAGAGGCAGGCGCGCGGGCAACTGCCAGGCAGCAGGAGCTTCGCGGCGCGCTTCCGCCATTTGCGACCCCCCCGCCCCCCCCCCGCAGCAGGAGCTTTGCGGTGCGCTCCCTCCCTTTGCGATCCCCCCGCCCCCCCCCAGTGTGCGTGCATATGCAAGTAAGATGGACAAGCCCTTCTTTCTGTAGAAGTTGCCCTTCGTCCTTTTGCTGCGACCTCCTGCCAAGCCCCTTTTGCGTCTTTTTCTACCTTTTTTCCCCCTTTTTTGGTTCTCTAAGGCTCCTATTTTTCTCGATTTCTACCTTTTGCGTTTCCTCTACTTCTACCTTTTTTATCGATAATTCTACCTTTTTTGTCGAAGCCCTTATTTTCCCACCCCTTCTAGTACCGGTACCCTCCCAGTTCTGGTCCATGCATCTTGGGGTACTTGAATTCTACTCTTTGCAAAATGGTTGACATTATGATACAAAGCTTGTTAGTATGTTTCGATGGCGCGAGTAAGCAAGGATGACGAATCAAAGGCCTTAATGGGGACGCAGCTGCGGATGGTGAACCAGGTGCGGATGATTTCTTAGATACGTCGTAGTTTTTAAGGGCAAAGGGACGTCTACGTATTCTATCGGTTGTAACGCAAAGGTCAGCATCAGGAGCAACCTAAGCTTCTAAATACTGTAAAAAGGCCTTAAAAACAGGAGTTTTATTGCTCCGTTCCTGTTGGTTGAAAAACCGAGCAGCGAGTGGAGGCACGAAATTCGGCCGGTTTTGTGGTCGCGCTTTCGTTAGAGTCGGTTTTTTTTACTCATCTCAGGAGTCCCCTCATCTCGTCCACTGTTCCCTTATATTAACGAATTCAACAATCCACCTCTAAAATATCCATCTGAAACTGAAAATCAGAGACGAACCAATGTTGAGGATGCGCCCACCCGGCTGTGGGTTATTCTTATTACTATTTGCGAAGAATACAGGGGAACAAAAAGGCACCAAGAGGATCCTGGGAACAAGGATGGATAAACGCTGATGACCATAATCTCGAAAGGCGAGGCACCAAGAGTTCTTCGTCTTCCGCGTGCTTAGAGGATTCCTCTGAAGATTCTTGATGGAGGTGGAGCAGCGATTTTAATCATTCATCTGGGTTCTTGTTACTTAGGAACGGCACTCCCTTAGTACGTACCTCCTTCGTTCTCCTTGATCATTCATTGGCATCCTAGACCACTTCGTCCTCCCACGACATCCCACATCTCCTAGTAGACCAACATGACGATGATTATATGACTACGTAGGAACTAAATACATCATTCATCAAGTCTAGAACATTATTCAAGTCTAGAACATCATTCAAGTCTAGATCTAGACTTTCTCTACTAACGTAACATGATCTACGGGAGGACAACGATCCTTCTCTCCCGTAGAACAAGTTTAAGTTACAACTATGAATAGTTCGGGTATTTGGTAACCTGAGTTCGATCCTAAGGGAAAACAAGAAGAGAACCCTTAGGATCAAATTCAGGTTACCAAATACCAGAACCATACAAACTAAGTATCCCTTCAACTCCTGTAACATCAAGACTATGACTCCATAGTCACCAGAAGTTACAACTGGTATCCTCACTGTAGAAGTCCCGTAACACTAATCATATCAGCTGAAAAGGTTACAAATACAACCATCCCGCCTACTTCAGAACACGAGTATTAACATCAGAAGAGGTTTCGTAACGATTATATCAGAAGAGGTTTCGGTATGCCATCCCCATCCTCCTGGAGGCATAGGCCCAAGACCAGGATCGTTAGGGACTTGCTTCCTTTTCCTCCCTGGATAGGATCTTCCCTGCATACGTCCACCTCCCTGACCAGCGAGATTACCGTGAAGATTAGAAAGAGATTCCTGGTGCCTCAGTCGTCCCTGACCAAGACCAGCAGCAGCAAGATAATCATCCTCTGTATCGTAATTACTAGAAAGAGAAATAACCCCTGTGCTTCTTCCTCTTCGTCTACATGTTGGATCATAGTCGTGGGGACATTTTCACGAGACACTACTTCCTGTGGTCTTAAGTAGAGGAGCACCTTGTTTAGTTAAAAATATCTTTTTTGATCTACTTGAGGTAACTTAGAAGACTTGAGCAGACTCAGGAAAGTTAAGCTGTGTCCTTGTGTGTTTTCCTTTTCTTTAGTCAGTGAGTTAAGAATATAAGAGCTACCCTTGATCATGATTCTCGTTCCTAGTAACTCTTCAGTGAAATATACAACTACAACCAGTATTTCTACCCCATAATCTCGATCCCTGCTCCTGTTCCTGTTACTTGACCTGACCCTGCTGTAGGAACAGTTGTACCCGCTGTTGGGATTCCTTGAGGTGCTGGGACAACTGGTGATGAAACAACTTGTCCTGGTGCGGGAACCTGTAGTTGTAGTGCCGGAACTCCACCAATCTGATTGGCCGCGTTCGCAGGTACTTGTTGTACTAGTTGTCCATTAGGAACAATCCCACTAGTCTGCACTTGATTTGGAGCGGTGCCACCTGTCTGCGGTTGACTTGGAAAACCGACTGCTGGCACGTTTTGTATTGGTGGAGACTGTCGCACAATTTGTCCGTGTAGTTGTGCATTGTTGTTTCCATTTGCATCGCTATTGCCGGGAGGTTGTACCGCGACTAGTCCTCGGGGTTGAGACTGTGGTCCTACGACGACTGGTGGTTGAGGTTGTGCCTGTGCAGCTGGTGCAACAGCATTGGTATTCGGAACTACAGTTCCAGGTATGTTTTGAGGTACTTGTTGTGCTTGAGGTTGTTCTCTATTGATGGCCTCATCTAGCTCCTGCTGTTGCCGTCTAGTTGTGTCTTCCTGTTGCTGTTCTTCGACCTGTAGTTTTATCCCGTGATGTTCTCCTTCTGCGGTACCTTCTTGTAACTCGACTTTGGTCACCAAATGAACCTTGAGTCCGTTGCCGACACGGAGTAGAACGACCCAATAGGGTACCACTGTCCTCATGATCGACACCATCGGCCAACCTGCAGGACCGAAGAATGAAGAACGAACCATTGTATTGCTCTTATTGAAGTTTTCAGTGATGCTCTTGCTCTTTTACTGTTGTTGCAATATTCAGTGGAAGCTTAGTTCGAGACTAGTAGCGAGACGAGGGAGAAACATCAAATCGTCATCAACAGGTGGATTGACTACATTATTTGCTCAGAACAAAATCATACATAAATATAAGAACTCATGTCGTTTCTGTTTAGTGGCGGTACAAGGAGCCTGGCCTCCAATGCAGCCGGAACGAACCGATAATTGAGACCAAGACCGATACGGACACGATCGATAGTATCTCCGCTGTAAGGTTTCTGATAGATTCTTTTCATCATCGCATGCATTCGCATACAACCGATGGAAGTACAAGTGTAGGTTAGGCTAGGTTAGGTTGGGGCCTACCATCCGATGTGGCAGACATTAGCGGCTCCTGAAGAGCCTGGCAAACATGCGAATCTAGATCGAAAAAGCTACAGTATACTAGCTATGATGAGATCCTGAACGATGAAGGTTGTCACACCGACTCCAACGTCGAGCGATATGTCTCATCTACGCTATTCTCGAAATGATTCACCGAGAAGCCTCAGGCTCAGCCTTCGTACGTCGAATCAAGAAACACCAGCGACGTTGCGTGGTCGTGCCTCATCTCCGCATTTATACTTTTACTTTTAGTCAATCCATATAATTTGTGCAACATTCCAAGAGTTTTTTCAACGTTTTTGGAGAAAACAAGAGTAATCTCTGTCTTATGTACTAGTTGCAATCCTAGATCTCGATCTCCCTCTAGACCTAGATCACCTTTCTTCGTTTTGAAAAAGGTTGCAAATCATTAGGTTCACATGTGTAGAAGTGTAGTTATTCAAATTATTAATAATGTTAAGATCATGTTGAAAGAAGAAGAATAGCAAAACATCTTGTGGATGGGTGTATCCTCTTGGAGTTGGAAAAAAGATCAAGTTGTGTTGTAATCTTCATGTTGTTCTTGGATGATACAACTTGATGAATACGTCAGTTTTGGAACCGAGTTCTTGCGAAGTTGTGATCATAGAACAAGTGGATGTCATAAATAGAAGATGAACATGATTAAGTAAGTACCTATGTAGTTGAGCACTTGTCTTTGTGGTTGTAACGTGTACGTCGTGTTCGTAGTTAGTAATAACATGATATCAGATTCTTGGGCAGTAGACCGCATTTGTGGGAAGAAGAAGAACTTCGTCTCATCGTGTCATAGGTGTGTACATTTTTGAACCTCTATGCACTATTTTCTACTTTGCAGCAGGACCATGATGATAGTTATGAAATATCTTCAACGTGTTGAAAATTATGTCATGACATCAATTCGTTCTTCGGATAGGGAAAGGGGGCAAGCATGTTGTTGTGTGTCTATAAAATACGTGCAATATTTGTTCAGACACGACTACAAGCCCGCAAAGAGATATTTTGTTTCTTCATCTTCCGTCTCGCCTGAGTAGAATCTAGGTCTAGCACTTCTACCAATACTAGTACATTTCACTCACTGTCACTTTTACATTTACTACTCCTGCTTCTAGTACTCTTTTACTACTAGAAGCAGGAATTTACAATTCAGCATCGTTGGCAGCAGCCTCGTCATCCTCGGTCGGGGCAGCAGCCTCATCCTCGGTCGGGGCAGCAGCGTCGCCATCGACTTCGGTAGCTGCTTCCTCATCGTCATCGTCCATTTTGTCCAAGGCATCGTCAGACATGTCGGTCGGCAGAAAATCTTAGATAAATAAGCCTGAACAAGGACGAGTAGCCGTGTCAAACCTACCTACCTCCCTTATTTCAGTCACAAGGAAGAGTAACCTACCTACCTCCCTTATTTCAGTCACTTACTCGGTTATGATGTTCAGTTTTCGACTATTGAGTGCTTTGAGCGCCATAATCCATGGGCATGTCATCACCACCCATTCCACCCATGAGGTCGGCTGGCAGCATTTCCTGAAACAACTCGGTCAATTTCTCTTGCGGGACCTGAGAGAGTAGAGCTTCCAGATCAGCTTCTCCCTCAATGTCCTCCATGGATTCGCCGGACATCTGTGTGTTTATTTATAAGTTTGAAAGTTTGTAGTTCGTGATTGAGATTGGGGTAGTTGTACGTAGGGTTTGTACTATGTCATACTTCACTAGAGTGAAATCTGATAGTATCATCAGTGAATTTCAACATAAGTAGTATGAGTCAATGTCTTGCTGCTCACGCCTAAAACGTCTTGTTTACGACTTGTATGGTTCTGGTATTTGGTAACCTGAGTTTGATCCTAAGGGTTCTCTTCTTGTTTTCCCTTAGGATCAAATTCAGGTTACCAAATACCAGAACCATTCACGACTAGTAGTACAATGATTGACAATATTTGTTGTCCAATTTTTATCTACATATAATAGAAGTGTATAATGTAAGGATTGAGAGGACCACAACTACTCTCTATACATAGACCCCATTGACGAGAAGTATAGAAGTAGAGAAGATGAACAGAAGGATGATCATTCTAGAGAGTAGAGCTTCCAGATCAGCTTTAGAATAGTATTTAACAGTTGCTCCCCTTGATGTTTGAGTATTGACTACTAATGACGAAAAGCCATTGCATCCGCTCCATTGCATCCTACTCTCTAACTCTAGTTAGTTAGTTAGTTATTATCTCTCTAACTCTATACATAGAAGAAAAACAAGTACGATCTTTTTCAGCAATTCACGGACTTTATCCAAAGCCGCATCTTCCGAGTCACCTCCTTGTTCTTCGTCCAAAGCGTCAAGCTCATCATCGATCGGATCAACGGCCTCCTTCACGGCTTCGACCTTTGCTTAGAAAAGCAAAATCAAAGAGGAAAAACTAAAAAGCAAGATTTTTGAAGAAAAAAATATTAGACTAGTCATATATTCATCATGTTAGTTCGTTAGTTAGTTAGTTAGTTAGTTAGTTACTTAGTTAGTTATACAATTTCAAAATGAAAGCCATAATTCTCATCCATCAGGTCGGAGACATTGGCGACGGCTTCCGGAATGGCGGCGGAGTTGGACTCGGCCTGAGCCAAATAGGCGAAGACGGCAACGCCACGAGCGAACTTGGAGAAAGCGACCATTTTGTTTGTTCTTCTTGTAGGGTTCTTAGAACAGTAGCAAGAGAAGTTGATGCAAGTAGCTAGGAGAAGGAGGTACTACTAGTTCTTTTTAGATGAAATAATGTTGGACTATGCAACAGAGGAAAGTCGTTGCGAAGAGAGAAAGATAATGCAAGAAACTCAAAACAAAGGCTATCCTATCTGGGTAAATAAAATATACTTTTTCTACCTGATGGAGATTTTCTGAAGTTTCCTATCTTGATGTCACGTTATTTCTTTCGATGTTCAACTATGTCGTACAGGTGGTTCAACGAATGGTAAATCTTCTTCTTCAATGTATTCTTAATACAACAATCACTTTTTAGTGAGTAGGTGGTGGGTTCCAATTTCTTGATCTTGATCCTTGTATCAAAATTATCTTTGATCTTCTTTCGAATTCTTGAGATGAACCTTTTAGATTTGAAGATTAAATCTGGATTTGAGATCTCTTGCTTCCGGTGGAGTAAAAAGGGCGTGCAGTTCTACTTTGTAAACGAATTCGGCTGTCATGAGGGTTTATTTGGGAAGGCATGCGGAGGTTGGTGAGGACGAGGTTGCATTTGGAATTGGATCCGAATAAGTATTAGAAGAAGAAGATAGGTCGAATTCCGTATCATAGGCTCGAAGACAGATCGAATTCTCTCGTAGAGACAGAGGCAGATCGAATTGTCTCAAGGACGAGGTCACAAGACAGACTTAGAGAGATTCTCGTCATGATGCGAAGTAGGTAATCCTCCCGATCACTTCTCTCTACTCGTAGAAGAACAGAGAGCAATCGTGTTCTCATCCGATTTCAATTGAATTTGAATGCTTGTGAACGTTAGATTGATCGCTCCATCCTCTCCTAGACATCTTCGAGTGTGCGTTTTGCATTTCCGAACACTGATAACAACGCATTTCCTCCAACTTCAAACCTTGAAATTTCCACAAGTTTGAGTTTATCTAGGAGGCATATAGTGTAGGGGGACGGGACCTCTACGATTTGCGCATCTGATTCTCATCGCTTGACGTTCTCTCTTCTTATTTCAACTTCTTTCTATCATGCGTAGCCCTCCTCTTACATACAACAACGGATACTTCCGTTCCGAAAGGATAGGTTTTGTACAAAAGGATGTTAACCCAGAAGAACTATACTTGCACATTCGTGCACTGCCTCGCGCAACATTATTCTTGTCTCATTCAGCATCAAAATATCATTTTTGAAGATTTTTTCAATAATGGTGTATGAAATAGATTGTATTGAAATAAATCCACAACGCGGAACAGTGCATCTTCTACCTAGTCTGTCACACAAACATCTGAGTCTTCGTCCCCCTCTGAGACCGGATACAGGTAGGAAAGTTCCTCCTGATGCGTCTTTCTAGCTCTTGCACCAGAAGATGAAGCCTGTCGCGTTCCAGCAGCTGCGTTTTGCCGCTCTAGCAACGCCTCCCTTTGGCGCGCTTCCATAGCCTGCTGCTTCGCTTCCCATTCCTTGTTAACTTGTTTCGCCATGTTCAATATCTTATGCTGCAGTGCTCTAGCAGGAGGTTTATGGCGTCTGCGATAGGTCTGTCGTTTCTTCAGCCTTCTAGCATACCGTTTCGGACACATCACCTGCAAAGCGTCTCTCAAAACCAAGCGTCGCCAAAGTTCTTGGATGAGTTGAAGATGGTAGAGGGAAAGATCATGGGTGCTGTCTTTTTTCTTGTTAGATTTCTTGATGTTGCTACGCCTTCTATTACTGGTGTCTGGCTGATCTGCGGCAGAAGCAGAAGACGAAGAAGCTGCTGCTCCTTTATCTCTTTTATCGTCCTCCCTATCTATTGAAGATGGTGTTCTTGAAGATGTTGTCCCCAAGTTCGACCTCAAGCAAGAGGAAAAAACCTCTTCAAAGTAGTTGATCACGTCCAACTGTGTTATTTCTGGATGCGCTCTCATCAAAAGAGCCATCTCGGCTTTCATCCACTGCTTTAGATCTTCTTCTTCATCTTCAGCTCTGAGGATATCTTCAGAAATTTTATTTACAACTTGGGAGGTTAAGGTTTGGCCTTCTTCGCAATTTAGAATATCATCCAAATCTCCTTGTTGTTGTTCTATCTTTCCTACGTTGAATCGACGGATCGGCATGAAGTTGCTCATGGTTCTTCTTTTGGTGTTGTAGTGAGGACCATTGCTCTTGTGACCCACCGTCTGGGAGGAAAAGGAACTATCGCTGTTCTTCATCTTCCATGTAGGACAAAGACTCAGCGCGTCGGAGCAGGGTTTGCTCCAGGTAGCTAGAGTTGGCTCGTTTTCTCCTTCTTCGTCGCCCTCTCCTGGTGATTAGAGTAGTGAGGCAGAGGATAAGGATAAGGATATGCTTTATGAAATTAAGTACATCAAACCAAATTGTCAATGTTTTTATATTGTTCTGTGTGAAGATAATTCATAATTCAAGCAAAACTGCCTGGCATCCACTAAAGCTCGCAGGACTTGGAGGTTGTCATTTGTAAAGGAGTGGGGATCAAAGCATGAATGCCCATGAGCGATGCCACGCCATTCTCCACGGTGATTTTTCGGTAAGAAACGAGGTTTAGATGTAGGCTTTTGGTGTTCGTGGGTTCTCCCGCTTGTTATGGTTGTCCCCACTCCCTTAGGTGGGAGAGCCATAACAAACGGTAACAAAAGCACCTTTAACCTACCCTTAAGAGGTATTCGATAGCGTCTAGCCCCACGACGAAAACCCGCTCCACCAAACCGGAAACTCAGAAACCGCCGCCAATAGTAAGCACGCGTCCGACGGTTCTTGTTTCTGGCTACAGCTGCACCTGCAGCTACCACTTCCGCCGGTGCACTAGTAGGTAGAGCAGTGGACGCGCAACTTCTTCCATTTGTAGTACAACTCGACGTTAACGAGAGGTCTCCTCCTCCTCTGCCATGACCAAACTGACGCTGTGGATAGAAGTTCTCTTTCCACCAGGGCGGGACTTCTGCTCCCAAACTCTGTTCGAAGTGGAAAGAGCGAAAGAATTTCTTGCGATTTTTCACATTCCCAGCACGCTTCCTCTCAGCTCGTATCAGCGAAGCAGGACCATTTTTTAGGTGAGGTTGTTGTGCATTTTTAGATGAGGATCTTCCCCAAATCAGTCCTCGTGCTGCGAATCGAGCTCCATCGTTTTCGCTTGGATTCAGCATCTGTTGGTGATCAGCAGAAGAGAGTGGCGGAGAAGACATCATAGTAGACATTTTTGGGTGAGAAGAAACTTCTGGGTGAGCGTGGTGCGTTGAACCCAGATGTTTTTCGTCTTTCATGATTAAGTCTTCGTCAACAACCTCAATGCCAGCATCTGCTTCTTGTTCTCTTAGCATATGATTGTTCCTGCTGGTTCGTTCCTGCTGGTTCGTCTGATGCTTACAGAAATGAAGCAGTTGTGCTAGTGCTGCAGCTGAAGAGTCAGTTACAGTCCTGTCACTGATCTCATTCTTGCTTCTTGGCTGACCAACTGGTGTCGGACGGGTAGTTCTTTTTGCAAGAACAACATAGTCTTTCCTCGAACAAGCTGCTAAAATTTCCCTATCGATCTGGTCCCTCTCGGCTTGAGTCAGGTCGTCGTGTCGCTGATGAAGAGTTCGCTGAGTTCCATTTTCTTCACGAAATAACGGCCCTCCTAACAAAGATGAAGACGCTGTGGCAGTTCCTGTCGGAACTAGTAGTCCACCACCTCCGCCATTAGAGGTATCGGGAATTCATCCCAGCAATCATCATCTGGGTCCCTTTTTCCTCTTGTCTTTTTCTCTCTCTCAGATGACTCATTTGGAGATGATGAAATCCCTACACCCATAACTCCACCAGAAGCTGCAACATGCTTCGCGTGTTTCCTGGCTCTCTTTGTCCCTCTCGTCCTCTTCCTTGCTCCCACGTCAAATTCCTGCCACTCTTCGTCCTCATCGGAGCTACTAGATGAACAAGAAGCAGGAGATTGCACATGAAGATTGACACCAACTACTCCCAAACTGCCACTTCCTCGTCTCTGATCTAACAAGCCTTCATCACGGGCTCTCAATCGCCGTTCCTGCATCATCGAAGAAGAGAGGAAATTGTCACGTGTTTTGACGACATCTTCGACGGCGTCCACGTTGTCTAGGTAGGAGTGAAGTCTACGACTACTACTAGACGCACCAGCAGAAGAACCGGTAGTTGATGCGGATATTAGAGTCTTGCGCCGAACGCCCAGCTGCCGTGAAATATACTTTCGGATCTCTCGATCGTCGAAGGAGAGAGATGATGGACAAAGATCCTTCGAGTGTGGAGGTGGACGTGATGAAACTCGTCGTTGGACGAGTTTCTCCTGGAGAGAACCGAAGGTGTCGCACTGTTGTACCATTTTTTCTTTCTTACTGAAGAGAAGGCAATCCGAAATAGAAGGAAATAGTGTACGTCGAACTGCGTGTATTAAGGAATCGTCAAGTCAGAAACACGAACAAAAGCGGTTGTACAGCTTCTATGCGTAGACGAGCACGCAGTGGATTTGAAATTTCTGTCGGGGATTTGAAATTCAAATTTTTTCAGCGTTTCTTGAGTAGATACGTGGAAGAGCACGAACAAGAACTGACAGTGTAGTTGGTAGGTCTAGGTGGTGGAAGATAAATAATCAGACGTTGAATTTGACCGATAGAATGTGTAGCTCAGCTGCTCAATGGCAAGTCGCTTCAATGTTGAGATGCTGTCAGGGTTATTGCCAGCATCAGCTGTAGAAGTTCCGGATTTCGGTTTTTTCAACTACACGATTGAAAACTACACCACATGGCTGTAGCTTTGTGCTGGACCAGGCATTTTCCATGCACCAGCGTGGGTTCAATAATTGCGTGGTCGTTGTTCGCCAACGAAAATCAATGCATAAAAAGGGTTCGCTTGCGAGATCGTGGGGACACCACGTCAACGGTCGGTTAGTGTAATTTCATTTGATGCCATCAAAGCACCTCAAAAAAGATTGTCATCAACATCATGTTTGGTCGGTGATAGTAGAAAAAATTGAGTTGTGAGTACCACCTCCATATTATGAAAGCCACGACCCCTATAGTCACCAACTATTCTAACTTGTGCCCAACAAACTAATCAGCAGTGCTTCCTGTTTTGCCGAAGTCCCGAAGAATTCTTGCAGAGGCTGACTAGAAGCTAGTTTTCCTTGTTCTTCCCATTTGATGATTTCCGGAAGGCGTTGCTGTGCCTTCTGGTAGGCTTTCTTGTATGGTGATTCTGTGTCAATGTCTACTCGCGAATCAAGGATGTATTTTTTGAGCAGAGCATTTTCCTGTTCGCGTTGCTGCTTCTCAGACATGGTGGCTGTCGCTGCAGGCTTGCTGTTGCTGGCTTTCGCTCGTTCAGAAGGAGTTGTGGTTGGCTTCGTCGAGGTCGCGGAGGGTGTTGCATCTCCATCTTCTTCGTCTGAGCCACTGCTAGAAACAGAGGCTTTTTCCGCGTCTGAATCTTGTTCGGGCTCTTCAGCTTCAACTGGTGCTACTTTTGAAGAAACTGCTTTGGCTGTTTGCGTAGCAGAAGAAGGAGAGCTATCGTCGTCTTCTGAGTCTGAATCGGATGATCGCGAATCAAGGATGTATTTTTTGAGCAGAGCATTTTCCTGTTCGCGTTGCTGCTTCTCAGACATGGTGGCTGTCGCTGCAGGGTTGCTGACTTGGTCAGAAGTAATCGTGTTGTTCGGCTTCGTCGAGGTGGAGGGTGTTGCACTTGCATCTTTATCCTCGGAATCACTACTAGACTTCTTGTTAGCACTTTTCTTATTCACATACGGGAAAAAGACCTCTTCCCCACTAGAGACCTTGAAGACTTTCCGAGAATGACCAGCGTCTAGGTGGTGAATCATTCGCCGAAAATGCTTCACCTCACTCTGCTGAATTAAGGAAACTGCTCTTCCGTGGAAGGTATTGGCTGAAGCATTGTCACCACGAGCCGTTCGTCCTACGCGATGGACGTAGGTCTTGACGTACTTCGGCACGTCGAAGTTAATCACTGCGTTCACACCCCCGTTGTCGCCCAAGTCCAGACCACGGGCTGCGGCGTCGGAGCATACTAAGACACGCATTTTTTTACTTTCTTCATCCTCTACTGCTGGTTCATTTTGCTTCTTTTGAGTACAACTGGAGGAGCTTCTGGTCATCTCCCTAACGATATCGTTTCGTGCAGCTTGAGGCATCGCGGAAGAAAATTCCTTCACGACAATGGCAGAAGTGGTTTTGGCGTTTTGTTGTGAGTGGAAAAGCTCTTCTAAAACATTTTTATCTTCCTGGTCCATATTGGAGTTCGGCTTCTTGGAGGTCGTGAATGACTTCTTGCTTGCAGGAGCCTTTTGACCACGACGACCCTGAGGACCCTTGTTCTGCTCGAAAAATCTTGGCAACAACAGCAAAAACAGTTGTAGAAACCTCGTTAGACGATGTGCTTCTTCCACCGAGCCGCAGAAAATCATGACAGATTTTGCTGCAGATGCCGTGGTTGCCGTGGTGGAAGTTCTGGGACTGAGAGTAGATGATGGCGTCATGATGAAAAACAACTCTCGCAATAGCCAGGCAGAGACAGCTCTTGGTCGGTCCCGCGTGAAAACGCTGTGCTGCCGCAAAGATTCGGGTACACTAAAGGCACCAGACTGTGTCGACACGAAGTAGAAGGGCTTCTGCAAATTGAGCATACCTAATTTTCGCGGATTCTTAGTCAGCGTTGCACTCACAAGCGACTTCCTCAAAGGAACGACGCGGTACTCGTAGGGGATGTGCTTCTCGGCACCGTCGAGAGAATATCTGCCGAAAAGCAGTTGCTTATTGAGACTTCGTCTTCCAGCAGTGTTAAAAATTGAGCTTGAACTAGTCTGGTCATCGACATCTTCATCGCCCAGTGCCATGATCTCCTGCAAAGAATCTTCGAAAAAATCGAAGCTCCTGGAGGTTGAAGATGAAGCATTCTTCTTCTTGTCCACGACTTCGATATCGATTCCAAAATCCCTAATTCCTGTTGCCTTAGCCCGTTCGATGTCTCGTAAAACGTCAAGCCACGAAGGATGTTCCATCTGCGACGAGAGAAGTCTGTCTGCTTCGTCGATCACGAAGTGTCGCAAATTCGTCACTATTTTGCGACTCGCCAGACTGCCGCGATAAAAGTGTTCCACCAGTTTACCACTTGTGGTGACTACTAGATCCGGACAGGAGGTCTCGCTTTCGATCCGTTCCGTCTCTTCCCGAAACGTGAGATTGCTAAACACTCCAACTGCTGCTTGTGTACTAGTACTAGTCGCAGAAGATAATTTCTGCTGAGAAGTACTAGAATGCTCATTAAACGCTCCTCCAGAACTAGCCATAGCAAGGACGCGCACGATGTCGCCAGCCCTTTCCTGCGCGGCATTAATCGCGCCAACCACATCAGCAATTTGCTGAACGAGTTCGCGTGTGGGTGCTAGGATAATAGCATACACATGTGGGCAGGCTGCACGACTACTGATTGTGGGAATGTGGGATTCCATTTGTTCCATCTTCTCAAAATCCTGGTAAGCAGCTTGTGGCCCTTGGGCCTCTCTAGCCAGCAATTGCTGCAATATCGGCAACAGGTAACACAATGTCTTACCACGTCCTGTCGGTGCACCGATGCCTACATCGCAGTCCTGTTCGGTGAGAAAAAAGGGCAGTGTGGCTGCTTGCATCGGAAAGAGGTCTCGCACAAGCAAGCTCTTCTGTACACTGGCCCACAAGCTCGGTTTTAACAGGTGGTGAGCGTGGCTCTTGCTGTTGCTTGTAGATGAAGTAGAAGATGGTCGTGTAGAAGTAGAAGTTTTTGTTGAAGTTATTAAATCGGAAACAGAACTCTCGAGATGTTCAGTATCGTCAACAACGCGAAAACGCTTGGTGAAATCCAACTTTTTCATTTGCGAAGTCATCAATCTATGCGCAGCGCCAGGGGCTTTAGAAGAAGATTTCTTGCTATCTCCGCTAGCGGCATCCACTTTGTCTTTATCACCAGGTCTCAGTGCCTCTCTTAATGCAGCAAGCGATAACATTTTTTCTGAGAGACCATCAGGTAAATCATCGACTACTGCTGGTAAAAAAGGTGTTTCTTCATCTCCACCATCGGTAGAATCCTTATCCTTGGCCTCTGCTTTTTCCCCCTCATCCTCGTCAAGCTCAAACTGCACTCGTCGTTCTCCCTCTACTGCGGGTTCATCATCTGGTGGAACACCGGTTTCTGTGGCCGCTACATCAGTCGCGGTTATCGTCGTGGTATCGACATCCATTCTATTGGTTTCTGCTTCGTCTCCGCCTTTCCGTCTTTTCTTTGCTGCTGGTTCACCAGCGTCCTCGGTCTCTGGTACAGCAGCCTCTGGAGCTGCAGCTTCAGTAGCAGTTTGAGCGCCATCTGGAGCTTCATGTTCATCGGCTTCGGCATCGGCACCTTCTGCTTCTCCAGCATTTGCTTTCTTCTGTTTTTTTCTCAAGTTCTTTTTCTGATTTTTCGTTAACTTTTTTCCACCGCTTGTACCCGCCGCCGCATCTTCTGCATCGGCAAGCTCCTCTGCTCCCGCAGTCTTTGTCTCAAGAGCAACACCACCACCGAGTACTCCTGCTTCAGCAGCACCTCCTTTTTGAGAAGTTGTCTTTTTATTCGTATTCCACGCCGTCCAAGTCTCGTTTACTTCCTGCTTGTGTTGCTCCTCCTCTTTCACCTTGTGTTCCTTCCTTTCTCTCTTCAATGCTTTCGCTTCTGCTTTTCGCTGAGCTTTTTCTTCCGCTGACTCAGTGATTTTCCAAGCGGTCTCCTTTCGAACTTCCTCTAGGTCTCTTTGCCTGGCAGCGTCTTTCCGCATCAAATTCGCCTTTTTTCGTTGCCAATTTCTCTTGTTGCCACGAGGAAGCAGAGAAAATTGCTCTTCGAGCTCCGCGGATTTGCTCCTCGTGGTAGAAGGAGGTGCAGGTTTGGATGCTGCTGGTGCTGGTGCCGTAGTCGTTTTTGCAGTGGGCTTCGCTTTCTGTTGATGATGCACATCAACAGCCGCAGCCTGTGGTTGCGCAGCTGGAGCTGCCTTCGCCTTCTTCGGAATGAAGCGCTTTGCCCCTAACATGATTCCAGTCGTGTGGAGGTAGTCGTTGTGCTAACATGAATCGGATAAAAACAGTCTTGATATCACCTGCTATCACGATCGCTATCTTTCTTGTAAGTAGCTAATTATGAAGAATTTTTACACACCTAGTACCCCCTGTTGTAGCGAAAGTCAAGAGCAGTTCGTTGTCATGCGCACCATAACGTAAGATCACATTCTTGTCGTGCGTCGTTCAGATACAAAATCGCTATCGGGATCTTGTACAGTCGTTGAACTTGTAAGATCTTCATAGGGGATCTACGTTCTTATCGTGATCGTGAGATATGAACCTTGCTTTTGACAGCCGGAGCCGCTCGCTGAAGATCGAATCATCTTCAAACTACATAACGACAGACACAGGCGAGAACAAAATCCATCGACCAATTCAAAGTTCAACTGATCGGACGTATTTTTACGCAGGAGGATGCTTCCACCTGCATCTTCTGCTATTGCCAGTCTGATCTTAATGCAAATAAGTAGACTCTCATCACTTCAAAAGACTTCGTGTCAGCTCATCATCTTGCAATATCAGAACTTTTCTCCGAATGTCCTCCCTTATTCTATCACAATCCAAAGCTGTCTCACTGTCTAGTTTTTCCATAAGAGAGTTAAAAGAAGCTGAAACAGGTACTAAGACGCGTGTGCTTGAACTTCTTGATGCTGAAGAGGAAGATGAGGAGTTGTTGGACTTGGAGTTGTTAGAAGTGTTATTCTTCGATGCTATAAAATCTCTAGGTGCCTCATGCTTGACTTTACGATCGAACTTTTTGTGCAGTTTCTTTGCACTGTGAAGGCGTCGAGGATCAACCACGCTAGTTTTCTCAACTATTTTCGAAGGAGAAGCTTGTTCAGCATGTTCTGTAGTCGTGGAAACCCCAAAAAACCCAAGAAAGTTAGAAAAGGCCGAAGATTCCTGTTCGGCATTTTTGCTTGAACTATCCTCGTCTTCAGCTTTGCTATCGACATTTCCTCCTCCACCTCCACTTCCGTCTTTCCGCTCAAGTTCTTGAATCTTCCTCCTAAAAGTCCTTTGCAGCTCCTGTAGTGCTTTGTCCTTTCTCCTACTCAATTTTGGTCTTGACGATTGCCACGGATCTACAACCTGCTTAGTGGGTGACGCAGAGGAAAGCGAAACCGTTTCCTTCATCTGTGACCAGGACTGTGGTGGCAAACGGCGGCTGTGGGGAGTGGGAGAGGAGGAAGTCGGACCTCCATGTGCATGTGCTCTGGATGTGATTACGCCAGGAGGTGCTTTTGAATCTCGACTTTCTCTGTAGTTCCTGGATGAGGTAGTAGAAGTAGTTCTATTTGCTTTCCTGCCTGATGTCCTCGAACAAGGTTTTGTACTCCTATAAAGAGGTTTTGAAAACGTCGCTCTCATTAATGACGCAGCCACTGTTCCGACAGCGTCTCCACCAAATTCAGACGGAAACGGAGTAGCGAGGTTCATGTTCTTCTTCGTGGGAGACTCAAGAACATCTTCTCTATCCACTGCACCCATGTTGGTCTTTATCTTCTCCAAAACAGCTTCTTTATCGGTTTTGTATTTACGATAAGAAGGGACTGCTGGAGGCTCTGATGTCTCTAAAAATGTCCATGTCTCTGCAGCCAGCACCTTGGATTCAAGTGATAGCTCTACTTCGGGTTCGGTTTTAGAGGTCTCTTTAGATGAAGACGTAATTTTCAAAAGAAGTTGATCTAGCTTTGCTCGCAGTTGCGTTTTTTCTTCTTCATCTACATCTAACACTCCAGCATCTTCTTCACGCTGTTCTAATCCGACGACGTCCTCTGCTTGCGGCGCGCTGGGTCGTGATTCTCTCGAAAACTCCTTGATCTCGATTGTCTGTTCCTGGCCTTGCTCGTCCTCTCGGAACCGGATGAACGACAAGGATGCTTTGCCCTCTACCTCCTGCTCAGATGAAGTGTGCTCTCCAACGTAAAGGAGGTCATCTTGGTCGTCTTGTTCCATCTGACCGTCTACTCCTTGATGACTTTGAGGTTGAGGATCCTTGATGTTCTCTACATGATCATTCTTTGTCTCACTCGGTTCGGCATCATGCTCTTTCTCTTCGTAGTAGAGAAGCGCTGGACCACCACCTGTTCTTGCAAGGTAACTGGTATCGTTGTCTTGTACTTTCGCGGCGACGTCGTCGCCCACTTGTTTCACGTTGCACTCTACAATTGGCGAGAAAGCTATTTCGCGAAAAGAATCATCTTCTTCAAGATCATCCATGTCCAACCCATGTTGAAGGCTTAATATGCTACTTTCGTCACTCGTAGGTGACTCTGAAGAATCAGACAGTATTCCGGCGACGCCCCCCAGCACCAATAAGCTAGTCGTAGTCCTATATCTAGCATCAGCACCCGCTACAATCCTCGCACCAGTCTTCATTTTGGCCCTTGTTCTCCTCTTCGTCTTGTTCAAAAGTCGTAAATCCTTCATCATGGCGTCCAAGTCGTCGTTGATTTTGCGGAAACAAGTCGACGTGTCGTTATCCTTTGCAACGATTGGTGCTAGTTGTGGTATAGGAGGTATTGATGTGCCCATTGTCGAGGTCGAGGTTGACACATCGTTTTTCTTTGTTCGGTTACTCCTCCTGGTGTTCGACGATGTTGAAAGTAGATGAGTTCTTGCTCGTGTTGTTCGCGTTGTGCTGGTAGTGGTTGTCTTGTTCTTCTCTTCAGCAGATGTGGACGAAGACAAAGCCCAGGAACTAGAATCTTCGTAGTGTTGTTGATCATCGACTTCCGTGTCTATCAGGAGTCTCGAAGACCACGCATCTCGTTCAGAAGATAATGGCGATGACATTGCTGCTTTATGGGATCCCTCCAGCAATATTCTTCTAGTCATCTGTATTGAGGAGGCCTTAGAGTTGTTACCCCCGTGAGAACTTGTTAGCGTTGTTGGCTTCACGACAGGTGTTGCCATTTGCGACATTGGTCTAGTCGAGTTGACCGCTCCACTTGCGGACTTCAACATGTTCTTCACAGGAGACGCGGAGGCGGATTTGCTGATGTTCCTAGTACTACTTCTGACTCCAGTTGTGGTTCGTCCCACATTACCATCACTTATTTTTCCCACGACTAGTTTGCTCATTGATGTACTTTTCCTCTCTACTTTCCCTTGCTCCTCCTCCTCCGCCTCTTCTTCATCTGAGAAAGACGCTAACGAGCCTGTCGGTGAGTCGAAAAAGTTGCGCCATTTTTTCAGTGTGTGATTTTCATGTTCCACATCGAACTCCAAGCTTTGGATGAAGAGAGCGTCAAAACTCGCTAAGCCGTACCGGGAACGAAGTTCCTCCTCACTAGGGGGTTTGTAAGGAGCTTGTCTTGTAACTGGTGCCTTGTTTTGGTTGCTCTTAGAAGTAGCAGTAGAGGCTCTTGTAGTTCTTGTACTAGTGGAGGTTGGACTTTTCGTTGTAGCATGAACGTGAAGTTTCTTAGGTCCTCCTCCGCTAGGTCTAGGAGGTGCTCTAGCTGGAGTATAGGGTTCTCTGGTCCGAGACCAAGGAACGGCAGTGATTCCCTTCTTCTGTGGTGGTGCCTTGTTGCCTCCGGGCGCAGGAGCTTTAGACGAGGCCGCTTGGGACATCTTTTAAAGGGCTACTTCATGTTCATCGTACACGCGCTTTTGATGAGCAGGAAAAATGGGACTGCTTATGCAAGAATCAATTTATTTTTATTATAACAGCCTATGTCCGTCCTCGTCGTGGTAAAAACAATTTTTGCCAAGAATGGATTTCGTGAAAGATAGACGTGGACGTGGTTCTTGTGGAAATGACCATAATACACTGGCAATTCGATGACACACTAGATAACCGAAACTCGAGACTCCTGCTGCGCTCTAGACCGATATCAAGACTAGCGATTCCACAGACCTTCTTCGTCATCTTCATGGTGACGCATCGTACTACTACCGATTCTCCTATCACAGAAAAGGTCCTGAGACGAGAAGTGACAGCCCTACACCTAATATCAATGCTTGTCTCAGTCTTTTACCGAAAATCCGAACCATGATCTCAACCGAGAAAAGTCGGACCCGTTGTATTGATCTGCAGACGCTCAGCTGTATCCGCCCGTTTTTGCATCACGCTCACGCCGCCTTGCCGACGATCAATCAACTTTCCACTAAGATTCTGTTTATATTGTTGCTAGAACGAGCAAACTGCTGGTTTTGTTCGATGAGTTTTCCTTCAACATCATAGTCGTTGTTATTGTTGGTGGTTTTCAAAGGAATCAAGGAAATCAACAACTCGGCGTGCACGAAGTATTCATTGTACGTAGGAGGGCGTGACTATGACAACATTTGAAATCAATTGTCTACGAAGAAAATAGTACGTAGATTAGATAAGTACCACATTGAATTTTTTTTCCCGGTGAAAAAAATGTCCTCGACGAACCGTATTCCTACCTACTACCTACTTACTGTAGTCAAGAGATCCTGACACCATGATCTAGAAATATCTCCCCACTTTTGTCACTCACAAATCCATATCCACGTCTCCCAAGTTCGCCAAGATATCTGGGTTCAACACAGGCACTGTCGGGTTTTCGTGATCGATGCTCTCGAATTTGTCCCTGAGCAAGCGCGTTGCCGCTGACTCCTCATCTTTCTTCGGGAACGTTGGTGCGGTTCTCAGTTCTCCATTGACGTCATAAAACTGTTCTTCTGTTGTGCTGATCTTGTGGTCACGGTCCCGGTTGTTAGCTGGGCCTCTGCCGGGGCGTCCGATACTAGAAGACAGCGTCGTTGGCGACATTTGTTCTTGTCCTATGACAGAAGAAGAAAATGTTAGAGCTAGAAGAAATCCATCTTGTTCAGCGGCATCTTCCGTCTTTTTTTCCTTGAGAAACAAACGGGACCAAGATGCCTAGTATGAATATGGATTTCTTCTAGCCTTAAAAATGCTGCATCATTCATGTAGTCTGGATGTTGCTCCGGATCCACGAAGTTGCCAGTAGAGGCAAGGGCGTTCTTGAAGATCTCTCGCAAGTCGAGGTTGTCGAGGTCTAATCGTCGTGGGACTGAGAAATCCTCGTCAGGAGCTGTGGAAGTGGAACTAGGACCTTGGCCTTGGGCTTGGACGACACTAGAGGATGAAAGAGAACTGGTAGTACTCATAGAGGTAGCAGAAGAAGATGTAACTACTCTCTGTGCTTCTTCCGTTGCAGCTGCAAGCAAGCGGGCAGCCTCAGCGTCGCCGCCTGTTCTTGGCACCGTGCCTCCAATGGTCTGGAACGAGTTGGTGACCTTTTCTTGGCTGGGTTAGAGGACGAACAAGTAAGTGCTGGTCCTCTAGGTACAACTTACTACACTGTACTAGTTGTAGAGGAGTCACTTGTTGGAGAATGAATCAGAATTGAATGTGATGAATGCCTTCTAGTGGAACAAGATGGATCACGATCAACATGATGAACAAATAGACATTATAAGGTTCACATGAACAAATTATAAGGTTCCATCTTGCCATAATCAAAGACATTCCGAAAATGCTGCATCCCCCCAAGAACATCCTCTTCCTGACCTCCACGACCACTTCCAGCCTCCAGGATTTCTTGTTCCTCCGTCCTTCTTACCAGCCGACTACTGTTGCTACTATTCGTAGGTGCCACAGTGGTAGCGTTCGAGGAGGCCAGTATTGCACTGCTGATCGTCAGAGTTGGCGATAGTCCTGCTGTCAGTGCTGTGAAGGTGCTGTTGAGGCCCGCTTTGATCGTCAAACTAGAAGTAGACACTGGAGCCGGCGTCGATCCACTATGAAAAGCCTCTGTGGTCGGCAAGAAGGTGATACCCAGCTCTTCAGGCTGTGGCATCTCGAACACGGTCTCGGAAGTTTTGGCTTGCTGGAGCAGAGGTTAGAGCAGGTACAGGCGGGGGAACAAAGGTTCACGAGACTACGAGTACGACAAGAGTTGTCTGCCTATTAAGAATTTGGATTCTGCTTCTGATTGATTGCGATATTACGTCGTGCTTATCTTCTTCAATCATCATGTACGAAATGGAAAGCTGGACAAGAATCATCAGATCAACATCGTCATAAGTGTAGAGCCACTTGAAAAGCAGCACATCGGCGCTCGTGTTGTAACCCAGCGTTGATTTGGCAGTCAGAAAGGCGTCGCCCGTTTTTTCAGTGTCGTATGGTTTTAGACGAGGCTACTTATGATCCGAGGCAGCTATACAGTGTACGTTTGACTCTGTGACTGAGAATGACTGCTTTATACCTGACTACGCATAAAGCCAAAGACTCTTGCTACAGCTAAAGGTGATCGAAGTCGCATAGTACTAAATTCTTCACAAGATCAAGAAGACCTAGAAATTTTAAGAGCGAGACTTCATAACTGAATAGTGATCGCACTCGCCACTTTACGCAGTAAGGTCCGCTCAGCATTCCGCAAGGCTTCGTGCAATAGACGGCTTTTCTCGACCTTCGCAACCTCTACTTGGGTCATTGCTTGGATCTCACTCGTTTCTTTGGGAGATATGAACAAGGATGTTGATGGGGATTGATTCAATGGATTTGATTGTTGATGCATGTTGACGTGAACGTCATGTAGTAGAAGTCGTTTCCGTTGCTCATCATGAAGACCACGATGAGGGTCAACATCGCAGAAGATGGAACATGAGAGATTCTGCCTCTTTTTCTTCTCTCGGCTTCTCTAGTTGTCTGCGCGCGACATGACGAGGCCCGATAGTATTGCATTTCAGGAATCGAAAAGTGGCCACATACAAACATCAAAGGGTCAAGATGCACAAGATGTCCGTCTTCATAACAAAATAGGCGGCTTCGAGCCTCTGCCTCGCCAATTCCGTGTCCTGGATAGCACTCCTCAGCTGCAAGGGCAAGTCCACTGATATTATCACAAGCGAATACGCCGTCACTGATGTTGTTTTTGGTGGTAATCAATCTTCAACCTAGTACTTTCTTCGAAGTCCTTCATCAAAGATTTCATCAAAGAAAAGTACTTCTCCAAAAATTCTAGAAATGCAGTTCTTCTACACATACGACCTCAACATCTTCTATGAGCTATGTCCAGCATCGAGATAGTTGTACGACCACAGAAGGAAGAGGTGGAACCAGCAAAATGAAAATACTTCTAGTAAGATGAAATACCGATGAAATACCAGCATCGAGATAAGTAGTTGTACCAGCACGGAGGGAACCATCAAAATCATGTATGTTTGCAAAGTGCTTCTAACCCATGATAAAGCCCTGATCTTTGTGCTTGTTGAGTAAGATGAAATACCATTCAAAGGTTTCAACGCATCGATCACCCGCGTTTGCATCGCTGCACCTATCAATTCTCGTTTCACATAGAATTCCAATGCTCCATGCTGACTGACCTCTGACCTAACCGCCGCTGAGATGCTGTTCGAGACCAGACCATGCCAGCTCTCAGCCCCATTCACAGCAAAAAGACCGAGCAAAGAATCAGTCAGTTTCGCGTTAGGCTGCGGAGGTTCGCTGTCAGTTCCTATTTGAGGACTGTTTTCCGCCTTAGAAGAGGGAGCAGAGAGGTACAGGTAGTACTTAGTCTACTTTCAAGAATAGGAGAAGCAGACTACTTTCAAAAAAAGAACAGCTACAACGAAGAATGTTCTGTTCCACGCCATAACCCTTATCCCCAATTGCAAAGCGACGCCCACCTCCAAATTCACGAGTAAGCCCTCTTTGGTTCGGCAACTCAAAGCCGCCGAATTGTGGACGAAGTTTGACGCCACTAAGTCTTTCTCGTCGTTTGCCATGACGCCAGCCACATAGTTAGAGATTGAAATGATCCATATTTCATCTCATGTAGTAGTTGGCCTGTCGTGATAGTCTAATCTATTTCGTCGTGAGTACAGTCTCATCAAGGTCAAAATGATCAAGGAAGGGAGTGAAAAAAAAAGTTATTAAACACTCGACCAGCATTGTCCTCGAAGATGTCGAATGATTCATCTTGTTTTTTAAAATCTACATGATCTTCTTGTACTCCAAACAAGCCATAATACACGGTTCGCAATCTGCGCCGTCCAGTTCGCACTCATCATCTAGGTCACAGCCGTCGGCTGCTACTGTTCCCGAAGGTCGTGCACCATTCAAGAAGGCGAAAACCATACGATTGGCAGGGAAGAGGATGAAAAAGAGATAGTAAGGATCTATCAACGTAGATTGTGGTGATTTTTCATCTTCTGGGGTCAGGAGAGAAAGAAGCTGATGTAACTTTCCGGTCAGAATTCGCAAAAAAATCTACTTACTAGACATAAAAAAACTTCTAATGATCCACCACGACTTACCTTAAATTTAATGAATTCATGCCCGAGTCCCAAGAAGCGTCGTCCGCCTTGCCACACCCGATCCGTCGTGATCTGTCGACTGTTGAGGTTGTACTCTATTCCCAGCTCTAAAGGCTCCAGTACTGCAAATGAACATGCGAAAAGTATAATCGCAGCCCAAAAGAAAGAACAGCAACAACATGCCTTTCCGAAAAAGAAGAAGACGTCGTCTTCGTCTGCTAGCGGCATCTTGCTCTCGATTGGTGGTCGCTTGGTGCAGGTTGTCCTCTTCGTTTAAATAGTACACTAGTACCTAGAAGTTGTCTATAGTAGTTCCATCACTATCCATGTTGAGGTTTCATTCAGTCATCTTGCTTCTTCAGAGGCGGTTGTAGTAATGCACTTTCTTCTATCTGTGAAAAAGTACTTATACAATCTTCTATTTCTGGTATTGCTTTATAAGGATAGATGAGGGTATCATCTAAACAGGTGAGTCGTAGGCTTCTTCTCTCGCACTGCATCTCCTCATGCTTTTTATCTTTTGTCTCGGGTCCACATCTCTCAAAGTCATGCTCTCACCGTCCACAGTTGTTGCGGAAATCAGCGGTCCAGGTCGTGCGATTGACGAAGGCTACAGCTTCTTGAAGCTATCAAAATCAAAATAAAACATCCTCTGTACATCATCAAACTGTTGTAGGTCTAACTGTCAGTGGTTCTTGTTCTATACAACATTTTCTGGTACTTACATCCTGTACAGTTCGAAGTAAATCTGCTCGCTGGAAGCAGCCATTACAACCAGAATGATTCTGGTACTAGATGAATCGTCATCACCTCTGAAACCCGAAAAAACCAAAAACTTTTGTGACACTATCATCAAACTCTTCACTTTTGAGTCCTGTGTGCTTGACTTCGTTTGAAACCGCCAGAAGGTCCTCATTTGGTACACACGCTGCCTGCGGAGCCGCGCCACCGTTTCCGACAGATACGCCGTTGCCGAGCTTTGGGGGTTAGAGGTAGAAGATGCATCCTGCAGCGCATGGTCGTGGTGTTCTTTTTTGCAGCCTTTTGGGAAAATGTGTAGACACAAGATCATTAAGAAAATCAATGTAAGTAGTTATATTTTTACGTCTATAAGAACTCCTTGCTCTCTTCTCATAATGCGTCCACCCCGCTCCCTGGCCCGATAAAAAATACGCATTATTCAGAGCAGATCGTTCCGCATTGGAGGTGCCGCCGGCGTCCGGGACACTGCAATAAGTGGCGCAATATACGTCGTAGAGTGTCTGCTTCGTTGGGGCGTAGGAACCTAAAGAGAGGCCTCCTTAATTTTGGACTAAAGACACAGCCTCGTCAAAAGGTCTTCTCAGTCTCAAACATCTAACAATCTTCTGATCGTCTGTCGTCCTCCCTTATCTTTACAAGCGGCGCAACTAGGATAGTGCACCCCCCAAGAAGGGGAACAGGTGAGGTCAGGGAAAAGCCCATAAGCACCTCCTGCAGGCTTTTCTCCCGTCTCCAGGTTATACTTATAGCGTCCACTTATAACCAAAAAGGAGAACCCTGATTTCTGGAAAAGGAACCAGCAAACCGAAGCATATGATAGTGAATAAATCCTGAAAGCACGATAACATTAACTATCTTCTGATCGTCGGTCCCCCTAATGGCCGCTTACCAGGTCCCACTTCAGTGCACTCTTCCTTCTTGCCGCACATAGGATCTTCAATCAGCGAAATTCTTCGGCATGCCAGTTTTTTCGAAACCTCAGTCACAACGCAGCACCCACAGCTGCAACGATCCTCAGGGATCTCGTACACTTCATCCGCGAAGATAGACTTGGCCTTCTTCACTCGAGAAGATGCTGCTGTTGATGTAGATGTAGTAGACCGTTTCTGTCTTGCTCTTGCGGTAAGGAAGGAACGAGAGAGCTGTGTGGAGCGGGTGCGGAGTGAGGTGGTCGTCAAAGTAGTCCTCTTCGTACGGGCGGAAGCGAATATATCCGACCCTGGTAACCACAGAGAGAAAGTGGATAGCAAAAACCTCTTGATTTTACACACTGGTGCCATTCTTTAGTTCGATGGAAGAGGTTATGGTTATCTACGAACAATAGCGTAGCTATTATAGCTTTACTTTTAAAGAACCAAATTCCAGTCGTACTAGTATTTTTGCGGCGTTCCATGGTGACTTAGGTGGATCGCACTCCCATAGAGCGCATGAGTGAACATATTTCTTTGTCTCGACAATACCGGGTCGGAATCGTCGACAACATGCAACAGGTTCAGCTTGTTTTTTTTGAATTTGTTTTCGAATTAAACCCAAAAAAAAAATTGATCTCCCAAAAAGCGATCAGAATCCTCTTGCTTTTTAGCTGTGCGTTTAACATCCGCCATTAGACCTCATATCATTTCTTGACCAGAGAGTTGCGACCTACATGATGATTATGGTATTTCATTCAACATTTCCCAGATTGAATAAGAAGCATAGTAGCTGTGCATAATGTACAGTTTTTAATGCTCTCTCTCATGACGTAGTAGTTAATGTTAAAAACAAACAGTATAAATCTTCGACGACGACGACGACGACCTAGTTGTCCTCTGCCTGGTGGTGTTTGAGTTGACGCTTAGATAAAAATAGGTTAATTTGTTACGATCATATGAGTTGTACCTTGCTCTGTACATCCAGCAATACATCATGGCCGGTAGTAGACCACATGCTCTTGACGATGATGCTGACAATTCATTAGCTTCTGTAACTAACTAAGTATGTCGTGCTGCGAACAGCTGCTGATGCCGCTAAAAAATGCTCCGTGACTTATTTTATAGTCTTCATAGTTCATTATGGTGCGTGTGCGTGCGTGATCAATATGAGTTACAAGAAAAGTGCTTAGTCAAGTCCAATGTACATTTTTGGCAACGAGACGACTTAGAAGCACACCTTCAGGAGACAAGAGCTATCAACATTACATGCTGTCAATACTAAGTTTACATTTACGATGTTTACATGTTCCTCTCCGATGTAGATGTTTACATTTACGCCAAGCTACGATGTCCTTTGTCCCACTTTCTTATCGAAGTCGTTGAACAATTGGTCGAGCCCATCCTTCTTCGGTCGCCCAGCGGCTTTTGCTTCTGCCTTTTGCGCCGCTCGTTTGTCGCGAAGCCTAGCAGAAGCAACGCCTTCCATCCGTCTGCGGTCGGGAGACATGGAACGGGCGTACCTATTTTCGTTTAAATGTTTCCATATTTATAGAACTATGGCGAGTATGACGGTATCAATGAGAAAAAAATATTCAAAGCTTTCAGGAGCTTAGTTTGTGAGAGTACAATGGGATAGATCTAACATCAAGTATGTTCAAATGGGATAGATCTAACAAGTACCAATTCTTATATGGCGTCCACCCCAAATTCATTCTCGGCAATTTCTCGTGCTTCGGTGGGAAACTTGTCACCCTCTTATGGTCCACTAGTTTCTGGGTTTCGGCTATGGATTTCCAGAATCCAGCTCTATCCAAATCTCTAGCTTCATCAGACAGGAATCTCATGATTTCTTGTTTGACAGAGATCAGCCTCAAAGGCAATCGAGCTTGGTTCCATTCCTCTTCGGAGATGTGTAGCACGTCGCGTAAAGCACGCAAGGAGAGGAAGGCGCAGGCCTTCACGATTTGGCGCTTTACCTGTAGTTGCGATAGTTGTTCATGACTGATAGGTTGGATGGGTGGAGAGCAAGGAGGAGGAAATTAGTGAAGTCGAAATGAAAGTGATTTAAGTATTTGTTTGAAGGGATAAGCCTAAGGATAGAGGGAAAACTACTAGCCGGCTGTTTTCAAAAAAGTCAAACAAACAAACATAATATTTAGACCAAATCATCTAGATCTAAGTAAAACATAAACAAGTAGTACCTTCTTTGCCTCCGTCTTCTGTGCTTGGCTTTTAAACAACTCCTCATTTTTCTTTTGGATGTGGAGATTATCGAACCCTCTAAACGGGAGCATCTGCATCTTCTGCCTATTCAGAAGATCCTCTAAGAAATTGAGCATGATCAACGTTTCGGAGGTTTTCTCGTGATAGAGAACATTCTTGACATCCGCAATTATTGGGTTCCCTTGCCGGTCAGTGAAGAAGCCGTTCCTGTGGTTTGGGGATCATAGATATGGTTATCATGATGATCGATGAGTAGGACCATGATTAGTGGGGACACACATGGCTTTTATCATGATGATCGATGAGTAGGACCTTGATTGTGATTCACGATTTCAGTGGACGACTGTACCTTAACTCATTGATGTAACAATAGAGGTACTTCATTTTCCTAAAATCGTATTCCCACTGATCCGGGTCTGGAACGGTCTTCTGATGGCTATTTGCTAAGGCGTTGTTGATCAAGTGGCCATCCACGACCTTCGGCAATGCGAAGTCTATCTCAGACTCCAGTGGGAGTCGCGGCTTCCAATTCTTTATCTTCTCGAGAGGGTCGACCTGGGTGTGGTGGTGGGGGAAAAGGTGGATGGAATGGGGGACCGGAAGTGGTGGGTCTTGTTGTAGTCGGAGCAGCAATAATATTAGATATGACAATTGTATTAAATAAAATAATAGAAGTTGTCGAAAGAAAAGTAAGTAGCAGTGAAAATCAAATACAAATTGTAAGTTGAGGCAATATCCGAAGCAAGAAGGCAGGGAAAATCAAACTACTACTACCGAAGCTTTCATCACCTACATTTTTTTCGAAATACAATCGCACCAATCAAGAAGTAGTACTTTCTTCTTCTTATTCATGAAGTCGAAAACGTCAAAATCGTCGCTTTCCTCTTCGTTAGCTGTCTTAGCCTTCTGTACTTCCTCTAGCAAGCCCTCGAACATAGGGTGCTCAAATTCGTTGTCTCTGCTAGTTCGATATTCGAGCTTTTTCACCATAGGATCTATGGTCTTGACCTTGGCCATCTTCTTACTGCCACAGGGAAAAGGGTCAATGTTGTCTGCCCAAATGGTGACGGGACCGAGGAGAGTTCGGCGGCCTGGTGTTCGTTGGTGATGGTGAACGTGGCTATTTGTGATTTTTATTTTGGAAAACAATGTTGAGATAATCAATACAGAGCTGAAATTCTGAAGGCTCCTTGCCACAGAATAACCACTTTCTTCTGCACTATTTCTTGATGTAGTTGGTTTGGAATGACACAGAACAAGACCTACAGAAATATGATCTCAAAAGCTGCCTCCACTGAGAACTACAAAAGAACAAATCATAATACGTGGATGCGGATCATTGCTCGCTGGTCCCTGCGATGCTGCTCGTTGCGACACACCTGTCCCGAATGGCAATCTTTTTTCCACTACTTGCTCTACTCCACCTCCAGTAAGTGGTGCTCCTCTAGGTCCTGCCAAGGATTGGTTCTGCTCTCCTGCAAAGACACTGGATCCACCTCTACTGCCAGGTCTAAAATTTTCTGCCAGGAGAGTCTCGTCTAAAATTCTCTGCATAGCAGCGTCGTAAGCAGAGCCGTCGTTGGGGAGGGCCAGGGTATCTGATGTTGTAATGTCGAGGAATCGAGGAAGTATGACGTGATGATTTTGCCTCTAGACGACCAAAGCCGACAGTAAAAACCTCAGTCACGACATGATGTAGTTTGAACGACAAGTAAAAGATCATTGACTGAATTTTACTTATGAGCTACACTACAAACGACAAGCTGCAACAAAGCTACGCGAGTACTTCTAGGCGATTCATTCCGCACGTCTTTCAGTCCCGGTTGCGACAGAGGTCCTGCGCTTTGGCCTAGGTGTCCTTTCAACGTCAAAGCTACGTCCCAGTCTCTGCCACACTGTCGACCCCGGGTGTGGCTCTCCTGTCTATCTTCAGACTCCGCTTTCTCCCTATGCAAAGCGGCCTTTATTTTTTCGTCGGTCTTGGCTGACTGTGGTCTTCTACGGTAGGCTTGACCATGCTTGTTGAGAAAGTGCGCTACGTTGTACGAAAAAACGCGTTGGTTCTGCTCGTCTGTTTGATAATTATCGAAAGAAATGAATGACAATCTGAATCTCTATCTCAAGATACAGAAACTAAGAGAACAACAAACTAACACTAGTATGGCGTTCTAGTAACGTAGCAAAGAGTACATAAACATATCTGTCTCGTCAAATCAGGAGCCTTTTCTATCAAATAGCAAAAAGTACATATCTGCCGCGTCCTGTCCGCTTTTTCGCCTTCTTCCATTGGTACCCCTACGTGTTTTATTCTCCTCCTCTGGTTCGCTAATGCCGCAGTGTTAAACATCGAGTCTAAGCTTCCCTTGAACGGAAGGACCCCACGTGCCGCCGCTTCCTCATCCATCAAATCGTCTTCCCCGTTGTAGTCGTCCACTGGCACTACTTCATCTGCAGGCTGAGGACCGCCACCAGTGCTTATTTGGTTCAATTCAACGTTGAACTTCGTACTAGATGAACCAGTTTCGTTCCACTTGTGGTTGTGCTGAGAGGAGAAAGTCGAAGCTGGATCGACGCCGTCTACAAAATTCTTGCTATTTCCACCGCCTAAAGACCCTGAAGCAGTGGCAGTCCCATGCGTGGTTTGTCGCTGGGTCGCGCCAATCTCCAAGCTTGTAAACCTTAGTAGATAGTCCTCGCAAGCACTAATATTTCTAATTGATTCTAAGTTTGCCGCGGTTGCACCATGAGAATCATCAAGGTTCAAGTTATTTCTGGCGGTTCTCAAGGAAAAGTCTAAACGAGAATCATCAATCACATTCATTTCCAATTCCAGCAAGAACCTATAGAATTACTGGTGGAGCGCCTACAAAAAAATTGTTCTACGTATCTAAGACTGACTTGTTGTACAACTTGGAGAGGATCCTTTCTTGCCATAAGAACTCCCCTCCCACGGGTTCCAGCATCGCGCTATCGCCTTCCTTGATCTTTTGCAGGTAGTCCATCCCATACTCTTTCAATTTCGCCTTCAATTCCGTGAATGCTGGCGTCATATCTGGCAACCTAATCGGCGTCGTTCCGTGTGTCGTGGCGAACGCTGCCTTCCTCAGGTCGAAATAGCGTCTATTCCTGTCACAATACAAGTCCATATCTCGATCCAGAGAGTTCAAGACATCGTCGTAGAGAAAGGACACGTCTTCCAGTTTGAGGTTCATTTTCTGCAGAAATTCGTTTTGTCGCATGAGCCACAGTTTTGTGTCCACTGCGTTGGACTGGCTACTGTTGGACACGAAATTACGGTTCCTAACCAAGCCATTGTTGATCTGGTTGTGCAGTCGGGCGTCGAAGATGACGTTGTTGATCGTTCCTGCGGCACTGGAGGCGGAGGAAGCGAGGAACGGAGGCGCGGTTAAGTTCAGGTTGTCCACGTGATGGGGCGAGAGAGGTTAGAGCTTATAATATTTCAGGAAGCAGCGATGCTTTAGCTTTAAATTGATTCACATTTTTCTGATGTATTTAACTGACTCTTCCACAAGAAAAACTGCACAGTCTACACGCAGGCTCTACTATTAATCATGCCATGGCACGAAGACGAGTCTGCTGGAACTTAACTACTTCTACGTGTGATTATAGGCCTTGTGCTTGGTCAGCAGAAACTATCTGATAGTCGTGACTACTTCTTCTACATCTACACAAAATTCAGATCCATAATCTCTATCCGCTAACTCGAAACCCGTGAAGATATTCCTTAGACTCCACTAGACTATAAGAAGTACCCGTTATTTATATATTTTCCTTACTCTGTAGACTATAACTCTACTAGACTATAAGAAATACCCGTTATTTATATTTTCCTTAATATGTTCCTTACTGCTCTAGACTATAAGAGTTATTCCTTACTGCTCTAGACTATGAGAAGAAACTCTGCCACAAACACGACTGGTCAAGATCCCTTCATAATCTCTATCCGCGACTCCTCCAAATTGCTCTCCGCCATCAATTGCCGGGCTCTCTACAAACAACGTCCTCACATACTCTTTCCTCCTATCGCCTTCGGTCGCGGTGTGGCCTAGGGCTTCTGCCGTTCTCCTTCTCACCGGAGAAGCATCGAAGCTTTCTAGGACTGCTCTGTCATCCTCCGGGTCGGCGCCTGGTGGCAAACCAGGAAACAAATCTCGTTCGCCCCACAATGTGACGGTCTTCTTTGCGCCGTCAGGCGAGTGGGGAGCGTGTGATGAACCCGTCATATTTTTTGCCGCTCTTTCTTGAAGAATTGGCGTTCGCGTAAATATTTCTTAAATGGAAGATATATTATAATGGACGACGACGTCGTGGACGAAAAAATCAACGTACTTCCATGAGATGCACTTACGGATCTCTACGAATAGATGAACGAGATGATTATCGTTGACGACTGAGTCTTACATGATCGGTCAAGTCTTCATGTTGCAGTTGACTAAGTAGAATCTTGACTAACGGATAAGTAAGGGTGGAATGTCTTTACGCGTGTAAAGAAACACACACAAAAAGAAAAACCACAAGAAGCACAGGGAAAAGGCAAGGGGGTCTAAAAATAAAAAACAAAGGCGGTGGGAGATGTGGGAACTGGATAGAGATGATCGGACAGAGGTAGATCGCATGTTTGATCCTGAACAAGAAGACCCAGATACTTTTTTTTGATTTCACTAAAAACTCAAGCGTATACCTCCTTCTTTCAGCATTGCATGCACCAGACCTGAAGTCAGCTTTTATCTAACAGAAATAAGCATAATATGCAAGTCTCTCTTAAGACTTGTTGTAATACTTTGCGCTCCTGCTCTAGTCTGCACAGAATTTTCTTTCCTCACAGGAACAGACTGCTGTATGTCCTCATAATCGAAAAAACAATTTGCTCTTCACGATGTTGACTCTCAAGCAGGTCTGTTGAACAAGAACAATTCCTACCTAACTTCAAGTCGGATCTCTCAATCGTTCTATCGCTCTTTTAGTAGTCGTGAAATAGTTGTATCTCCTGTTCTATTTCTACAGTCGGTCTTTCTCTACTGATCATCTTTGTCGATGAATCCAAAGATAATGCTGAATTTACCCCCAGCACGATGCTTAGTTGTTATCTTTAGTGTACTACGTCGTGTCTTTTCTGCGAAGCTATAAACAAAGAATGCTGTCGTCCGAAATAAGGTTGTAGGTAGAATCTTCAGGTAGAACTAGAAAACCAAAGTCTAACTGTAGTTGTAAGTAAATGAAAACGCGTCAACATCGTTGTCATCAATAAAACAATACAACCTATCTCTCTCTATCTATCTATTGAAACATAAGAAAACATCTTTATCTAAATCTAGAGAATCGATCTATTGAAACATAAGAAAACATCAGCATCATGTGAATTTTAACATGTCCAGCTCATGCGATACCGTATTCGGCGGCCGCTCTTGGATCCTTCTCCTGGATGCGAAAGGATCGGCAGCACTTTCAGCTAAGAATCGATCGCGTTTATTCTTGCTCGATGAAGAGGTCAAGGAGGTATTGAAGCTGATGTTTTGTAAGGGGCTTCCTGACGCATGTCGTGGTCCACCTCGGAGGTGGTTTTCTTCTGAGACATGTTTATTCTGATGTGCTAGATGAAGTGCTCGATCTCGAAGAGGTTCTTCTCGACCTTGTGGGCCAGGGCCACCTTGCCTATTCATCGAAAAGAAATTAGCACCAGACTCCAGCTCCAGAGGTGGCGAAGCAAACGGACGATGAGGAGATCCACCTCTACCAGTTCTACTTGTGCCAGGAGACCTTGTTGACCACCTTCTATCAATTATAGTACCGCCACCTCCACCACCTCCAGACGAGTTCGAAATTCCACGTCCTCCGACTGTAGTGGTAGAACGACCAAGCAGCATTTCTTCGAATCCACGCGAAGACATTGAACTGTTGAGAGACTGCTCATCTGCAAGGACGCCAGCGAGAAATGATGTAGTTGTTGCTGAGGTAGCAGGTAGAGGAAGACGATCTTCCCCGTCTATGAGTACTTGTGGCTGACGATCTTCCCCACGACCTATGAGTACTTGTGGCTGCCTCAATAAGTCTCCAGTCCTAGTGGCTGAGGAAGGCGCACTAATAGTACTTGAGGACGAGGATATCGACGTCTTTGACGCTGCATGTCCAAGTGGTTGACCGAATAAATTCACGACCTTGTTTTGGTGGTCCACGTCTTGTTTATCCCCTTGTAGTTTGCTTCTATTCTTCGTGGAAAACGATGAGGACGATGCGGACGACTGCTCAGTCGAACTATCCAACAGCTTATTCTTAGACGATGACGACGCAATTGAGCTAGTTTGGAAACTGATGTTCCTTGGCATCGATCGAACCCATTGGGGAGTACGATTCTTCAGATCATGAGCCTGATCATCATCGGCTTTACCCGGTCCACTACTTCTCAGCCGCTGATGCACTTGACGTAAGATGGTGTTGCTTGTTGGTGGCAAGGCTAGTACTGGAGCTCCTGCTCCAGCAGATGATGAAGTGGCTGTACGAAGCGTCCTACTAATATGACTCTCCTCCAGGTGCAGAGGCAGAGGCAGAGACGAGCCCAATTTTACATCCTCGGAGCCCAATTTTACATCCTCGTGTCGAGAAACAACTGCACTGTCAACAGCACCATGACCATCAAACGGATCATGATCATCTCCAGCACTTGATGCTGGTCCTCCACCTGACAGCGTTCCCGTCAATGAATTCTTTCCGTCCTCGCTTGGAACAGCCAGAAGTTGTTCTGTGACACTGTCTTCCTCTTCTTCAGGGTGTTCGTCACCGCCATCATCATCGTCATGATCTCCAAGCAAGTCGACTGCGACCATTTCCTCATAGGAATCAGCAGCTAGGTCGTTTTCGTGCTCACGTCTATACTCACCTGTCATGGTGTCGTCGTTAGCCGCGTCATCTTCTGGACAACTAAGGTCTACCTGCTCATGCTGGTGGTCCTCGTCTTCACGACCTTCAGCATGTCCATCTTTTTCATCAACAACATCCTCGTCCGTCTGATCCCCTCCACGTTGTAGCTCATCTTCTTCTGTTTCCACAACACCTGGTCTAGAATGTCGGTCCTCTGCCAGTCGTGGCACGTAGTTAGTCGTGACCTCCTCCTGTATGACACCCTGCTCTTCTTCTGAATGTCGTATCCGCTGATCTTCTGAATGTCGTATCCTCTGCTCTGATCCTCCTATGGCACCACCGAATGCACGCGCGAGTGCGTCGTCGATGGAATGATGATGGTCCACCTTTTTTTTTATGAGGACATGCTCCTGTTGTTGACTTATATTGGAAGATGATGTTGTCGCTCTTCTAGTTGCTGATCCTCCTGCCTTGATCGTTCTGCTCACTGTAGAAGTTGATGTCAACTGCGGACTCGGGGATGCCATTTCGTCTATACAGCCACTAAGATTCTTGGATGGACGTGGTGGCGAAGGAGAAGGAGCTCCGAACGAAGGTGGGGCGAAACTAAAACTGCGGCTGATTCCTGCTCCGGGAGCCGAGAAACGCTGAGGTTTCCGTTTCTGTTGCTGTTGGTGGTCAAGAGGAGCATCAACATTTGTTTGTCCATGTCCATTACGAACGAGAAGAAGTAGATTTTGAACATCCTTAGACGAGTTAGACCCTGAAGATGTCTCGACGTCATCGATTTCGATTCTTGTCCCCTGGTGGAGGCCCTTGATGGCTGGTGCATGGTCAAATTTTACTTCTCCATCTGCCCCTCCAGCACCTCCTACTGAACTCGCGTCTGAGATACACGAAACCGCAGACGACGCACTTGGACTAGAAGGTGGTAGTCGAATCGGGCGATTAATCATCCCTGCTTGCCGAAAACTCAATCCTCCTGGTGGAGAAGGAGCGTATGGAGGAGGTCCCCTAGAACTAGAAGAAATATTTTTACCCAAACGACCTGTAGTCCCTAGAACAAGTGTGCTTGTCGCTGTTCTACTACCTGCAAATAACCTCGCACTACTACTTGTCACACCTCTCTCCTCAGAGGACCCTAGAAGCAACATGCTAGTTTGCGTCTCTGCGTCGTTTACGTCATGTAAGGTCTGAGGCTCACGCATGGAAGCCCTCTGAGGGGTCGAAAATCTTGGACCTCCGCTTTGAGCCGCTCTCGTAGGAACTGGTGGGCGCGGTGGAGGTGGATGGTCCAGGAGAGACATCGTCGAGTTGCAGCTTGTTGAGCTGGGAGCGCCTAGAATAAAGCTTGTCCTGCTAGGATTACGGTTGTGCTGCGCCACGCCAGCTGGGTGAGAAGAAGTAGAAGATGAAATATTTTTACCCGATGTCGACTGGAACAGTGGAGGCCTTGGCGGAGCACGAAATGTTGTAGTCGTTGAAGAAGACGTTGCTGCACTTGTTGATGCTGGTCCTTCTCGTCCCCTATTTGTAGTAGAACTAGAAGTAGTTGTTCCACGACCTCCACTTGTTGAAGACATCAAAGTACTAGTAGACATCAAGTTGTTACAACTGCTGGCACTACTTTTCAACAAGAACTTGCCTTTTTCAAGCATCTCTGAAAATACTGTAGAGTTGACGCTATCCAACGAATAGGAGATTGCTAATTTCATCTCATCTTCCTCTCCTCGTCCAGCAAGTATTTTGTTGTCTACCTCTACTCTACCTCTATGTTGTTCTCCAGGCTCTGATGATGCTTCTCCTGCCACTACAGGTAATCGATGCTGAGCTGCTAGACCCACTAGGAGTTCGCTCCAACTCCCACTCGAAGATGAAGATCCGCTCCTCGCGCCTGTTGTAGTTGCGCCACCTACAGTAGTGGAGATAGACTGTTGAGTGTTTGCTGCATGATCCTGAAGAGACTTATGTCGACGTCCACCCGCTAGTAGCAAAGGTTGTCCTGTCCTCGTAGTCGTACAACCACCAGTCAAGTGATTCAGTGGTAGTTCTTCCGGATAAGCTCCGATATTGCAGTTCGACACTGATGTAGTTCCACCTCCTCCTCTACTGCTTGGCGGAGGATAGACCTGGTACATGTCAGTAGAAGAAGCCGTTTGCTGTGATGTTGTGCTGGGAGACACACCGCCGATGCCAGGGGGGCTGAATTGAGGCATACCTCCACCTCCAGCTGCTATGTCAACAGGCGGAATATCCACGACCTGCCTACCTCCTGCACCAGCATTTGCACCTCCAGCAATTAGTAGCTGTTGTAGATTCCTCCGACGCGGTGCACTTCTACTTCTACCTCCTGACAGTACTCCTATGCCTCCAACTCCTGCAACTCCGATGCCTCCGATTCCTACTCCTACCCCAGCAGCTGACGATATATTACTCGTATTCGAATGTGTTGTATTTGCTATGTCGTGTGAATTCATAGAGCTATTGGAGTAGATCAGAGTGTCCACGCGAGTTTGCAGACTACGAATCTCAGACTGGAGGTGACTCTCTACGTCACGGAATTCGTCCGAAAGCTTCACAATAGCAGCATGAATGTCCTTGTTCTGGTGCTCGCTTTAAAGCTCAGCACTCAATGGTCACTGACTCTGAACAGAAGAGACCCCCCTTCAAAGCTCTCCCCTTTGTTCCCTTCGGTTATTTCCCCTGCTGGTTCTCTCAAGAAGGGGTCGCCTCTTCGATCTCAGGGACCCCAATCTCAATGGTGACCATTGAAAGTTGAGCCTTAATCGTTGGCGTTTGACTTTGAGTTTGAGGATGATGAAGCAACATCAGCATCCTCTGCGCTGTCATCTTCATGTTGCTGTAGTTCTTGTCCTGGCGACGCCTGGGCAACATATCCCGAAGACCGTGTCCTTCTATATCCTCTTCTAGTAGTAGTAGCAGTAGCACTAGTACTCGATACTCCACCACCACCTCCATGATCTGCTGCTTTCCCGCTTTCCTCTGCTTGACCTTGAGCCTTCTTCAACAATGCTCCTTCGCGACTCTCCAGTAACGAGCCTCGTATCAGATCCACTGTCGCGTCTTGCTCATAGGAGGAACGGACACCGGCACCTCCGACGCCTGCGCGGCACATCAGACTCAGAGCACTGATATCACTAAAAACACCTCTTGGTGTTGATTTCCGACTAGACTTCCTAGAACAATCATTAAACCGCGTTCCTGGAATCAGAAGGGTTGACGGCAAAGATTGCGTTCTACTACGCCCACGAGCTACGACAGGTCCACGCTGTCCGATCTTAGCTAGGACTAAGTCAGCCTCTTGACGGGATGTGAGCAGAAGCTTGTTCTGATAGGCTGCTTTATTCTTATCTTTAGAAGCGCTGGTTGTCCTCGTTGATGTACTTTTCGATTTATTCTTGGAGGAAAACGCAGCAGGTACTCCATTAATCCCACCACGTGAAGGTGGACGATACTTCTGTTGAGGAGAAGACGAGGAATCCTCCTGCTGTCTTGTTTCTTCAGGATCAGGAAAACTGTATCCCACGCCACTAGGAATGGGGCGCGAGATCTGTTCTAGGGCAGAGGAAAATGGTCGACGACCTCCAACATCTGTTCTAGGTCTAGTACTTTCAGGTCTAGAAGTAGTAGATGCAGATACTCTCGTAGCTAGTGGAGACGCCATCACTTCCCCCATAGGCGTTGGTGGCATAGGTGTAGCAGCGCTTGGTTGCGGTGGCCTACGCGGTTCCTCATCCGTTGGTGAGGATATCATGTTGTCCTTGGAGGTCCTCGTGAATCTGGGTTCTTGCAGTTGTTTACCTTTACGAGTGTTATTGTCTACTAAGCCAGCCGCGGTTTCTAATTCGTCTACCTCGTCGTGTTCGTGAACGTGGCCTACATGATGACTGTCTTCTTGATCTACTTGATCTTCTAACTCGTCGTCTACGATCTCTCCATCCTGCCCAACTGCACTTCCTGGCAACCAATCCGTCCATCTTAAAAAAGGTGGTTGGCTCTTTTTTTTCTTCGTCGTCAAGATGTTGCTCACTTTCCATCTCCGTTTCTTCGTATCGTCACGAATCAGAGCTGCTAGCATACACACGCCCTCATCCGAACGCAGGAGCAAGACATTTTCACTAGAGTTTGTCTTCCTAGAAGTGCTACGTCCTCCTCCACTTGCTGCAGCAGCATCCCGTGAAGATGAATCAGGAGGCTTCACTTTGCAAACACGAAAATGAAGATGATCTGGTGCACTGCGGTCGTGTTTCTTCGCATCCTTGTTCGTCTTTTTAACCACTCTGCTCACCGCAAAAAGCAGTATATCCACCTCTGGAAAGTCAACCAAAAGCCGTTGCAAGTCTATCTGCAAACGATGTCTCTCTAGAGGACTTGAATTTACCGACACGGCACCAGAAGATGATGCAATGCTAGTATTTGTTGTATTGCTGCAAGAAGGAGGACCACCTCCTAAAGAATTCTTGCTCCATCGTCGTCGGATTGCCCTTGCCGCGAAGGTTCCAGAACTTCTCGTGGAGGAAGCAACTGAAGAAGCAACTGAAGTCTCGATGTCGATATCTACTTGATCCCGACTAGTTGATCCCGTTCCTCCTGCATAGCTAGATGGCGTGTCGTCTATCAAAGCTCCTCCAAATGGCGAACAAGAACTCTGATGTTGTTCTCTGCTGCACAATATCGAGGCGCCTTCTCCTGCACCACTTGCTGTAGTGACACAAGTGTGGTGGACCAGTCTTTGCTCTGCACCGTAAACGAGGCCACAATGAAACTCAAACGAATCAGCTGGAGCCGTTAACGTCGCCTCGACGAATCCGCTGTACACGAAGCAAGGAGGCGCGGTCGCCTCCAGCTGCTCGTTGTGCTGAAAGGTCATATCTTAATGTTAGCCACCTTCTTTTGCTGGAGTGATCGTTTCTTGTTTCGTTTTCCTTCGTTTGAAAGTCCAATTTCTTCTTCACACTTTTTCAATTAGTCAACATTTTTATTGTAGAAAAAGTTCGCGCATTCGCCATTCTTGCCCCAGTCCCCAGCGTCATCTTTAGTCGTAGTCATGGTCAACATCATCTAGAGTCTTCTTATGGTACAGCGTTTTCTTGCCCTTTTCATTATAGATACGGTTCTTTTTCGTTTTCCTCTCGCACCAGCATCACGCCAGCGCATGTTTTTCCTCTCGCAATGCCCGGCGAGCGCCATAGGCACTCGTCGAACTTTCTCTCTTCATGATGCAAAATGCTGCTTCTGGTTGCTTTGTCCATGTGATGCCATGCTGAACAAATTCCAAAGTCAGGAGGAAGACGGGAGAAAAGATGTTGAGACCACCAAGTGGTCTCAACGTCTCCACGTTAGAACTATCACTATTTTCCGCATGCAAGAACCGAGGTGGATACTTAGATTTTCAATGCATTTAAACTGATTTTTTCTTCCCTGATGTAATATGATCTCAATTTTTTTTGTATCAAAAACTTCATTCCCATGTAGTCTATCTTTGTCTCGAATTCTTTCATTTGATTTTCTCTAGCATGCAGATCAGAAGATCAAAGTTAAACATGCAAAATTGTATGTGAGATGAATTCTAGAATCATGATGGGCAACATGCATCAAACTTCAATGAAGTTATGGAAAATCTCCTTCTTCGCAAATTCTTACTAGTTCTCCTAGAAGATTTTCATACTAGTAGAGTCATTCTCATTAGTATCTTCTAAGCCATGATTAGAACAAGTTCATGACAAAATTTCCTGCTTCTCCCGCAAATTGGCCGATTTCGTCGGCGCCTGCCATAGCGACGTCTGCAATGGCGTCACCGCTGTCGGTCGCAATGACCGCAGCCGCAACGCCACCAGCCATTACGGCCATGCCAGCAGCTCCGATTGCTGCACCATGAGCCATACCTCCTGTCATGTCGGAGCCATTCTTCGTGTCCTTGTCAGTGGTTGCGGTGTCAGCTTGAGCAGGGTCGGTAGAAGCAGGTTGGTCGGGAGCGGGAGCCTGTTGTACTAGGTGTGATGTTAGAATGGAGATGGAGAAGGTTGGTCGGGAGCGGGAGCCTGTTGTACTAGGTGTGATGTTGAGGGTGACTCTTCAGAGATTGGAATGTAGATTCTTCATGGATTGGAGGTAGTTTCTACTTGCTTCAAGAACATTTATCCACAATTTCATTCAATGTGACTATGTTGACTATCTTCACGATAAATCAATATGTTGTAGGACCGCTGCCGCAACTTGATCGGCAGGTGGTACGGGAACGAGAAGCTGAGCGCCAGGATACGCGTCTGCGGGAACTGCTACCTGAAAAAAGATGCCCTTTTGAATTCGATTCGTCTTCATCAAGCTCAATGTCGTGATCTAAGGAATTCAAAGTGCCGATGTTACTCCGAAATGATAGAAGAAGTCCTGTTTGATTATCATGATGACCACGACAACAAAAATGTGGAACAAATTGGCATGCAAGCTCCTCAGAAAAACATGCGAAACCTCTATCGGTATAACTCAAAATCTACAGTATCAGTGTGTACCCGCATCATCAAAGCTAGGAGGAATATACCTGCATCATCAAAGCCGTGTTATTTGGATGTGGGATATGCAGCACATCTCCTGGCTTTGCGCTCTGTGGAACAAGCACGCATACCGTAGGTCCTGGCGGAACTACAGGCGCTGCCGGTGGCTTCAGCCCTGGAGGCGGACGGATCTGACGGCGTTTTCCGGATGCGACGTTCACTTGTTCCATTGTTTCAAAATGCCCATTAGAGCAGGGTGATGAAGACGAGGATGATCACTGGACGAGAAAGTAGATTTCTACTAGAAGAACTACAAAATCATACATGATAGGCAATTGGTGACAAGTGCGTAGTTGTAAAATTCTCAAGGACAAGCAATCTTCTTTCACTTGTCGTCCTGATCTAGTGAAAGAATTTCTACTTCATCATGTGCATGTTTCAAAGGCTTCTCAACATAATGTATTGATAGTCGTTCCCACGCAGGCGGTAGCTGCAATGCTTCAGCCCACTCATGTAGGCTTGCGTCAGCTGGGCGTTTTCGTCTGCGGAGTAGTTCTCCCAGCTGCCAGAGAGCTTCACTTGCCACTTGAACTTCGACATGTTGGTTCTTTGTTTTTTGTAATTGTGTTGCCCAATGGGAGACGTAGAGGGAGGTCTATTGCCACCAGTGTCTATCTTTTTGTTAATGTGTTGAGTATCTGTCTGAACAGGGGGATAAAGATTATTGTTAATGTTAGTAGGTGGATCAACAACAGCAGCGGGAGTACTAGCGACAACTGGAGTTACATTAGTAGTTTGCTGAGGATAGATAACTGGATTGATCACACTAGGAGTAGTAACACGACTAGGTGTGTCTTCTACCTGCTTGTTAGGTTCTACAGCAACCTTATGGTGTTGAGCTTCAATAACTTTCACGGTTTCGTTAGTAGTCCCGTTTTGGGGTCCAAGTTCGACAACAATAGAATTCGGCATCTTCTACACAGGTTAGAGTAAACCGTTTGTCTACGTTAGAACGCTTGTTAGAAGAGCTTTTTTGTCTGTATGTAGCAAGTGTATGCTCTAAGGATGTATCGGTTTCTAAGCCCAGGTCCTAGGATGTACTTCTACTTATACTCGTTGAGTAACAGTGCTTCTAGACTTGAATTATCTTGTCGAATAAAAGGTTAAGGTAATACTGAGCGTGCTACGTACGACTGCGATGGATTGCGAATTAAGAATTCTAGCTTCTCGATCGGCCAAGTTCTAGCAAGTCGTGCTTGGGGGAGATTTCCAAAAATGTTGATGGTAAAAAAAACTGCAAAACAAGTTCAAGCTTATCCAAAATAAATGAGCATGCAAGTACAATTAACTTCCAAAGTTCGCTTTAGTTTCTCTTCCCTCTGAGCTTAGATCATTTAGGATCGATCTGACAGAAAGATATAATTGTCTATTTGCTTCTTTCTATGCCTTAATATCTTGCAATCTTTTGAGTAGAAATGCTTGCTTCGCCTTTTACAATTTTTCTGCCTCGGTGTCTGTCCATTTCCTGCAAAGAGATTTGCAAAAGGGAAAGCGGTGTTTGGTCGGGTAAAACTGCATGCAGGCGGGTTACACTGATAGCATTCTCTCTCTCTCTCACAGCCAGATCGAACACTATATTTCCCCACTAACTATGACACACTCAGCACGACAGATTGTCGTATCTTAACAGAAACAGAGTAGCCACACTCGGTCCGATCGTTTCTCCCTCGACAGATGCTTTGAATTCCTGGCTAGACCGAATAACACAAAAGTTCCAGTGTAACTAGACAGTCTTCGCCGGTCGTGAAGAGAACAGATTTCTCGTTTCTCGTCACGCCCGTCCAAAGAACAGAGATGTCTTCCTTCTGGGATTAGGGTCGTCTCAAAAAACTGTGACGCACAGAAACAGAACGCAAAAATATCTCTCTCGCTCGGGATAGATGAACACTTCTTACATCTTAGTTGTCTCTACTGCCACCTTTCAAAATTCTAGAGATTTCTTGGTCTCAGGCAATTCACCACTCTATGCCAGACGACAACACATCAATCAGCGCACCACGACGTGACATCATGCACCGTCATTACACAAATTCCAGAGGAGTCTTAGCAGGAGTTTTGCTTTGAGACATGAGAGACACTCGTACTTAACGTGGAAAAAAACAGGAAAAACGGGAGTCAATAATGCATAGTGTAAACATCAATCTTTACAATACTGGAAAAAACAAGCAGGAGTCCTAGAAAACAAAAGTTCTGAACAGGTGTGTGCTCTCGATGATGCGTATGCGTTGATTTTTGTGGTCGAATGCGAGTCGTTAAATGTTATCTGCTAAAAAGGAAAGCATATTCTTTCTGTTCAATGTGGTCGTATGACATGCTCTCTTCAGTGTTGTGGTAAGTTCAAAATCTAGATCCCCAGACATTCAGTTCCTCTTTCTCCTTCAACAACAACAGCAAAGTTCCTCTTTCTCTCTCTTTCAACAACAACAACAACAGCAAAGTTCCTCTTTCAATAACAACTAAAGCTAAATCGACATCTAACAACAACAACAACTAAAGCTAGAAAAGCATCGACATCTACACGCATGTCACAACAACAAAGCTCTTTCTCTTTCAACAACAACAACTACACGCATGCCTCGTCGCTCTCCTTCATGGCCGTGGTGTCCCCCTTAGGCCAGGCGTCCTTCGGCACCACGGTCATATCGGCTGCGGAGATACCCTCGTTGGCGTGGAAGGCTTCACACTCACTGCGGTAGAGCGTGCCCATGTAGCATCGCGGCTGCACTTTTAGTGGGCAAGGAGCACCTGTGCGTGATGTGTGCAAGGATGGAACGGAAGATGCAGCAGGAGGTGTGTTGGGAGTACAATGTTGGATCATTTAATCGCGAAGCGAGTATCAATCAGCTTAGTTTTCCATTTTCCGGCTGGCCGCTTCTTCTTCCACCGTTCGCTTTTTATCTCTCTCCACGACCTTGCTGCCCTTGAAAGCCGAAACGAAGGAGGTGATGATCAATATCATGGAATCTAGAGGGTGACAGATGAGATGATAATCTTCACTTGGTTCTTGTTGGAATTGCCAAGAATCGAAATCTGAAAAGTCTAAATCTTCTTCTAAAAAACCAATCATGTAATAGTTACCTCCAGAATAGTCCTTGAAGCTCTTGGTTTCGCCCCATGCTGTGCATTTGCACCCTTTATAGTGCTCTTTTGAGCTGAACATTTCATGGCAGATATCGTGGCAGACCCTGTAGTTGTAAAGCAAGATAATTGAAATCGAAATAACCAGTGGCAGTGGGCTCTTGTTGAGTATCTGTACTACAATAGATTCGATTTCCCTGTAGGATAGAAGATTTGATGAAATTTCGTCGAGTATTAGCTGCCTGTATCTCACTTCCCATTTGATTTCCATTTCGATTATCTAGAAGTAGAAGTAGCTAGTCCTAGATTTAAAAGTTGTCATAGTCATTACTCGTTATCGCATCCGCCCTCATTGTATTTGTCGCACAGCGCAAATGCATCCTCCTCTGTTTCTGGCGCTGGCCTGTTGCATCCCATAATAGTGCTAAAAATCACTTTCGTCGGAAAGGGAACCTTTTGTGATGTTGGTTCGACGTGGAAATTGATATATAATTGCCTCTTTGAATCATATTTATACTGGTGGATGAGGATGTTTTATATCGGGTGGTCATTGTTGTTCATATTGTTCCGGTACACGTAGATCATACGTATTTTCATATCAACGCCGACTGTGCTGAGGCAGAGGTTCTGTAGTTGTCCTGCGATCTCCGCATGTCTGTTGTTTGTGGTTAAGTCCAGCATCGTGGCGGTGCTAAGGTTCAAATTTGATTCCTAACCTACTGCCTGGTAGTACTATCGAGTGGTCTCTTTCCCTTCCCGGCGTACTAGCACTACTGTCATCTCAAGTATTAAATTGTTTTGTGGCACCAGGAGCGACCGCGAGAGCATAATTTGCTTATCCAGCACCGTGTCGATTACTTGCCAGTCTTACTCCTGCGCCTGTTGTCTTCACCTCTCTGTTCTGCAGCAACTAGTGCTAGTAGTGGTAATAGTAGTAGGCAGTAGTAGTAGTGGTAGGCAGTAGTAGTTGTATCAACCGCGAAGAGCTCGTTCTTAACAAAAATAACTTGGAATATTCACAGCCAGGCTTCTCAAGGACATAAAAACTACAAGTGACCTCCATCTTCCAGAACTACCCCGATTACTACTAGTTATCAATAACTGGTACATCATCATCTTCGCAGACGACGAGTTTGTCTGCGTCCATCGAATCCGCGACGTCTGTAGCGATTCCAGCTGGTGTTTCAGGCAAATCTACCCTTGTAAAATTTTTTGGAGCATCTCGTAGGAGCAAGGCAGACGTTCCGGTCAAGGAACCGAGGAGCAAGAGACCACGGTCCAACATTTTATTATGATCTTATTGATTTTTTCTGTTTCTGAACTGCTGATCTATGAGCGTTTTTCATCGAGAAGTTGTAATGAACTCGAACAAAAATACTAGTGAACGTAGAGGACCCGTATTCGATCATGCTTCTCCACCTCTTCCGTATATATCCTCCGCGTTCATCTCTCTTTCTCCCGTCAAGGAATCGCGTGCCCGCCGCATGACCAGCACATAATTCCCACCAGATGAATTATGGAATGGACAGCATAAGAATTATAGCAGGAGAACCTCCAAAGATCATCGTTCTCTTCATACAGAGCTTAACCTGTAACGCGTAGTTGGATCTCAAGGCCTGATCTCAGAAATTATGATCCTTCTGTGTCGATGCCGTATTGACCTCGAACACAACAATGGTCGTCACATGGTTTCCTGCGCTGAATGGAGTGCGTTATGGACTTGTTTCCATTACAGAGAGAGTATCGACAAGTTTGAAATTATGGTGTAAGTGGAAAAAGGTCGTACGAGAAAAATTTCCGCGTAATATTGAGTGCGTATCTACTGCACACTCAAGGGGTACTACTAACGGCGGGAACCACGCTTGCGTTGGGCTTGGTGGGGCACTGCGGAGTGGGAAGTCATTAAATGTGCGCAATGCCTATCATGTCCTACACGACTAAAAACATTAACATTTATTACACAGCAGGCATAGGTTCTCCATCTTATTACACAGCAGGCATAGGTTCTCCATCTATGTCTTCTTCCATCGCCTCGCCGTCTATGTCGTTAGAATCTCCCTCCTGGGCCCCATCGATGTCCTCCATCGGAGCTCCATCAAGGTCTTCGCCCTCCGCGTCAGCTTTGGAAGAGCCTGAAGATGCTCGAGAATCAGAGGGCTTCGTCCTTCGCTTAGCAGCTTTCGGATCTTCATGTCTTCTCCTGTTTCCACGGTCAGCTTCATTAGGGCCTTTACTACTAGTATTTCTACTTCTTTCTCTACTTGATGCGCTTCTCTTCTTTGTTCTGTCACCAGCATGATCCCCGTCACGTCCTCTACTTCTGTCGCGATCTCTTCTGTCTCTGTCAGAATCTTCCCGTCGCCTCTCTTTCTGCTCGCGCCGTCTGCTATCATGCTTTCGAGAAGCCTTCTTGAGATCACGGTCCCTCTCCTTGCTCCTGCTGGACCTTGAAGAAGCAGATCTGGTCCTATTTCGCCTACAATCTTGATCATTTCTACGACGTTTTGTTCGTCTATGATCACCATGTAGGCCATGCTCATCTCTACCACCTGAACGCCTTCTCTTGCGTGAATCATGCCTCTGCTGCTCTCGATCTCGACTCCTACTGCGTTCTTTTGAAGATGCTTCTCTCTTGTGGTCCTTCTTATTAAAAATATGTCGTCCGCGGGCGCGACTTCGATCACGTGCGCGCCCACTCCTACTGGAGCGACTACCCTGGTCACCGTCATCATCCTCTTTGTCCTTCGCGGCTGGCTGATTCAGGGCTGCTTGTCTCGCACGAAGTGGTTTCTCTTCTACTCGTTCAACAGTGTGCCACGTTCCAGGTGATTGACCGTCAAGATCCTCTAGTCCAGCCATTCCTCCGAGAACTGCGCTGCCATCTCCTTGCACCAAATCTTCGGATTAGAGCGTTGTCTTTGTGAAGATACCATTTCTAATGCGAAATTCCCTCATTGTAGTTCAAATCAACAACCTCTAGATTTTAATGATCGGATCAAGCTTTATAATACTATAATATTTTGTTTAAGCTCTCGTCCTTCTAAGTATTTGGAACTATGTATAAGTTTTCCATAAAGCCTTGTATTCAGCATCTGCGCAATTCTTCCCTCTTTCACCAAACGCATTTGATTCTTCTTCTTGTGCATCTGGTACTCGTCTTCCCTGTTCAGTTTTTCCAGGCGTTCGTAGAGCAACCACAGATCCTTCAAAATCACTTGTCTCTCCAATTTCGACCTCACTGACCTCTCCAGAGGTTGCCCGTCGACTGCTGGATCGTAGATGAGACTGCCAGGATTCGAACCTCCAGTACCTTTGTTGAATGCATAGCCACTAGCTGGTACAGCAACTCCTACGCCGGGAGCCATTCCCATTCGTCCTGGTGCTGTGCTACGACCACCTTTGCCGTTGGTTATAACGCCTCCACCTCTACTGGAAGTCGTGGCTACAAGAAAATTTGAAGATGGAGAGGCAGCATTTTGTTGAGCACCACGACCATTTTGTTGAGCTGCCCCATCCAAAGTGCTATGGGAACCGCTATTCTCGTCCAAGGATGTGGTCACGAGTTCACCATTGCCGTCACAGAGATAGTACTCGTAAAGCGCCAGCTGCCGGATCAGAAAAGCACGCCGTTCTAAATCAACTTGCTCAGGGCTTGGCGTGGTGGCGTTCTCTGCAAAACCTGCTGAACCTCCCTTCCCATTCCGCCCACCAGCACTTTGCTGTTGTTGCTCATGAAAAGTATGTCGTACACCTCTCTGCCGACACAGCTTTTCCAGTTGTGAGTAGTGCTCGAGTCTTTCCCATTCACGGCAACGCACGATCATCCGAGGACTCTCCATGAACTTGTCCAAAAGCTGAGGCCGAAGAGAGTCATCTTGGACTTGGTGTTGTTGTTGTTCTACTCTAGTACTGGTCTCTTTCTCACTGTTCATCCCCTTCAGCACGAGGAGATCCGCGAGTATAAAAGTCGCCCTCAATCCCTGCAAATACATTGGGGAGAACAAGCAAGCTTCTTGCCACGCATCCACCACACGCATAACGTCTTTCTTTAAGGACTTGGACTTCTTCCCAGCGGCTCCCAAGTGAAAAAACTCTGGCAAGGAGCTTTCCAGCTCTTTTCGATAGAACCATGCCCTTGGCTGTTGCGCACTGCAGCTGTTCTGCAGAACGTCGCTGATGAGATAGAGACGCGCTAGCCATGAGGATGAGGACGACGATGGCAACGGTAAGCTTTGATCTCCAACATTATCATTGTCTGATGCTTGGCGGTCCTGCCCGCCAGTGGCACGGTTGTTCGTCCCTTCTCCTTGGTGCTGCTCCAATCCATACGACACCATCATTTTCGCGATTTGGATAGCGGAGGTAGCACGATCCATCAGCAACGTCATGCCCTTCAAGACACTGCCACGTGAAACGGTTAAACTCTCGAACATCTCTTCGATCTGGCGCAAACTTGATACATCCAAGATCTCCTCCATCTGCTGTTCGCGTACGGAAATATCCGAAGATTCTCGCTTGTTGGGATTAGATAAAAATGACGATGAATTTTTGATCGTCGAAGCCGACGTCGACACTAGTAGTACTACAACCTAGTAGTTGCAGTTTCTTCTAATGAATGATCAATGATTTTTTGAACCTCACTCAGAGGATGACTAAGAAGATTAACACCAAGACCAAAAAGACGTAGGATCATCAACTGTAAATTATGAATGAACAATGAATGTACCCACTCCAGGGGCATAAAAGACCACTACTGACTACTTCCTTCTAATCAAGAAGAATATATGAATGAACAATGAATGTACCCACTCCAGGGGCATAAAAGACCACTACTGACTACTTCCTTCTAATCAAGAAGATTAATGTCAGTCTGTTTCATCAACAGTCTCTTCATCGTCATGTTGAAATGTATGGCTCTGGTATTTGGTGCCCTGAATTGGATCACAGGGATTCTCTTCTTGTTTTCCTCATGATCAAAATCAGGTTAGCAAATACCAGAGCCCATTAGTTGAGATTATATCGAACAATACACTCTACAGTTAGTCACCTCTTTTACTTCCAGTTCCAGCATCATAATGAGATAAACATTCGTCGTCAGCCCGCTCAACTTCAACGCACTCCGTGAGTAGGCATCCACCTCTTGCTGCGTGAATTCGTCAGGCACCTTTGGCGGAATGTAGACGACACCTCCCCTGCATATCTTGAATCCCTCTGTGCGCCAACCTGTCTTCCTATCGCCTTGGCAAAGGGAAAACACTCGCCATGGGGATTAGAGTTTTATTTTCACTAAAATGATGATGTGAGTCTAGTATTCGGCAAACTGCCCAAGATAATTTCCCTGGCTACTAGTAAAATAACAAGGAGTAGGACGTAGTTAAAAATCAAAATGCAATATTCACAAAGAAAATTATTTCTTCTACTCGCCATGGGGATTCGAGGCTAGTACTAGAAAGTAGAGAGCTAGATCTTGACAAGTGGTCTGGATGATTTTTGAGAAGTTGTTTTGATTTTGAGAAGTTGAAGCAAGTCTTGTTCATTTAACTTCTCATCCAGTACTCTTGAAGTTTCTACCTCCATAATGTTGGTGGAGCATACCTAACTAGAAATACTTCCATAATTGTAATACAACGCGTCCGATAACAGCGTTGCTGTGCTGCTACTAGTGGCACCTCTAGTGCTGTCCTTTCCGCTCTCCTGCTTCTCCTTTCCGCCCACGTCCTTCCGCCAGGCTTCGGAGACATCGGTAACGTCTAAGAAAGATGCATCTACGCCTCGTGCCAATCGAATCTCCGGGAATGAAACGTGACAGATTGGAGAAACAAAACAGAGAACAAGGCTATGAATTAATAAAAAGTCGAGCTATGAATTAAATCAATTGGAGGTATAGGTAACGGTAGTTTAGGTATAGGTTTTTGGAGAAGAAATAGCCGAGAAAAGTTGTTCTTGTCAAAGGGCATCCAGATCCACCAAGACATATTAATTCTCATCTTTCACGAGACGTAGACTGTATCAATCTTCGAGGAATAGTACATTCAATTTAGGTAAAGATAGTCATACTCATAGTCTTCAACAACAAGTGTTGGTAAACAAGAACAGGAAAAATATCATTTGAATGTCTCATTAAATCATACCTTCTTTAGAGGAGGACTTCCTACTCTTTACAGAGCAGGTGGACCTGCACCAGAACGTGATAACGTCAAGAAGTCCTTATTCTGGCAAGAAGTTGTACTTGAGGACTTTCAAGAAGTTGTCCTCTTTCACTAGTACCTTTCCTTTTCGGATATCTTCCTTCACTACGTTCTCGAACCCGTGCCCGCATCTAGCTGCGTAATGCGCTACGAGGTCAATAAACCTGTGCTGCAAGGCGTTCTTCGGGATCTCGATCCTCACCCGCTGACTCTTCTGCATCTCGCTGTTTTTCTTCTTCATCTCCTCGAGAAGAATGTCCATCTCTCGCTTGTTCCCATTATAATTGGAACCTAATGTTGTAGTTGTTCCTGCCGTTCCGGAAGTAGATACCGCATGTGTATGTGTCGGAGGCGGGGACGAAGAAGTAGCAGACTGTTGTAGAAGTAATTGGTGTTTTGTAGTTAAATATAGTTGATAATGAGACGAGACACTAGAGTCTGAGTCCTCGAGGTGGAGTAGTATTTTTACGCAACATAACATAGTATCTATTTGTAGTGGTAAAAAAAGTCAAAGTTCAAAAACCCCTCCTCCTTGTCCTGGCGCGGGACCATGATCTTGTCCTTGCTTTGAGTAATAGTTTTTCACGTAGGTTCCAACCGCGTTGTTGGAGCTTCCTCCACCGTGACCACGATAACCGTGACCCCCATAAGGGTTGGGGTTGGTCGACCCGGAAGCTGCACCATAGGTTTTGGACGTCATGTTTCTGCTTTTTTCAGATATGTGTCATGGAAGATGTGGAGGTACTGAAGAACCAGAAACAAAAGGTATAATGGGGGTTCGGAAAGGATCTACATGTACATCGTGGTACTTACTTACACCTAGATTGAACTTCTAGTATCTATCGATCGATGATAAGTTGTAGTCACCATTGAAAATTGACAAAATTGCGTCGCTGTGCCAAAAGAAGTAAGTAGTACTGTTCTTGTCGTGAGCAAGTAGCGAATAAAAATGAGAAGAGTTCAGCAGAATTGGAAAAACAAGAATTTTGTTGGGGATTGTGAACCGACATGATTGGCGTTTCATCTGCTTAGATCCATCGTTTCACAACTACAGCCGCCACGTCATCATCATCATGGTGACCAAGATCATCTTCTTCTTTGAAGCGACCAGCATCTTCAGTTAGAAATAATAAGGGCGATGTCTCCGTCACCAAATCCAGCAAGAGCGGCATCTGAGATAAAAATTTGAAGTTCAACAGAAGAAAGCAAAACTCGCAAAGGCTTGACAGGACAGCTTAGGCAATCAAAAAACGAAGAAACCCAGATGTCAGAAGTCAGTGGATATAATTCATTACAACATGTCACTTTCATTGGATTCAGAAAAACCACAAAAACCTTTTTCATCATTGTAATGGACGTATGACCCCACTACGTAAACATAACTAATAGATTACTGAGACTACTATCTAGCTCATATCATGGTAACTAACTGTAGTTATTGGGAGGATAAGAATGCGTGGGATAAGAATGCGTCTAAAGGGGGTGGAAGTGGGGTGGATCATGTTGTTCTATATCCAAAAAATTATATACAATTTACCAATTCCAGCACTGTATTTCACCACATTAGTTGCAGTTGGTTCCTTCTTAGTACAAAAAAAAGCTCTGCAAAGAGGTGCTAACGAGTAGAACATCAAGAAGTGGGACATTATACCTATAGTTTTTGTTGTTATATTAGTTTTGGCATACTCATACATTGAAGATTAGGATCCTGTAACTTCTGCTGCTACTGCTTTTACAGAACTTTCTTTTCTTCATGAAGATCATCGTGTTGACTGATTGTTATTTTGAAGAATTGAACTAGCAGTTCAAATGGAGCACCAGTTGGATGTGTAAGAGTTAGAGTAAGGGTAAGCAATCATTTTATTCTTGATATTCTCATATTGGTTGTTTTACTTCTAGATGTTTATTTGGTTGTAAGCATTGAATGTTATTCTTGTTGTTGTTTACTTAGCCCTTGACACAATTATGTTCATAGAAGCTTCATGAATTTGAAGAATTCACTAAATAAATGATGTGGATTTAGTAGCACTCCTTGGTCGTCTTTGATATTAAATTTCTTGAAGGGGATCAGCGGGGCGAGGAGGAAGAACGACTAGACGCTCTCTCATCACTCATGGTGTCAATCAAGGAAAAGCAGAGGGACGAGCTCGAAGAAAGAATAGAAGTTAGTGTTTCAAATATGTAACCGCAGATGCTACTGCCGTTGGCGCCCCACCCCCCAGGTTCTTTGGTGGAAGAACACTGAGGGGGCTGGGTGCTCACATTGACTCTAGCCCACCGTTCCTGACAAGACCAAGGGCACCACCGGTTCACCACGCCAGGATCTAATTCAGTGAAAAATTACTACACTCAGAAGATGCAGCGCGCATGCGTCCCTCTTGTCAACTTTCCTGATGACCGTGGACGAGACAACTTCTGAAGATCTTTTTCATTATATCATTTCGAGATACTAGCTCCAGCACCACAACTGTTCTAAATTATTTGAAACTACTACTAGCTCCACCACAAACAACCTCCACATTTATGAACAATGTGATTTGGAAATACTAGCTCCAGTTGGGTATCGATAATTACGCGACGTAGGTAGGGGTAAGTCTTTCTTCAACCGCTTTCCCCGACCCCCCGTGGCTTCTAGGTCCTCATGTTCTACGAGAACCATGGTCGTGGAAGTAGAGGTTGCAAACGAAAGTGAGGAGGAGGAGGACTGATGTAGTGGTGAAGAGGTTGATGCTTGAACATTGGGAGCAAAAGCGAGATGAAGATGGCCCTGTTCAGTGGAGGTCAGAAGATTTCTTCCAGAAGTGGCCCGGGTCTTCGCAGGAGGTATCATGTCTATGAAGATACCATCGTCGCAGTCGCCTTCCTCTAAAGAGCACAAATGCTCTACCTCAGATGACCGAAGAGCGCTACAGTCTCGTTTCTTTTGGCTGCTTCGCTTGTTGCTACGCTGGTTTTGGTTTTTCACAACAGCACCTCCAGCAGTGCTACCACTGCTGTAGGAAGAAGAACAGAAAGATGAGGAGGATGAAGATCCAGCACCAGCTGCAGTTCCTGTGGTCGTGGTTCTTGTATTACTACGCGGTGGATTTCGAAGATTTTTTACAACAACGTCAGCGCTTGTTGCTACGCGCGTTGTTTCTCTGCTCATAGTCGGGGAAGCAGATGATGACGCAACAACGCGTGGTCCAGGAGGAGCAGTGCCAGGTGGTCCACAACTACCAGAGCCGCCTTTAGTCGTCCAGGTCTTTCTAGAAGCTGCTGTGGGGTTCTTTGATGCTGTGGGGTTTGATGCTGTGGAGTTTGATGCTGTGGAGTTCTTTGACGCTGTGGAGTTCTTTGATGCGGTGGAAGTAGATGTTGGGGAGCAAGCTTGAGAAGCACTTGGAGAAGATTGAGGAGACGACTTTTTTGTTTTTCCACCTTGTAGTTGTGAGGCAGAACAAGAGTTCTGTCTTGATGTAAGGGGACCACGCTTGGAAGTAGATGAAGTCTGGGCTGGGGGCTTACAACCTCCTCCAGCAGAGCCACTTGATGAGCTAGAAGAATTTGTGGGAGCTCCGTTTTTCGTGTTCTTACTATTTCCAGGAGCAGCATGAGCATTTCTTATTCTTCCAGCAGCACCACCACTTACACCATTACCACTACCTCCTCCGCCTGTTCCTCCTCCGCCTTTTCCTCCTGCTGCCTCGACGTTTCGTCCTGAACTAGTCATCTTAGACTGTTTCTTGTTGTTGGCAGCTAGGAGAGAAGCTGTGCCCTTTCCCTTTCCTGGTGCTCTAGGCCCTCTAGCAGATGCAGGAGCCTTGTTGTTCTTTGTATCAGATTGAAGTTTCCGCACAGTCTTGGTCGCCTTACTATCAGAACCTATTTTCTTATTTTGATGTAAACCGCCTCTGCCCAATCCGGCAGAGGTAGTCGTGCTAGAAGTGTTCTTGCGAGATGACGCAGGTGCACGACGAGGACCGCGAGCTGTTGTAGAGGACGAGGAGGTCCACCTATTGCTATCTTTCTTGTTGCCAGTTACAGTTATAGAAGAAGTAGAAGCGTTTTGCCCTTCTCCCATCGCGGGTGGAGGCAAGATGTTGTATCTCCTTGTGGCAGGTGATCTGGAACGAATCCGTGGTAAATCTTGGTCATGGTGGTCTACCTCGACGTCTGCTTGAGGGCTTCTACGTTGGACAAGTTGTTCTTGGTCTAAATCTATATTTTGGAACTCGTGACAGGTGTCAGCACCTCCTCCACCTCCTCCAGGACCCCCAGTAGAGGAAAACACTCGATGGAGAAGGCCGCTAGTGTTCCGTCTTCTACCTCTAATACTATCTCTAATACTATGTAGTTGTTGTTTTTCCTTTTCGCCAGACGACGAAAACGATAGCACTTGTTCAGGAGAAGAGGAAGCATTCTTTCTTCTTGAAGATGATGAAGACGAAGATGTACTTGTATTGAATACAGAAGACGTCGTGGTTTTTTTCATCAGCCCGTCCTCGTGGACCCCGCGAGACGATGATAGACTATGACTATAATCGCCCTGTTCTTGTAGCTCTTCTGCTTGTTCTTGTTCATCTCGTTGTTCTCCAATAGCAAAGATACCTAGTCGTGGCCCGCCTTCCAATCCGCCTCGTGGCAGTGAAGAGTTACGCAGGAGTCCACCTCCACGCACTCCTTCTCCACGAGGATTTGAAGAACTACTAGGTGTTGCGAAGACCCGAAGATTTCTCCTACGCACAAACTGCTCTTCACAGGAGTCGTTAGATGCGCGTGGACCCCGCACTGACGATGACCGGGAACTACAACTCTTCTTCTTGTCCATCTCTTTTTCTCGGGAGAACGAAGAGCAGCAAGCGGCCACTCCTTCAATGCGTTTTAGTACAGGATTATCGACGCCAAAATGGTTTTCAACTTCTGCAGAAAGTCCTACTACAGTAGAATTTTGTTCCTCAACATCGACTCCACTCAGCACAATGGCGTCGCGGAGTTGTCGTTTTATGTCGTCATGATCGTATTCCGTTGTAGTGGATTCAGCCGCTATAGCACTGAGCATACTCGGCTCATCCTCGCTCATCATCTTGAAATTCTTGTCATCACGACTCGAAGATGCTGTAGTGCTTGCAGTAGGCTCATCCAACGATATCACCTCCATCATATTATTGGTCGTGGTCCTCTCCCTGATTATATTCGGATTATTGGAGGTGATGCCGTCCCTTACTATCGTGGTGCTTATCATGCTGTGCTTGTCTTCAGAAGTTGTAGTAGTTGTCACGACACCACTACCATTCACAAGATTGACTACACTGCCGCCAAAGGGAGGATAAAAAGAACCAGATGTTAGAGGGCGCTTGGATTCAACATCTCGGCCACGTATCTTGATTCCTTTGGCAAAGGGTAGCAAGATTCTGACTGCTCTGAGAGGGATGAATAGAAGCTGACCATAAAGATGTAGTTGTAGACGATGTGCAGGCCCAGGCTCCATCGTCAGTAGTGCTTGAGCAAGACATCGTTGACATATCACCTACCTTGTTGGAGGATGCTTTTTCTTCTCGCAACCTGAAAAGCTCCTCCCGCAATCTGGCAGTCTCAGCTCTCAAAGCTTCTAACTCGGAAGTTGGTGACCGAGGTACAATGACGTCGGAAGAAGCAGCAACGAGTCCTGCTGCATCACCGCCTGCCACTCTATCTTTAGTCTGATGTCCTTCCTTCAGTACTCCACTCTGATGTCCCTCTTCCTCCTTTAACATTAGAGCTTTCTTCAATTCACAGCTTTGACAGCATCTTTGACGTTCTTTCCCGTTGAAAACGTGTCAAAGATGCATCTCCCGTAATAACAACAACATCTCGTCCGCCATCGCATGTTCTAAACTAGCACTTGCACTTGCTGCAGTCGGTCGTGCCTGCGGGAGGGGATCGAGCAGAGAACGAATCAACTGGTTTTGGTCCTGAATAAAGAACCTATTTTCCTTGATCGTCCTCCCATCCCTCAGAGCTTGCCATTCCTCGCCTGCTTTAGGCAAATCCTGGCCGCTGCCAAGCTCATATAGCATAGCGCCGAGAGATCAGATTAGAGCAAGTGCAACTAGTCTTGCAGTCTCTTGCAGCAGATTCACTCTAGTAGATCTGCTGCTCCTTGATAATGCAACTTTAATATGCACTACAGGCAATTATAGGAACAGTATTTCAGTGACGACCGGTACAGCACTCCTTCTTCTTCAATTTCAAACATAAGACACAACAGAAACAGAGACAGATTACTGGAGAACGACGTCGATATTAAAGTTACTAGCGTTACTGGTAAACTACTAAAGGAACAAACATAAACAACCTAAGTTCCATCATAAAAATGTGTCCGCTTTGTCGAGATTCGCCATCGTCAACGTGCCTCTCAGCAGCTCGCGACAGACATAACGACAATCGCCTTCAGCTGGTACAGAGGAAGAAGAGGACCTTTGATGTACAGGATCAGCACTAGGACCAAGACCACGTTCATAATCTCTAATCTCCATCTTCATAGCCAATCCGAAATCTGCGATTTTGTAGACTCCGGAGAAGCTTCGTAAGATATTCTCAGGTTTGATATCGAGATGCGCAATCTGCTTTTGGTGCAAGGTACGCAGACCGAAAAGGACAGCGCGAGCGATCTGGGTTAGTTTTAGTTCTTACAGGTACTTATATCAAGAGGGTTGTCAACATGATAATCTTCAACAAGCAGCTTATCAAGAAGGTGAGTCAAAGGTATCGTCTTTCTTAGCCTCCATCCCAAATTCAAAGAATTATGTGTACCTCCATCAGCTTCTTCCTCCCGAAAACTCTCGAATCTATGCTCGTTGCATTCAATTCGGTATCCCGCCTTTCGTCTGCTAAAGAGATTTCACAGAGCTCCGTTTGGATGTACATCCGCCTGCTATAGACCCAACAACCGTAGTAGCGAATGATATGCGGACAACAAGAAGAGGCATCCCCAGAAGAAGAAGTGAAGCCTTGTTGTAGTTGCGCAAGAATAGCTGCTTCTTTGGAACCAGAAGGCATTCTGTCTCGCATCATCTTTACCGCGTAGTTGCAGCCATCCAGCAGATGTCTGGCGCGAAAAACCGTACTGAAATGGCCACGACCAACCACTTGAACACTATCGAAATTATGATGTAGGACGTCGACGGATACGGATGTACTACTCCTGGAAGAGCAGTTTTGCTGGTGATTTTCCACTTGGTGATGCTGCTCTGGTGGAGCTGGAGGTGCTCCTACAGCTGAAGAAAAACTTGAAGATGAACAAGGTGTCGTTGCTTTCGATGTGGTTCGCAATTGCGGATCTGCGCCAAAATACTGGTGCTCCGTAGCCGTAGCTCTACTAGAAGCATTGACGTCCATTACAACGTCTTGCTGGTGGTCAAGAAGTGGCTGCCTGTCCTGTTGGTCAAGATGGTCAAGAAGTGGCTGTCTGTCCTGTTGGTCGAAATGTTGCTCCTGCAGTCCTAGTGGTCCCATAGCACTACCAAGACCAAAGCAGCGTCTATTACTACTTCTATTCCTAGGATCTTCTTCTACAACACCTCCAGGTGTCGTCCTCCTTCTGTGCATGACGATTCCGCTACCGCCACCAGACGACCCGGCGCCACAGGATGACCTCGGCCCGCTGGAAGAGGAGGGGCAACCGAGTATGCTATTCTTCCCCTCACTCGAAAACGTGCGAAAGCGAAGAGCAGGCATGTTCGGCGTCCCTAAGGTGGATTAGAGGCCACAAGCGATTATTGGAAGAAGTGGCACTAGAACTTAGTTCTTCCAATAATACAATAGAACTAGGTAGAATAGTTATAGTAGTAGAGCTTCAATAGAACTACTAGGTAGTAGAGCTATAATTTTGACATCAAATAAACTGCCTGACGAATTTGTTAGGACGATGTTGGTGGTTGTACCAGTAAAACCAGAAGGAGCACAACGTGTATATCTTTCCGGTTTACAACCCAGTGGAGAACAAGTAGATGAGTTCTTCATCTTCTTGAAGCATAGGCAGGAACTACCCCCCAACAAAAAACTCTACTATATCTACTCCTTGCCATAAGCAGCGTTACTTCCCCTCGCTGCATGGTTTCCGTGAGGCGTTACTAAGTGCGAGGAAGAAGCAAGATCATTGTTCTTGTTACGGTGTCCAGAAGACGCACAGGACACCGTTCTCGTCAGCTGCCTTGAAGAACGAAAGGAATTACTGCGATTCAAGTGCTGCTGCTGCTGCTGTGGTTCTGGCAGAGGTTCTCGTTGATGCTCATGTGCACTCCTGCTTGATGGAAGAGCTCCTTCTACTTGTTGTAAGCCTTCGCGTTCTCTGCCGTCTCGTGATTGCAGTTCCCTGATTGGTGTGGAGGTTGTTTGCAACGTTGTTGAGGATTGGATATTATTCGTCCTTGCTCTTGATGCTGTAGAGGTTGAGGAGGCATGTTGAGCACTAGAAATTTGGGCACTAGAACTAGAACTAGGTGCGACAACTATGCCGTCACTTCGTCGACGAAGCGCGGAGCGGGGTACGGAGCGAGCTGGCGGAGGGGGTAAAGGTGGACAGCGAGAACGACGAGATCTACCAGTAATCGAATGAATCTTGTTGCCGATGTCGTTTGTTCTTGACGGAGGATTATAGGGATTAGAATTGACGCAAAAATTCTTCTTTGTTTTGAATGCACTAGAGGGTGGGGATGCCTCCAGGAGCCCGTGTCTCTCGTCTTGCAGAAGTTCCCCTTCTCTTTGTAGAGAGGGTTGCTGGTGTGGAAGACAAGGAACGTCTGCTGCAAGGAGAGGACGGGATATGGGTATCATCTTTTTTAAAAAATCTAGAACAAAGTAAAAGTTCTTGTTATACTTTGAAAATATTAAGTGCTTACAGTAGTTACATCTTCTTTTGTGATTTCTGCTTTGTCACAAATCCTAGAAGTGTTCCTCCAGGTTGACGAACTATGTGCAGGTGAACCAGAGTGTTGACCAACACCAATAGCTCAGGCAACCGATTTCCCAGCGATGGGATGCGTGACTCGCCAGTTTTGCCAACAATGGTATCATGAAGACAATAAGCAAAAGTAGTAGGAGTGAGAAAACTTCTGCTTTATATGACATATTAAGAGAAATCCTCTTCACAAGATGATCCGCAGCTCATGACAAAGCAGGTTAAAGCACTAAGACTAACCCTTCTGAGTGATCGCACAAGGAACACAATAATTCTCTCCCGCAGTATCGTTGTACCGCCACGAGGAACATGTAAATTGAAGTTTCCTCGCTCTCTCGAAAAATGTTATTTCTAGTACTACCTCTCTGATAATCTGAATCTTTCCCAGATAGACCTCCTACTCCAACACCTTTACATCGAAGTTACTCGTGGCTGTACTTGTGCCAGAGCTAAGCGACAGACATTCTTTAATACCATTAGAACATCGAGTACTATTAATTTTCTAATGTACCACGTGCTGGCAGTACTTAAATGATCATAATCCTCCACCTCCTCAATAAATAGGGTGGATAAATTGAGGAGGTAGAGATGAAACAGCAATAATATTTAAACTACCCGTTAGATCAACAGCAATATCTAAATCAATGTGGAGTTCCAGCAAAGCAACTTCTAGTAAAGCTTCTACTTCCTCTACACGAAGTTCATGTTCAACCAGCTAGCAAAAGTAAAAAAATAAAGTAGTACCTGGGGTCGTCCCTTTCTCTCGAAGAACTGCTTCTCCGACGTGAAGATTGCTGGTCTCGACTCCGTACTGCATCTTGGGCGGCAGAAGTACTATAAATTTCTTCGTCGAGCATTGCAATGGGTGAAAAAGCCCGAAAATCGTCTAAAGTGGAGGATGGGGCAACGGCAGGATCACGTTTATCTACTTGGTGCACCTGAACGTGCAAAGAACTTAAAGAAGGAGATGCTCGTTCTGGAGGTGCTCCTGGAGGTCCTGGTAGTGGTTCTACTTCGACTACTGGCGAGGAAGGCGACCCTGACTCCTGGTCGTGCGTCGAATCTTCCCTCAACAGGAGCCCCCGTTGTACATTACTACTGGTTCTTGAGGTTACAGATCCAGTTCCAGTTTCGTCAATATCTCTGCATTTGCTGCTGGTCCTCGTCATGTCTTGCAATTTTTGATTCATGGCATCTAGCCGATCGACGGGAATGCCTAAGACACTGTCGATTCTGGACAACTTGCGTGGCGCACACCTCGGCGGGGCCATAGTTCCGCTATTTGCCGCAGCTGCTGGCATGACTGTGATTCTTTCTGGCGCTTGACAGCTAAGACAACCATGTACTTATACTAAAGGAGTAATATGGTAATATCTTGATTAAGTAAACTACGACTAGACTCTAGTAGAGAGAGAGCGAGGAGAGGGTAATAATAAAGCTGATTCTGATATGCGTAGTTAGGACATTTTTGCTCAGAACTGTTCGTCCATGAGGTTGTTGCACTGGAACTGGTAAAATAATCTGTGCAACATTTGTCCGACGAAACATGCGTGACGATACTAATACTAAAGTTTTTCAATTATAGCCCTTTTGGTGCACGAAAAAATGGCAGTATCACGATGAAAATTTGAGGTAGGTTTTGGTGCACGAAAAAATGACCATCGGCTAGCTTTTGGTGCACGACAACATAACTCATGATTCAGTTTTCAGTACTCGCCTTTTCGACGAGTCGTCTTCTCGAGTATTTTCTCTCGCCTCATGATATTTGTAGCATTTCTTGCTCTCGCAGTTTGTACTCCACCTCATCATCTCTCGATTAGCGAGCGCGACGAGCCGAGGACAGTAGTTTTCGTCAGACCACTGTCTTTTTCTGCCAGACTGCTCTTCTCACACCGACTCCAGAACGAGGTTAGGTTAGGTGTGGGTCCACTAATCACAAGGAGATGGCCTCGTAGTTACTTTCTCCTGAAGAATTTTTTCTGTATGCTTCAGGAGAAAGTAACTACGAGGCCATTGACCTATTCGATAAACGGAAATAAGCAAGTATTATTATTATTATGTTCGCGCGCGACCCTACCGCCTCGCACGTGACGCGCTCGCGAGCGCCCTTACCATCTGTCACTAAGGACGTTGATGTAAGGGCTCAAAGGACCTTCCTGACGGTCCGGTGGTTGTAGTGGGTTTAATGGGAATAAGCGAGACCACACTGACGAAAGAGTAGCCTTGTAAAGCTACCTCCTCCCTTATTTCAGTCTGTAGTAACTCGCCTATTTCTCGTTATAAGGACAGCAGGTACAGCACGACATGATCGAGAACAAGAGTTTTAACTCAAGGATTCAGCATGATCATCGGTCTCAACAGTTCCAGCAAGCCCTATTTGTACAGAGGGTTTTAGTTACCATTTGTTTCTTACCTAATTACATACAACGGAGGTGGCGAACTGTCTGGTTTTTTAGAAGTTATTGTTCGTTGTACTAATACACACTAGTACAACATCGACCTACTTACGTATTATGATCATTTGTGATTCTTCTGATTGTTTGTTAGTTATCCTTTCACTTTCAGTTTGGTGAAGGTTTCATCCATCTGTGCTCCTCAGCTTGGAGGTTGATCTCCAACCAATTTTTACAAGCTTTACATCAGATCGAATAATGACTTCTAGGACTCAACATAACAATCGCCGGCATCGGAAAGCTCCAATCAAATATGAAACTAAGGACCACGAATAGCATCAATTCGTCCTACTTTCTACAACTAGCTCAATTTTTGATACAGAAGAACCATGACATTATGGTAGAATGAGATTTAGGGCTTCTACAGAATCTAATAGCTCTCGTCTGACAATCTGACTCCTGTTGCAGTGACATACATGAATCGTGATTAGTTTTGCTCTCTTTAGCTTAGTATTCGGGTAATTTTTCTCGATAGAAATTCAGATTGCCCATTACGGCGATGAATAGGATGATAATTTATTCGACCGTGATTAGTTTTGTTCTTTTTAGCTTAGTATTCGGGTAATTTTTATCGATAGAAATTCAGATTGCCCATTAAGGCGATGAATAGGATGATAACGTATTCGACCGTGACGAGTTTTGCTCTTTTTAGCTTAGTATTCGGGTAATTTTTCTCGATAGAAATTCAGATTGCCAATTACGCCGATTAGTAGGATGATAATTCATTCAACAAACTCAAGAATTATATTTCGACAACTACTTCTTAGTGTGATGAATCATTTTACTTTCTTCGGAATTTCAGGCACAGAATACAGATACCTTTCAGGTTTTTTATTGGTACTATATGCTTTCATCTCGATTGCAGGTTGGTGCTTAAATTGGTGTATTTGCAGGAATGCAATCGAGTTGGTGATGTATAGACCATTTCCGTCTCCAACACCTACTTCGTTGTAGCTAGTAGTAGTATTATTAATTTGTTGAAAAACTAGTAGTAACTTCTGATGAATACTTCTGAGCGGGTTAGATCTCGATATCAATCTCGAGAATCACCAGTCCAACCATGATAGAAATAATGCAAGATTGTGAAGATGAGAATGAAAGCGTCACCTTCTCGATGTTGAGCCCGGTTCTTACTTAGTATTCCAGTAGATTTCCACTATGCTGAACGCCCCTTGACCACTCGTTCCAAGTTGCTAGATCTGATAGACAGTATCACCTCAAAAGGAAGAAAGATCTTGATTATCTCACCAGCTGAATATACATTCCACCGATACCCATGATCGTTCTTCTATCTCATCCTCTTACTTATTCTCTTTCCACTAACAAGTACATCCTCCTTTCCTCGGATTATATTTGCAGCCTTGTTATCATGCTGACTCCCTGACCACATCCTCCTCCTGTGTGATGCTTGGAGGGGACACGACTTGAACGGTGATGGGTTCCGGATTCTGAGTAACCACCATCGTCCCTGGTTGCTGTACAGGTTGCTGCACAATCGTAGGAAGCTGCGGCTGCTGCACGATCATCACTGCCGGAGCTAAAGAAAGAGGATGATAAAGTCTAAAAGTCTAAAAGAAGCTGCGATAATAAAGTCTAAAAGTCTAAAAGGAGATTTGATGTCAACATCAACATGCATGATGAAAGAAATGAAAATGAGTAGGATCATGCACGATGTAGATATAGGATAAGATGTACCTGAAGGCTCTTCTTCTCCCTCTGGTGCAATTTTATTGCCTCCACTCCCTCCCTGCGCATTAGAGACAGAAGGAAAAATGTTTCTCATCAAAAAACAAAGCAAGTATTCGAAAAACTCAATAAATTTTTGAACTGAGTAACGTTTTTACTTAAGAGAGCTATTGCCTTGGCGTAATTCTTGAATTTACTTGCTTACTTTAAGGCTTCGAGTAATCTCGTTGGAGCATAATGGTGCCTCTCTACGTGCACAGAATGAGGATCATCTGCATTATTGCCGCCGTTATTCCGAATCCGTTTCTACTCTATTTCATCTAAGCATCTCTCATTCACTTGGTCATAATAGGTTCTTCTGCAGGTTCCTTCTTGAACGGGCTGAGGCTGACTGGGGAGGTGATCTTGTTCGCGATCTTTGCGGACCAGGCTTCATGCTTGGCCAAAACTGCATCGTCAATATCGAAGATGTTGATCAGACCGAAGGGGCGCACAAACTTCTGCCACAACGCAAGGAAAGACGCAAAAATACCCGCGTAACCCGCATACGCGCCAATGAGGGCAAGGATTAGAATTTGGAGTCTTGTGGAGGGAGAGGGTGTGGAAGGAAGAAATGCTGATGTTACAGTTCTCTGTAGTGGAAGGCTCCTATTCAATGCTGTTCTACCATCTAATCTTGACCGTTGTTCATTCTCGGACCTCCATCAAGAACTACAGTACACATCATTTAATCTATCTGTATCATGTTGAGAACTAGTACTACACTAGCACTACATCATTTTATCTTCTAGTAAATCTGTATCATGTTCTTTCAGGATCGACCAAATTAATATATGAACCAGAAGCCTTAAAAGAAAAGCACTGAGCGACAAATTTGGAGTTTCCAGGAAGCGGACCGAGGAGTGGTCGATCTCGAAAACCAAACGAACGCTGCATTTGCTCTTCATGGTGTGGTCCGCTGGATGGTAACTGACATCCATCGATGATACGGAGCTTACCCATCGATCCAAAGTGACAGAACCATCCCACTTGTGCTCCAAATAGATGGGCGAAACTGTTCTTAGAGACGGGAGAGAAATAATCCGTCTCAGTTGTGTTTGTGTGTTTGTGAAGAGTTGTTGTACTGAGTATGTATAATCGTGCCTCAAAAAAAAATCTTCTCATGTTCTTGTACAAAAAGGGAGCGCCATGGTCCTGATGCTTCCTGTCGTTGCCTTAGAAAAGAAGCAACGCCCTCACCACATCAGCCTTGAGAAGCCAAGATGGGGATAGGTTTAATCACTGTCGTGTAAAGCCGTAATGTCCACAGCACTTGGATTGTCAAAGCACGCTGCGGCAAAATCGCGATACGTCCATCCGACGCACTTGTAACTCCGCTTAAGGCAGCAGCCATCGGAATTTCCTGGGATTCTAGGTTTTTATACAGTTTCTCCAAAGCTTCGTCATCGTCAGCTTCAGGCCAGTTTTCGGGTTTGGAACCTTCTCTTAGACCTTCAAATATTATCCATCTGGATGCAAGGGCATCCTGCTCCTGAAATCGTGTTTAAGTAAGTAGTACTTCCCCCTTTGGATAAACGGCCCTAGGCAGGATGCTCTTGAAGAAGGGCATCCGGGAACATTTTCCCCCTTGAAACACGGTCCCAGGATGCTCTTGAACATGGATTTCTTGCAGGTGGAGCAGCCTTAACTCTAGCATCTTTTTCGTCTGAGCGCGGTCTACACTGATAAAGACACCGGGGAGGTACATGGGTGCATTTGCAGGAATGCCTTTTGGATTAGAGAGAGGAGTAGAGGATGGTGTAGTTGGTGGGGTATAGACTGCCATGGCACATGGGTTGTAGAAGATCTATGCGTCGCCCTACTTCATCGTGTTTGAAATTCATTTTACAATGAATTGCGGAAGCTTTCATCAACATCTTGACTTTTCCAGCAAGCCTCTACTCTTTCCTAATGCCTTTTGGATTAGAGAGAGGAGTAGAGAGAGGAGTAGAGGATGGTGTAGTTGGTGGCGTATGTATAATCATTTCTTCTCGTTGTATAATCATTTCTTCTCAGTATGATCGGCTTTGTCCATGATGCCTTACGTTTACATCCCGTGATCGTGTCTGAGCAGAGCGCTTTGCCACGTGCGAACGGCTCAGCCGCCCACAACCGGATGTCGCCATCGACGTAGTCCGTACTCCCTGACATATACTCCTTCTCCACGTCTAGGAACTTCCGATCGAAGGTAAGCGAGAAAATAACCTCCAGATCGAGCAGCCATTCTGGTTTTGTCATCGTATACTCCACTCCACGCTCTTCAGGAACCATCCAGTGACCGGTCAACGGACCTTGAATGTTGAACTCGAAATGATTAGCCGGTCTGAATTCCTCTAGGCAGAAGAGACGGAATTTGCCATCAGCTTGCTCAGTCAGTTGCTTTGCACTTGGGCACGCGCTCCCTCTGTTTGCCCTACTATCTCGCTTGTATTGCTTTGTCTCATTGAAGGGCGTTACCTGGTTGTGTGGAAAAGGCGAAAGAGAAGGTACCTCTGGTTAGGCCGCAACAAGGATAGACGAGATCAATTCCTGCTCGAGAACCTCAGACGTTTTTATTTTTACATTTAGAAGACGAGACTGCAGTAGATGATCTGATGTTTTTTGGTGCTCCTCCCGTAGGTGAATTTGAACTTTTCATCATCGAGATCGAAGAAAAAGAATGAAAAACTAAAACAAAAATTCAATATACCGCACAGTCTCTGGCTCTGAAATTTTTCTGTATCGGAAAAGTCCAGTGCTTCCAGGTTGAGCCCTCAACACTGCGACCCTGAGCAAAGGCGTTGCTCAAACGCTCTCCCTGGATCTGTCGGTTGGGGCACAAACGCTGAGGGGTTAGAGGAGGAGGAGGCAGAGGTGTCGGTTGGGGCACAAACGCTGAGGGGTTAGAGGAGGAGGAGGCAGAGGAGGAAGAGGTGGCTCGTAATCTTCTAGATCTAGTTCTAGTAGATGTAGATGTGAGGAGGTCGGTCGTAATCCTTGGGCCTTCATTTCTTCTAGAAGATCTAGTTCTAGTAGAGTGAAGATCTAGTTCTAGTATGATGTAGATGTGGACGTAGTAGAGCTGCTTGTAATTATGGATGAGCTTACTTATGCATGCTTACTGTCAAGAGAAACAAAGAACTACATCAAGAACATTGAATATTTTTAGCCTTAACAACTGCACTCGTTTCGGCAAAACAGCTATCATCACATGCACTTCCAACACATTCGGTGTGACGTACGTCTCGGTGACCGTTTCCCTGTATCGGTCTTTGGGCAGATACACTGAGGAGGCATCGCGGAAGAGATTCACGGCTGTGATGGTCTGCACCACATAGGAAATGACTTTTTTGGCGGGCATCTTTTCCGCCACAGAGGCAGCAAAGGCGGACACGGCTTCGGACACCGCGTCGTTTCCGGAAACGACCTTGGTTGTATGCACTTGATCGAAGAAACCCAGGTCTGTGAGCTGTTGCTGACTCAGACTAGGCAATGCGCAAGATGGAACTTGATCGATCTTGGCATTGGGAGGCCATTTGGAACTGTCGCTCCAGTCCAAGGTACCAGCGGGGCAAGTCACAGTGGCAGTCGTGGTGGTAGTCGCGTTCGAAGCGGTGCGGGGATTAGACGAGAGGTGAGATGTATGCTAAAATCATGGCCAAGTTTGATGCTGATTGAATAAAGCGCGTCATGGCGAAACATGATACAAGAGGTACTAGTAGATGATGTAGACGTACAAGTATTTTTCGCTTTCCTCGCTGTACTAAATATGATCTACTAAGCTACTAGTACAACAAGATCCACTTGTTCCACATCAGATCATGATAGACTAAGCTAGTACAACAAGATCCACTTCCACATCAACAGCATCCATCTGCCATAACATTCGAAGCATTCGATGTGGTCAAATAACGAAGTCCGCCAGAACTTCCATCTTGATCGCGCAGCACCCTCAATTGGTTCACATTGCCTGCTGGCATCAAGAATCGACGTTCGTATTCCGGTGTGCCTGGTCGCAGTTTCACCCAATCGAGACCCGGACGACCCAATTCCTCCATTACGTCGTTGTAGGAGTACTCCCCCTGATGTTGGTCGAGGCCATCAACCGAAATTCCCATACTGCTGCTCGAGGACGATGTCGAGGAGGCGGCCACTATTTCATCCTCGGAGGTGGACATCATCAAGTTTCGTCTTTCAACTCGTGTACCACTGAGCATATGAGCATAGTCGGCCTGCAAACGACGTCGAGGGTCGTCGACGTCAGGGTTCAGATTGTCGACCTCCTCTAGGGTCTTCTTTGCTTTTTCATACGCCTTCACTTCCTTGAGGAAGCCACTGCCCACTGTGGCATCGAGACGGCGCCATTCCATAGCCTCGGGGGAAAGCGGAGGTTAGAGCAGCTAGTACTAAGCAAGAGACAGTATGATCTTTACGCAAGTGTGTGTGTCTGTTTCTGTTTCATTTGCTTTGGTACCATACTTCTAGTAGTTGTAGCTTCCATGACTCTAGTTTATTCAGTTCGAGGGGTGATCCTCTCAGCAACCTCAAACTCGATCACAACAATAAAGGCCATCTTCTAACTCTACTAAATCCTCTTACAACACTCTACAATCTAAGTCCTCTTTTCATAATCTTCATTGTAATCCGGAATATCCTGTTGCAACTTGCGGATGGCTTCTTCGCTGTGGCCGTGTAGTTGCATTAGTCTGCGAAAAGCTGGATCCTCCAAGACCTCGTTCTTCAAATGTTCGGCCATAGATTGCGCATCCTTAGGGGCAGGCATTCCCTGAGTGCGATCGCGAGTGACAACCTCATCCATCCAGGGATAGCGGGTTTTCAGCCTGTTTTTGGGAGGAATGGCACAAAAATGAATACAGATGAACATGAAATTATAGAACTCTTCAAACAATCGACGGTTTGCAGAAAAATGTAGTCAATGCAGTTGTAGCCCTGCTCAAGGATAAAGATATATAAGTACGATTCAAACAGCATCATTTCCTCATCGCTCATATAAGCTTCACCGAGTTCGGCCTTCAATTTGCGCAACGTATTTCCATCTTTTGAGGCTTCCTTCTTTTCACTTTCTGTGACTGTCGCTTTCTGATTCTGTCCAGCTGCAGCAGGTTGATTTTGTTGCATGATCTGTTGGTATCTCTGCCAAGCAGCAGTGGAGTAGGTCTGACGCTCTTTCGGCGTCATAGCCCAGAACTTGCGATGTGCTTCGATGTACTTTTCGCGAAGGTTGACATCAATGTCACGAGATGGCTTCCCTGCGTATTTCGGTCGGGACACTTGCTGCAGACCGCCTTTGCTTCCATTGGAGGTTGAGCCTTTGCCCATACCTGCCGAGAGATCTTTGACGGCTCCTTCACCTTTGTTGTTGGCTGCTTTGTTTCCACCTTTATCAACGCCACCCTTGTTCTCTCCCTTTTGATCTCTTTTACCTCCCTTTTGATCTCCTTTACCTCCCTTCTGATCTCCTTTACCTACTGCTTTGCCTTTATTGCCGCCCTTACCACGACCAGCTGCATGATGTTGACCACGACGATTTTCACGTAGCAACTCTGCATAGATGTCATTACCTTGTCCAGGAGCAGTTTGCGGACGAGGACTTGTGAGGCCGGTCATAGTGGTAGCAGTAGGAATGACCTCTGGTAAGGAGGAAGTATCTTCGTGTTTCTTGTTGGAAGAGCCCGTCGAACTCGTCTCTTTCGGAGCGGTGAAAGCACCAGCCGCACTCCTCATGTTAAAGCTCAGCCTTCAATGGTCACTGACTCTGAACGGAAGGGACCCCCTTCAAGGCTCTCCCCTTTCCCTTCGTTTTCCCCTGTTCTCTCAAGGGGTCGCCTCTTCGATCTCAGTGACCAACCCCAATGACCATTGAAAGTTGAGCCTTAATCATGGCACGGCGAGCGGCGTGACGACGTTTCACTTCTTGGTCTAGGTCAGTTCCTAGACGATGCAAACGACGCATGATGGTGGCTGGCGACTGCATGTTCGAAGGCGTGAAGAAGTCGTTGCTCCCTGTCTTGCCAGATGATGCTGTGCTTCTAAGTGTGGGTTGAGTAGGCTGACCTTCTTTCATTTCGTTGTTGCTGGGGCCAAGTGCACGGTTCCTGAAGTAAGAACCTGGCATACCCGTTGTACCATCATCGTTGTAATTGCCAGTATTATACGGGTCGCTCGTAGTGTCCCCATAATAACTATTCGTGCCAGTATCCCAGTTGTCCTTCATGTCACTACCGGTGCCCGTGTCCCAGTTGTTGTTCGTCGTGTCAGTCTTGTAGTCAGTATCCCAGTTGTTATTCATGTCACTGCCGGTGCCAGTGTCCCAGTTGTCATTCATGTCAATGCCGGGGCTTCCAGTGTCCCAGTTGTTCTTCGTGTCAGTGTTGTAGTCAGTATCCCAGTTGTTATTCATGTCACTGCCGGGACTCATGCTGGTACTCCAGTTGTTATTGAAGTCGCTACCGGGCCCCATGCTGGTACCCCAGTTATCGTTCTTGTAGTCGTTGCCGGGCATCATGCTGGTACCAAAGTTGTTGTTCATGTCGGTGCTCTATGAAGACGAGGAGGAGAGAGATACAGGGGAGCTGAAACAAGAAGAAAAACTGAAACTCTTCATCAAGGAGGAGAGAGATACAGGGGAGCTGAAACAAGAAGAAAAACTGAAACTCTTCATCAAGGAGGAGAGAGATATAGGGGAGCTGAAACCAACACCTGATTACAGATTAGTCTTCATCATCATTGTGTCGCAAAAGGTCGTTCTATACCTTCGGCAAGACAAAACAGTTCCTGGAGTGACCGTGAGGTTGACTGAGGAAGCGTAAGCCTCTGAAGTAGGGGATGCAAATCAGTCGCTTACCTTTGTCAAAAACAAAATTACATCCCTGTCTTCTCATAAGTTCATCCACGGGTCCAACGTCGTTGCATAGGGATCAGACCAAGGGTCCATCCAGGGATCACTCGTCATCCCAGGCATGCCGTAGGGGTCGTTGTAGGGGTCGTTGTAGGGGTCCATGTAGGGATCAGCCCACGGATCAATCATTCCTGGCATGCCATGAGTTAGAGCTAGGCTTTTGTTTCTGATGCACCGTGGTTTATTCTTGATGGCTATGGCTTGTCTACTTTCATGTAGTAAAAGATGAACGGTTCCGGTTTTTGGTAACCTGAATTTGATCATAAGGGAAAACAAGAAGAGAACCCTTAGGATCAAATTCAGGTTACCAAAAATACCAGAACCATACAAAAGAAAGACGTCCCAAACCCAAGGATGACTACATTATAAGGTCGTCGTTGCGGTACCTATCTAGAAAAATAAAATCGAGGAAGAGGATATTATAAAAATATAAGGATCATGCTCTCCCTCTCTTGTTTCATCTTGCCGTAAAGGAGGAGGCGCACTAGTAGCGAAGGGGTCCATGCCCATCATTTCCATGGCCATCATGGCTGCAGGATCAAACGCACTACCGGGACCGCCCATATCTCCCTGCATAGAGGCTGCCATCTTTGCCATGGCCGCTGTGTCTGGCTTGATTTAGAGCAGTGGAAGGACAAGGATGAATCATTGCAATTCTATGCTTAGTAAGTCCAGCAACAGGCTAGACTAGCGGGTAGAAGTCGCCAGAGAAATCTTAGGCAGATCGCCGAGTAGATTCGCGCCATCAATATCATGTGTAGTAAGTACAACTCATTTCCGCTTCTTTGCATTGTGATGTAATGTACCACTGTAAGATCTATTATGCAGAAGTAACAAGTAACAAGTCTATCCCAACACCTGTAGCTGAAGTTCCTTGCCATAAATCTTCGTCCTCGTCTTCACTGCTGCCACCACAGTCGTTGCCGACATTGGAATCGTCGACACGTAGACCAATTCCGACTGCACGTTGGAGAGCAGTTTGGAAGTCGGAACCGCCGCCATCTGTTGCCCGAAAGCGTCGGCTTTGGCTTGGTCTGGCTGAGAGATCTCAAATTTTACGTTCACATTGAACGCAGCCAAACGACGAATGTGAGCAGGCTGAAGCTCTCGGTGAGGGACTTCGTCGAGGGGTTAGAGGCAGAACCTCCCCCCACGAGAAAGGCTGGTGGAGAAGTGGTGGTGGAATGGAATGTTGCCCAGAACAGTGATAGATATTTTGAGTCAATCAGGCCGTTCTTACTCTTTCCCTGGGTGGAACAAGAACTGATTACTTACAGCTAGAAACCTTGAATTTCTATCACGACCAAGAAGATTAAAAGTCATCTTCTCATCATAAACATTCTTTCTAGCAGTCCTCAATCCCTTTCGCCTGGCATATACATCCCCTGACATATCGCGCTCTCTCAACTCCTGTTGAATACGTTCAACCTCAGCCGCATTGCGAGCTTCTACCGAGTAAAAAGTGGAATAGCTACTCGGGATCGACGAGGCCCGTCCAGACTCAACCTCCGAATCACCCTCGGGACTGGAATAAGGTTCGGCTTTTGATTAGAGATGAGTGCAATTGTAATCGTTGGAGTTGGTAGTACTACAACTTCTACAACTTCTTTGCACTTGATGCTTCTAAAAGTAGATGATCTATTCGTAAAAAAAAAACGAAATTGAGAATTCTCTGATTCTCGTTCGGGAATAAGTATGTAGTCCTCCTCTGCTGCTTTTCAACATCAACATCATCAAGATGCACAAAAAAGCACTAAGGAGCCAACTCTTAACTTTCCATCGTTGGTGGAAAAGAATTGAATCGTCCGGAAGAGGACGGCGATTCCGCACCAGTGATCATTTCCATCAACCTTCTTCGCGTGACGAATTCGAACCCAGTAATGTGAACTTCGTACGCTGCCACACCGTACGTGTCTGCCAAAGCGAACCTGAACGAATCTGTAACGTCAGGGTCGTCCATCAAGCTCTGATTGGTAGTGCCAGCCGGCAAATCCATGCCCAATGTTAGAAACAAACTGACACGCTTAAACCCACGTACGAATTTTAGGGAAAATTAGGGAACCATAATATCCCCTAATTCTCCCTAAATTTTGACCTCCTCCACAAGCGTGTCCGTTTGTTCATAACAATGTGACGTTAGCCGCTACGACAGGCGTAGTCTGAATCGTCTGACCACCGAAGGTGACAGCACCACCCGTGCAGTGAGGAGGCGGGAACTCGGAGTAGCACATGGGGTCCATCTCGTCGGCGTTCTCCAACATAGTATGCATGAAATCATGCGATTGTTCCATAATCGCAGTGTCGACGTATCCGGATTAGAGTGGGAGAAAAGGGTTGAACTTCTACTTAAATGTTGTTGTGGACTTTTCTTGGGCCCTATTTTTACGATGATACGCAAGAGCTTGCTTCAAGCAATAACGGACTAAGCTTGCTTCAAGTAATAAATTCAAATAATTACTTCCTTGAAGATGGTACTAGAAGATGAAAGAAATTCATTTTCAATATTTTCTACGTGTTCCTGTTCAAGAATATCAACAAACTTATTTTTATTATCCGTTAAATAATACCAGACATGAAAAGTGAAAACGATTCACCCGCAGCATAAAATTGAGCCTTCGCGAGTGCGTTCGCCTGGTACTTACTGGCTGTGACCTCCGATACACCCAGAGTTTCAACCAAGGTCCCAACCTCTCTTAGAGCTACCGCGGTCGCATCCCTGAGAGCTGCATCCTTGGCTTCCTTTTCAAGTAGAAAAAGAGCCAAGGATAAAAAAGAGCCAAGGATGCTTCAACAGCGGTAGCCACCTTAACTCTCGGTTTTTCTGTAGGGGTTCGTCCATTTCCACGACTTCCCACAGGTACTTGAAGTAATCCGGAGCTTTCTGGTAGCTTTGGGAGTAGCCAAACGACGATCCATCTGGCGATTGGTAGGCTTTTTGCACTACACTAGTCGGTAATCCAGTGCTGTATTCGCAGTAAGCGTACTTCGTTCATTATGAAGAAGCCGCTATCTGTATGGTTCTGGTATTTGGTAACCTGAATTTGATCCTAAAGGTTCTCTTCTTGTTTTCCCTTAGGATCAAATTCAGGTTACCAAATACCAGAACCATTCAAATATCTTCTAAGCAATTATTTCTTTCATGTTTATCAATATCTTCTAAGCAATTACTTCTTTCATGTTTATCAATATCTTCTAAGCAATTATTTCTTTCATGTTTATCAATATCTTCTAAGCAATTATTTCTTTCATGTTTATCAATACTCTATTTAAATACTATTAAAAACCCCCGAACACTCTTCGCCTTTAATGTGAACACTAAAGGACCCCTAAGGCGCCTTTAATGTGAATGCTAAAGGACTCCCCCCCCTTTAGTGTGAACACTAAAGGACCCTTAGGGCGCCTTTAATGTAAACACTAAAAGACCTCTAAACTAAGGCGCCCTGAATGCAAACACTAAAGGACCCCTAAGGCGCCTCATCAACAACAGCAAGAACAACAGCAAGAACAGCAGCAAGAACAACAGCAAGAACAACAGCAAGAACAACAGCAAGAACAACAGCAAGAACAACAGCAAGAACAACAGCAAGAACAACAGCAAGAACAACAGCAAGAACAACAGCAAGAACAACAGCAAGAACAACAGCAAGAACAACAGCAAGAACAACAGCAAGAACAACAGCAAGAACAACAGCAAGAACAACAGCAAGAACAACAGCAAGAACAACAGCAAGAACAACAGCAAGAACAACAGCAAGAACAACAGCAAGAACAACAGCAAGAACAACAGCAAGAACAACAGCAAGAACAACAGCAAGAACAACAGCAAGAACAACAGCAAGAACAACAGCAAGAACAACAGCAAGAACAACAGCAAGAACAACAGCAAGAACAACAGCAAGAACAACAGCAAGAACAACAGCAAGAACAACAGCAAGAACAACAGCAAGAACAACAGCAAGAACAACAGCAAGAACAACAGCAAGAACAACAGCAAGAACAACAGCAAGAACAACAGCAAGAACAACAGCAAGAACAACAGCAAGAACAACAGCAAGAACAACAGCAAGAACAACAGCAAGAACAACAGCAAGAACAACAGCAAGAACAACAGCAAGAACAACAGCAAGAACAACAGCAAGAACAACAGCAAGAACAACAGCAAGAACAACAGCAAGAACAACAGCAAGAACAACAGCAAGAACAACAGCAAGAACAACAGCAAGAACAACAGCAAGAACAACAGCAAGAACAACAGCAAGAACAACAGCAAGAACAACAGCAAGAACAACAGCAAGAACAACAGCAAGAACAACAGCAAGAACAACAGCAAGAACAACAGCAAGAACAACAGCAAGAACAACAGCAAGAACAACAGCAAGAACAACAGCAAGAACAACAGCAAGAACAACAGCAAGAACAACAGCAAGAACAACAGCAAGAACAACAGCAAGAACAACAGCAAGAACAACAGCAAGAACAACAGCAAGAACAACAGCAAGAACAACAGCAAGAACAACAGCAAGAACAACAGCAAGAACAACAGCAAGAACAACAGCAAGAACAACAGCAAGAACAACAGCAAGAACAACAGCAAGAACAACAGCAAGAACAACAGCAAGAACAACAGCAAGAACAACAGCAAGAACAACAGCAAGAACAACAGCAAGAACAACAGCAAGAACAACAGCAAGAACAACAGCAAGAACAACAGCAAGAACAACAGCAAGAACAACAGCAAGAACAACAGCAAGAACAACAGCAAGAACAACAGCAAGAACAACAGCAAGAACAACAGCAAGAACAACAGCAAGAACAACAGCAAGAACAACAGCAAGAACAACAGCAAGAACAACAGCAAGAACAACAGCAAGAACAACAGCAAGAACAACAGCAAGAACAACAGCAAGAACAACAGCAAGAACAACAGCAAGAACAACAGCAAGAACAACAGCAAGAACAACAGCAAGAACAACAGCAAGAACAACAGCAAGAACAACAGCAAGAACAACAGCAAGAACAACAGCAAGAACAACAGCAAGAACAACAGCAAGAACAACAGCAAGAACAACAGCAAGAACAACAGCAAGAACAACAGCAAGAACAACAGCAAGAACAACAGCAAGAACAACAGCAAGAACAACAGCAAGAACAACAGCAAGAACAACAGCAAGAACAACAGCAAGAACAACAGCAAGAACAACAGCAAGAACAACAGCAAGAACAACAGCAAGAACAACAGCAAGAACAACAGCAAGAACAACAGCAAGAACAACAGCAAGAACAACAGCAAGAACAACAGCAAGAACAACAGCAAGAACAACAGCAAGAACAACAGCAAGAACAACAGCAAGAACAACAGCAAGAACAACAGCAAGAACAACAGCAAGAACAACAGCAAGAACAACAGCAAGAACAACAGCAAGAACAACAGCAAGAACAACAGCAAGAACAACAGCAAGAACAACAGCAAGAACAACAGCAAGAACAACAGCAAGAACAACAGCAAGAACAACAGCAAGAACAACAGCAAGAACAACAGCAAGAACAACAGCAAGAACAACAGCAAGAACAACAGCAAGAACAACAGCAAGAACAACAGCAAGAACAACAGCAAGAACAACAGCAAGAACAACAGCAAGAACAACAGCAAGAACAACAGCAAGAACAACAGCAAGAACAACAGCAAGAACAACAGCAAGAACAACAGCAAGAACAACAGCAAGGACAACAACAGCAAGAGCAAAGACAACAACAGCAAGAGCAAAGACAACAAGAACAACAAGGACAGCAAGGACAACAAGAGCAACAACAAGAGCAACAACAAGAGCAGCAACAAGAGCAACAACAAGAGCAACAACGACAGCAACAACGACAGCAACAACGACAGCAACAACGACAGCAACAACGACAGCAACAACGACAGCAACAACGACAGCAACAACGACAGCAACAAAACAACAGCAGCAAAACAACAGCAGCAGCAACAAAGCAGCAGCAGCAACAAAGCAGCAGCAACAACAAAGCAGCAGCAACAACAAAGCAGCAGCAACAACAAAGCAGCAGCAGCAAAGCAACAACAACAGAGCAACAGCGACAAAACAGCAACAGAGAGCAGCAAACAGCAACAGACAACAACAAACAACAACAACAGCGGCTACTTAAAACACTACGAAAAACCCCCGCACACTCTTCGCCTTTAATGTGAACACTAAAGGACCCTTAGGACGCCTTTAATGTGAACGCTAAAGGACTCCTCTCCCCTTTAATGTGAACACTAAGGGACCCTTAAGCCGCCTGTGATGTAAACACTAAGGGGCCACCCCTAAGGCGCTCTTAATGTAAACACTACAGGACCCCTACGACGCCTTTAAAGTAAACACTGAAGGCCTTCCATGTGGGCAACAGATGGCCCTGAGGAAGAACAACAACAGCAAGAACAACAGCAAGAACAACAGCAAGAACAACAGCAAGAACAACAGCAAGAACAACAACAGCAAGAACAACAACAGCAAGAACAACAGCAAGAACAACAGCAAGAACAACGGCAAGAACAACAGCAAGAACAACAGCAAGAACAACAGCAAGAACAACAGCAAGAACAACAGCAAGAACAACAGCAAGAACAACAGCAAGAACAACAGCAAGAACAACAGCAAGAACAACAGCAAGAACAACAGCAAGAACAACAACAAGAACAGCAAGAACAACAACAACAGCAAGGACAACAAGAAGCAGCAAGAACACCAACAGCAAGAACAACAACAACAGCAAGAACAGCAGCAACAAAAACAAGAGCAACAACAAGAGCAACAACAGCAACAGCAGCAACAACGACAGCAACAGCGGGCCTTGAATGTGAACACTAAAGGACCCCCAGGACGCCTTCAATGCGAATGCCAAACCTTCAATGTGAATGCCAAAGGACTCCCCTCCCCTTTAGTGTGAACACTAAAGGACCCCCGGGGCGCCTTTAATGTAAACACTGAAGGCCTTTCATGCTGCCACATTTTCAAGGGGAATCGGTGGCAGTACTGCCACCTTCCTCTTGTATTTAAAACCAGCGCGCCCCCGCTCCCCTTTGCCGCAGCGCGGAGGGGAGTGAGCGCCCTTCGGGCGCCCGTTTGTTTCACCTTGTGAAACCATTCACCCCCGCCCACGTCCCTAAAGTATCCTTTCCCCTTCCTTAACGTCTCCCGGGGCACCCCGGCCCGGGGAGTATCTTCTAAGCAATTATTTCTTTCATGTTTATCAATATCTTCTAAGCAATTATTTCTTTCATATTTTTGCTTAAAAAAGTCTAAGGGTTGACTATATGAAACCGTTATCATCTAAGCATGTTGCTTAAAAAAGTAAGAAGTTTTGAAGCGGAGAGAACAGTGCTAGAATGAAGGAACTACATCTAGAGGTAGAGTACCACAGACGAGCTCCATCGCATCCATCAAGTAAGAAGTGAAAGTGTAGTTTTCATCTTTCCGCACCAAGGGGCGGGGGCCAGGGAACGAAAAGTCCTTGCTGGCAGACAAGAAAGCCATGGGAGCAGTAGCAGAGACGCTGCCCAAACAATAATTATATTGTTGAGCAGTTAACAAGATTCATCAATTTGTTTCTAAAAAATTTACTTTTTTGGAAAAAATTGATGCTTAAATACAGAAGTTAAAGTTATATTAGCGGTTTCATCATATTGGTTGAGACTTGACTTGACCGCACGTGGGAGGCAATTCACCCTGGCCCTGTTCTGGAACTTTGACGACTCGGTCGTTGCCGAAGGGACAATTCACGTTCACACGTACTGCCATTTCCGGGTTATCCAACACGCCCTCCACGTAGAGTTGCGGAATTCCACGGTCGCCCATGCAATCCCAATCGGCTCGACCGCAGTTGCAATCGCAAATGCCATCCGCCCATTCAGGTTAGAGCCCAATTGAATGGTTCGGGTATTTGGTAACCTGAATTCGATCCTAAGGGAAAACAAGAAGAGAACCCTTAGGATCAAATTCAGGCTATACCAAAAATACCAGAACCATACACCAATATTGTGGAGATACTTCTTATGTGCAGTCACTATATAAATCAGTGAGATACTTACTAGAACCCAATATTGGGGAGATACTTTTAAGGTTAGAGCACAATATTGGGGAGATACTTATGTGCAGTCATAGAGTTTACGTTTTTAACTTATAATGCTCGTTTCTCAGGAGGACAAGGACAGACTCGTTTCTGTAATCTATTGGGGAGATACTAGAGCCCAATATTGGGGAGATACTTGTTATGTGCAGTCTTCAATACTTGTTATGTGCAGTTGTCATAGAAGATGACATTTAGAGTCTTCCGTTTTTAACTTGTAGTGCTCGTTTCTCATCATGAGGACAAGGACAGACTCCAACAGAAGTTATTTTCGTTTCTCATGAGGACAAGGACAGACTCCAACAGAAGTTATTTTCGTTTCTCATGAGGACCATGACAGACTCCAACATTCTGTTACCTATTTTTGTACAGTTACAGAGGGATCTGCATTCGGATCCCTAGAAAGATCTAGGAGTAACAAGTAAGTGGGTGAGGAATAGAAACGATAGACGAGATTAGGATTACGAAATAGTGCCAGTCATAATGTTCCGGATGGCAGACCCACGGCGTTACTTGATCGTCACCCAACTCACCAGTATTTGGATCCACGATCGGGAAGAGCCACTGGTAAGCGCGTTTAATCGTCCGCACTTCCATTGGTGTCGTTTTCGTCGGGTCCGAGCTACTGCCGCGAATCAGAATCCGCATGTTGCTGTTTTTCGGCACTTTAGTTTCGTCTGAAAAGCCACCTGCGTTCACCACGATCAAACCATCGTGCAGACCATCGCAGAAGATGGATGCGCGGCCACTGGTATAACTCGCTCCATCGAGACTGATACCTGGCGAACCACTTTCGGTGTTGTAATCGCAGTAAGGACGCTCGCCCAGGATCGCCTGCATCTTAGGATCCGTGGCAAACGCCACTTTGGTGGGCGTCTCATCCATGTTTTGCTCCACAAACGGCTTTCCTGTAGGCGAAAAGTCCATTTTCGGAATGTTCGCAATCAGTGGCGAGAGAGCAACAAGTTTCACTTTGAACTTGTCCAAAAACGCTTTTTTGATCGCTTCTTTGGCCAACTTCCGGGCTTGCGGATGACCATACAGGTCTATCACACACCGCAGAGTGTGCTCGACTACAAGCTGACGACGGGTTGCAGGAGGGTTCTCCTGTAGTACTCTCTCATTCTTGTCCTTGTTCATCTCCTCCATCCTCGCTTTCATTTTTTGGTGTTTCAAGAACGGGTTATCCCACTTGCCGTGTCGGAAAGCAGCGTCTTCCTTTCTCAATTTGGCCCGTCGTTCCATGCGTCGTCGTGCTCGGCGTTCGCGATACCACATGCCACCACCCATGCCCATATCCATCATAGGATCGTCGTAACCACCGCCCAGGAGGTTAGAGGAAAGACAAAGATACTAGGTTTCCTTTTCTTAAAAAGTCCACTATAATCCTCGTTGTAAGTCACTATCGGTAGGACGAAGTCCACTATAATCCTCCTATGTAGGCTGTAGGACGAAGTCCACTATAATCCTCGTTGTGATTCACTGTTGATGCTGTACCTGTAGTAGTAGTACTAGTACGAGGTAGAAGCACTAGTAAGAAGTAGGAGTACAGAAGACAAAAGAAAAAGTCGTGATAACTTAATAGATGAATCTGTTACCGTGCAAAAAATTCTCTTTATACACTAAAACCTTCCTTGTTGTTGTTTTACAGATACACAATTCATTCTACTAACTTCTAAGAACAAAACGAAGAAGATGAAGTCATCGATTTAGAAGTTATCTTTATCAAAATCAAACTTGTTTTGGTTTTCATAATCATCATAGGATGAATCAGTTACTGTGCAAATAAATTACATTCACTTTAATATACTTAGCTGGGTACTGATACTGTAACAACACTACACATATCTTCGAGGACTTAGATTCCTGTTTTCATAATCATCATGGGGTCGCTCATCATGGGATCCTCCCACGTCATAGCATCGTCTTCCATCTCGAAGCCTCCGTGCATCATCGCATAGGGGTCTTGCCCCTCCTCAACGGAAATCATTTGTCCAGTCATCGGATCGTAGACCATGGCAGCTCCGAAACCCATGGAGTCTTCCAAATTAGAGTAGACGGCAGGGCGAGGCGGCGAGAGGGAGGGAAGCGATTGTAGTTGTAGCTGTAGTTGGTTGTACTAGGAAATGAGCTTGTAGCTGTAATTGGTTGTGCTAGGAAATTATAAGCTTCTAGCTGTAGTTGGTTGTACTAGGAAGTAAGAAGGATGACAAATTTTCTAGATTGTAGGCGTACACGTCAGTTAGACAGTTATTGGGAGAGGGAGATGGAGAGGTGGATCTTTGCACTTGTCGTTGTAGGAAATGGTAAAGGCATTCTCAATCTAATTTTCATCGATTGCAGAAGAACAAGTGCTAGGAAATAAGCTTGTAGCTGTAGTTGGTCGTTGTGCTAGGAAATAAAGGTATTTTGGCGGGGAGAGGCGGGGAGAGGAAGCTTGTAGGCTACAAGAATTCAAGTGACCTTCTTGCCGTAACAAAGATATCTACAAACAAATCAGATGGCGAGACGCCAGTAAGTCCTTGTTCAGTCGCTGCATGAATGAAAGCGGCTTTGACATCGGTTTGCAGAGACGGGTGAGAGGCGATCTGCCAAGCAGGGGTAGCCATAGTCTGGGGTTCAATCACGATCTGCAGCTCAGAGAAGTAATCAAACTTGTCCGAAGAGGTCGACAGATGACGCAGAGGCGCAGAGGAAGAGTCGGAAGATGAAGTGAAGATGGTAGAAGTAGCCTGATGTTGTTGTGCTGTCGTTTTGGACAGACTACTTTCCGGAAGGACGACACGGCCCTTCGCGTCAATCTCGTAACGAGGAGAGGAGTCGGAGACGCCATCAGGATTGTTGCGCAAGAAACGACGCTTTGGATGCAATGGTGACTTTTTTTCTTTCTTGTGAAGTGCAACATCTCCTGCAGAAGTGCCCTCCTCCAAGTTTCGTCGACTGCCTGATCCGTCGCCTTCGTGCAATTGCGCGATTGCATGGATTTCAAAGCAGTCGTCGTTGGAACACGCAAACTGAGGCATCATTGGATCGTACATGACATTTCCCAGGTACGGATTTGAGAAAAACACCTCGCGGGGACCGTCTGCGGCTGTATTCGCATCCGGGTCCATCTTGTCGCGGAAACGCTGTGCCAACTTCGCCCGCCAGGTGCCCATGCCCATTGGCGGAGGACAACCAGGAGGCGTAGGCCGACTCTCGCAGGCGTCAGACAGAATGCGATTGAACTCGAACTCAACCTCAGCCCAACGCCTTGTGGTAAACGTCACAGCCACGTCGACCTTTCTTAACGCTAGTCAGTCACCTAAAATCCTCTTGAAGATCCTTCCCTTTTTTCTTACCTCAAAATCCGTCATTGAAGACTTCAAGAACTACACAGGGGAATTTACGTTCTTTTTACGTTGTACTCAGCATACGACCCATACTAGTTCTAGTTCTACTTCTAGTCCGCATCAATGGGAAGATAGTAATTCTTGACTAGCCTTAACTCTCGTTGGGAGCCATCCGGAGGACCACCAAAATCCATAGGGTCCGTAGTCGCTGGATCCGGAATCCCTGGTGTACCAATGCCAGGCATTGGTCTGGGAGCCAGAGACACGGAAACAATATCGTCGTACTGAGCTTGGTTCATTAAAGGTAGGACTTTGGAGGAGGTGTTTCTGGTCCCCGTTTGCAGGTATGCTCTTGGTTCATCTCCCTTAGGATGGAAAACCAAAAATACAAGCAGTAAAAAGAACAGAAACACTAAAAACCCACTCTTAAGTTTAGAGTGCTTGTCTGCAAATTGAAGGCGAAAATGATGGCATCACGCATGGCCTCGCTGAGAACCGGCCAATTGGCATAACCACGATGATCGCCGACGTCGGTTAAACCACCTCTGTTCTGCTCCCAAGCACGATTGTAATCCATCATGCCGTCATTGAAGTAAGCAGTCCGGAAGCGTGTGATAAACGTGAATTTTTTCTGCGCTGCAAGGCAGGTAGAGGCAAATGGAGTTTGATAAAAGCTCGTGAAACAATTGGTCTCTCCTGGGACCGTATTCGTACTGGAGTCGGCGAAATACAACGATCTTAGAGCTCAAAACACTTCACTTCTTCATGACATCTTTGGCTCAACATTTTCTCAATTATGATTGATCTACTTCATGCTCTCAAGAGCATGAAAACAGAAAATGCTGCCATCGTTCATGATGGCCGTAGAAACAGAGAACGAGAAGAATTACCTGAGCTTGTGAAAATGAAACAAAATGAAATGTAGCTAGCCTTCAAGTTCATCTGGCTGGACTAGTCCCTGAACTGAATTTAGTGTACGCCTTCAGTATGTTAAGTGGCCCGTGTCTGTGGTCATGTACATAAGCCCTGACGAGTATGTCAGTACAACTCAGTTACAACTGGCTAACATGCGTGGACTTTTTTTTTTTCGTTAGGACTAGATGCTGCCTCCCTTTCAAACAATTGTAGTACAAGGTGTGTGTGCGCCTTAAGTATCTGGCTGGGCTAGTCCCTGAATTTGGACTCTCAGCATCGGTCTGGAGGTAGTTGTACAAGGAAACGTCGGGCTTCAGATTCGCCACGTATTGACGCGCCAGCGTTCCTTTCACTCCTGCTGGGGACGGAGATTAGACGAAAAGATGGACGTCTACTTCTTCGTGCTCGTCTCTTTTTACAGTGAGTAGAAGAACAACACGAACTAATTTATTGGGGTAAGTACACATTTCTCCGGTCCCTCACCTCCTCCCTTGTTGTTGTTCCACAAAGAACAAAGATATTAATAACTGTTATATCAAGTGCATGCATGATTTGGATCATGATCTTTTTTTCAATCTTCTATAACAACTCAAAGACCTCAACCGCTCTATCTTCTTGCCATAAAAAGACCTCGGAAATGTGCCCACATCCATCCTCTGACGTTTAGCAGTTAGCAACTCTGCGCGGACAGCGGCAGAGGAAGTTTAGAGCTCAAACCGTTTCACTTCTTCTTGCGTCCTACAATTCTCTCAATCCTAAGAAGAAAAGAAGGAGAAATGGCTAGTAGAATGTATGAATTGTTAGTAGTTGCCACAAAACCCCTGATCTTGACCTTGTTCGGCATAGAATGCTAGTAGAATAGAAATGAATTGTTTTGAGCCTTAAGAAGTGTTAGTCTGGAGATGGCGCAGCTGAGCTTCTGGCAAATGCTCCCCGTTGGCAACGCGCTCTCTCAATCGGCGCAACTTCTGCTCACGGATATTGTCTTCTTCAGACACAAACAAATTCATCTGGGAATCTTGTCCTTAGAGCAGTCGGCTTGTAGTTGTATTCGTGTCCATCGAGGATCTGGGTCACCCCTTCACATCGGAGGACGACCCATTCCTTATTGTTTCCCTTCACTATCTACTTACTATTGCTACTATTCTTGTTCATCTATGGAAGAGAAGAAAATGGTATTTGTACCGAAGAAGAGATGCTGAGATGAACAAATAAGATGGATAAAAGCTGACCATAATCTCCTGCTTGCCCTTGGGCAGCTAGCTTCATAGCGTCTTCAAGGGTACGAGTAGCGATCGACCTGCTAGTAGCGATCGACCTGCTAGCAACAAGACCATTTTGTCGATGTCTGATAGACCACCTACTAGAATCGCCTCCACCAAGCAATCTACGACGCGAAGTAGTAGTAGTCGTGCTACCATCATCTTCCGTCGTGGATGCTGCTTGAACAGTCTGCTGCGTCACGGTAGAACCAGAACGAATAATGATCTCACTCGAATCAATCTGCAAACGAAATGGACCTGAGTGGGTGAGGTTGTGTATTTAGGTCGTGAGACTGTATTTTTTTTTGAAACTTTTTCTGATATCTCCAAATCCAAATCCAAAAGTCGAGGTTGTGCCTCCTTGTTCTTGTAGACAGAACGGAAAGGACCTGAAGTAGTGCTGACTTCAGTGCCTCCTTGTTGTAGACAGAACGGAAAGGCCCTGAAGTTGTGCCTCATTGTTGTAGACAGAACGGAAAGGACCTGAAGTAGTGCTGACTTCAGTGCCTCCTTGTTGTAGACAGAACGGAAAGGCCCTGAAGTTGTGCCTCCTTGTTGTAGACAGAACGGAAAGGACCTGAAGTAGTGCTGACTTCAGTGCCTCCTTGTTGTAGACAGAACGGAAAGGCCCTGAAGTTGTGCCTCCTTGTTGTAGACAGAACGGAAAGGACCTGAAGTAGTGCTAGGTAGAAGAAGTACTCGTGGCACCAGTGGTCAAAAAGATAAAGTAAATTAGAAAAAATAAAAAACAGTTCTACAACTTACAACTTGATCATCTACTTGTATCTTTACAATTTTGTAAACAGTAGTACCAGTATCACTAAAAGGCTGTTCAGGGTCGTCCAATTGCAGGACCATGTCCTGATAGTCCCCGCTCATAGAGCTGACCATTTTTCCGCTAGAAAAATGCCGGTTCCGGAACTGGTTGCCTGTGGCCTTGAGGTGCAAGATTTGGGTTTTCGTTTTGGCGTCAACTTTTTCTGCTGAGATTAGAGGTTGATTAGGTGTTTCTTGAGGGTAGGAGGAAGTGAGATGAAAATGAAATCTCGTCATCATGCTGCTCCTGGGCATAAATAAGATACTTTTAGTTTGGACTTCCATCAAGTCTCCGTAGCTGCTGCAGCACGTTTTTGATACCTCTATTAATTGTCTACTTTCTTTGCGCACAAGCACATTGATGTCATAATGCAACAGCGGTCGCCAACTCGTGAATGCCTTGGCCCAGGTTCAACTCGATGGTGAAATTCGTCTCCGAGATGTTCTTAACCGGAAAACCGGCTTTCGGACCCATGTTGGCTTTGACGAGGCTGGTGGAGGTGGTAAGTGGAGGATGTAATAATGATGATTGGATTAGATTGTAGGTCGTTTAACTTCACATACACCGCAGTCAGATTTAAGCTAATCAGGAAGGAGCAGTGGTAAAACGTGTCTTCAGTAGGTGGTGCACGAGGTCAGTAGATCATGTAGTAGGTTTTTCTTAAAAAGCAGGCGCTATTTTAGTCAATACCCATGTTGACGCAATTCATATTATGAACAAAAGGGGATGCTGTTGACTGAGATACTGGTTCTTCGTATCCCAAAATGAGATAGAGACACGAGGACTAAAAACTTAATGATAAAATAACCAAAAACTAGTAGCACCGGTAGTAATTGATCGTATCGGAAACTGAAACATTTCCCGTTGTTCCGTACGTAGAAACTGTCGTAGCATCCAAAGCCAATACTTCTGCTGCAGGAATATCACCTTCTGGCCTATATTGACAGACGTACTCGTTCTTCTCGTTCCTGTTCGTATTGCCGGAATACAAGGTGTCGTGAGGACAGGCCTTGCACTTATCTCCGCTCTTTGCTTCGAACTCCTTTTGCTCACCCAAATAGCCGTAGAGACTTGTTTCTCCTGTTAGAAGCTCTTACAGATTACATTCACCTTGGAGTGCATGTGCATCTTCATTAAGTCAAAGTTTCCCCCTCAGCAACAAAAGGGGTTAGCGATGCTTCTTAAGATGAACTATTTTGAGCCTTAAGCCTGGCATTGTGAGGGCGTAGCAGGGTTCCGACACGGCAACCTCGGATCGCTTAGGATTGTACACAGGAAAGGTGCAACGACCCAAGGGGGAGCAAATCTCAGTTTCACTGCAATAAAGCACAGGCAGCGTTCCGGTCAAGCAATCGGGATCGGTCATGCCGCAAAGATTAGAAATAGACTAAGTAAGTATTTAGTGTTTTTGATTTTACCTGATGCTGTATTTAAATGTGAAAACACTCTCCGGCTTGTTGATCTTCTGCAACTGCATGAGAGCAATAGATGTAAAATGCCATGAAAAATGCCCCCGAGGACGATCTTCGACAAGGCCGAGAGCGTCCACTTCTAGTACAAATACTGCTGATGAATCTGTTGCAAGCAGTCCATAAAGTTGCAGTCACAGAAGGATCCATCCATGTATCTGTTGGGCGGACACACCCAAAGCGTCGGATTCGAGACGGCTGGATAGTCGGTCGGGCGATCTGTGGCAAAATTCAAACGCGTGGAACCAATCGAAGTGCCACGAGTCACCTTCAATGTCTTGCTGTGGGAAATGAAGAGATGGGGTGGAAGGAATTGGAGGGAGGGTGCGAGGGAAAGAGAGGTGGGATGGTGAATGATGGTGGGATGGTTATGATGGGATCATGGTCATGCTGAAACGAAGAGATGGGGTGGAAGGAATAAAGGGAATTCTCGTCTTGCTGTGGGAAATGAAGGGATGACGAATTCAGATGGGTGAATGACGAATTTAAGTGGAAGAAACCAGAGGAGAGAACAATTCGCTCATAACACTCGCTGCAGTGACAAGCATGCGTTCGACGCCCATGTCTCCTGTTACGACAACGTAGAACGGGAACGGTACTGTCCACACGTAGACTGGAGCCTTCAAGGTCAACGTCTTATCCGTCTTACTCGGTCTGTTGGCTTTGGTTAGAAGAGGTCAGCATATAAAAATAGTGCTAATGATCCAGCATCTTCTAGCAGTACTTTGGATCTTCTATGGAGAAACAGCTTCAAGACCGCTTCATTTATATGCTACAACCAAAACATCAAGCCGCCATAAGCTGACATACGCCGTGTTGAAGAATTCGTTCTTTTTTCCGTCGCAGATCATTGTATCCGCAGAATGGATAAAATTGTTGACGTACGAAGCAAACAGCATCCAATCGGTCAATTCTACGGGCACTGTTTTCATTAGAGGTGTGTGGTGGTGGTTGTGTACTAGAATCAATCAAGTTGTCAGTGGTGGTTTTGTAGTAGGTAGGTGGTGGTGTAGAAATAGATAAGGGTTATCATGCAAGCTGTAGTTGTTGTTGATCAAACTCTCGAATGAATGTAATATGATATCTTCCTTCGAGGAAGAGGTGGACAACAAGAAAACTTGTTTCCTACGTACAAATGAAGTACACCAAGAATATTTCTTGTTTCCTACGCACAAATGAAGTACACCAAGAATATTTCTTGTTTCCTACGTAGAAATGAAGTACACCAAGAATATTTCTTGTTTTCTACGTACAAATGAAGTACACCGAGAATATTTCTTGTTTTCTACGTACAAATGAAGTACACCAAGAATATTTCTTGTTTCTAGGAATGAAGTACACCAGTAGATCAGGTATTATTGACACAGACTGGAACTACATATTTGCAGAGAGGAGCACGACCACATTCGGTCTTGATGTTCTTTCCATAACTTCGCCGCCATCGCGTTGGTGTTTTCGGTCAGCGTCATAGAGTCGTTGTACCCCGTATCGATACCGTAGACCGTGCGCAAACGACGTTCTACGTTGACGCGGTACTTGCCGTAGGCCAAATTCTGCATAAACGCTTTCGCGTCTGAGTAGTTCCAAGAACTGTTCACAATCATCATGTTGTCCATCGATGTGCGGCGACGCCACGTGCCAGACTCCAGGTTCGTGACCTCTTAGAGGTTCTTTACTGCTGTCCTGTCCTCGATTCATGATCTTCATGTCGTAAAATCCAATGCTAGAAAACAAGTAGTAATCTACTCACGAAAAATCTTGGTGATGATGTGAAATCCAATGCTATAAAACAAATGAACATCTCAACGAAATCATGTCACTATAACTCGTCCTACTTCCAGTTCTAGTACTTGTCGTGCCATAATAGTGATTCAAGCTCCAACTGAAATTGTTACTCGCCAACGTGTTCATGGACCCAGCCGTCGATTTTTGGTACTCCCGACTGTACTTCATCAAACTGGGTCTCAGCGCTTCGTACTGATAACGATTGACAATGCCTGCTTGAAGCTGGCAGCTCTTGACGTTCCGCAGTTGCTTGCGGTCAAAGCGGACAAAAGCGACAGCATCGTGGTCGTAAAATGTTTTCACAAAGGTTAGAAAGATGAAGAGGATTTTGTAGAGAAGGACGAGTTTTATTTTGTAGTCCTCGTTCTTGTTGTAGTTGTAAATTCATTGTAGTGGTTCTACTTCTAATTCATCTGGAGGTAAGCAAGATGAAATGGAAGAAAGTGTGGAAATTAATTTAATTATGAACAATGAGGAAATATTGCCAGGACTTCATCTAGGTCAGAAAGAAAAGGGATTCTGCTCAACACATTTGTTCCATGTCCTAATGTCGGCAGCAGTCCCAGGTCACTGTAGGCATAGCGCAAACTCTCCTCGTAGTTGTGGGTATCCGAAGTGACGGCCATATCCCTGACGTATCGCGTCATATTCGGGAACGGAGATTCCATATCGCTAAGGCATTAGAAGAACTGCAGGGGAAGGAGACAAGGTGAGAGAGAACAAGAAAGCAACGGAATTATCCGCTGCGATTGGTTCTAGTATTCACGATGTGTTTCTGGATGAAGATGAACTTCAACGTAGTATTTATTGGCTCATCATTTTCTGTTGGAACACCCGAACACGTCCAAGCGCACTATGAGGCTCTTGAGAGCAAATGGAATGATTATCGTTGCAATGTAACAGAAAGACGATCAGAACGGACGCGCCGAATGATCACTGACTGTTTAAGGCCCTGAAATGATATCAAAATGGGCCCAATGTCATTGGGGTATCATGATGGGTCATAATGCAGTTAAAGATCTGGGAGATCTTACTGACGATTCACGTTGGAACTCATTGCGTTCAAATGATGACCATGCGAGGAACTAACACGAGTTCAAGACAAGGAACGGCATTGATCATGATCAAGGTGACGAGTGTGAGCAGTCATTTGGCATTGAAATCAGGTTCATTCATTGGATCTTGAGCCAGTAATGACCATAGACCAACATTTTCATAAATCTTATAAATATGGTCGTCGCGTTGAAAGTAACAAGTAAGTTCTTATCCTCCACTGCTCCCAAACAACACATCAAAGAATCTTAGAACTAAATGTCTACTTAAATGAATATCATGAATCTACAAGTCTAAAAGCTTTGTGTCCATAACCTCCAGTCGGATAGGAATTGAAGATGACAGGGGCTTTCTCGTGCGCCCCGAACGCCACTGGGATTTCACCCTGTCGCGATGTGCCACCAAAATGAAAACCCAAATTGTCACGCCATTCGATCTGTAGTGGTGGTTGTGATGTTGGAGCTGTTGATTGATTCATGTGCCTGGCATTGGCAAGAGGTAAGTTGATGAATAGAAGATCTTCAGAAATCTGATAATGAACCCCACTACAACTTCCACGCCAACCTCTTGAATTGTTGTTATTGTCTTTGGGCAAAAGTTGAAAGAACTCGTCCACGACCTTCATCAAGTACAAGTAGTGCCTTCGCAAAGCTAGTGAGGCGAAACAGCAGAGGTCGTAGTACTAGTACCTCCGCCCACCTAGTAACCAAACCTGGTTACGAAAGTAGTACTTTCCTTCGCATCAATAAGCTAGTAAAAGTACAACCTTCGCGTTCGCCCACCTCCTACCCAAAGTAGTACCAGTACGAGTACCTTCACATCAAAGCTAGTTGTACAAGTTGTACCTTCACATCAAAGCTAAGTACCTTCGCCAAACTTGTGAGTCCGTCGTCTTCGTAGAACTCGATGTTATGATTCCAATTGAAGTTCGTGGCAGGCAAGTCCAAAGCTGGCGGCTCGGCTGCGGTCAGCCAGTCCCCCAAGTAAGCCTCGTTGAACTCACAATCTGGATGCTTAGAAGAACTCACAATCTTCTGAGATTTCATAGTGCTATGCGGTAGAGAAGTGGAGGTTGGTAGATAGGAGCTCACGTGTGTCAAACTAAATGCGGTAAGAAAGTGGTGGTTTTTGTAGAGAAGTGGTCTAGCTGTAAAAATCTTGTGGACGAACAAGTGTGCTCCTTGGTAGAGTAGTCGCTAATAGTCTTTTACTCTCTCTGCGCTGATGTACCTCCTGGAATGATTGCTCAAATTCAACTGAGGGGTTTCAAGCATCTTTGAAGCACATGCCTAAAATGCCTAAAGCATCCTTGACCTTTGAAGGTCGGGTAAACAATATTAATTATTAAATTTTTATCCTACGACATACATAAGTAAATAAAATTCTATTTTCATCATCAGCCACATCTAGTAGTACAGGAGACAACAACACCAACAACACCAACAACAACAACAACATATTTTCGTCCGCCCTAATATATCGGTGGAGCACTCCTAACTAGCAAACAAAAAATTAAAAAGGTCATCGCCCTAATATAGGTCATCGCCCTTCGATCTGCCATCGTGACGCTGTGGGACCCGTCGTAGGCTTGTAGGGATTCGCAAATGTTGTCCAGATTGATCTGAATCGATCCCAATGCCTCCAAAGTTGTCTTGTCCGAAAAAAAGTCGCCCATAGAACCCAGGAATAGCAGAACGACCAAGATAAAGAGGAAGAGGGGAAGTTAGAGAGGTCCTTGATGTTGAAGGGGTAGTAGAACGTCATTCTTGAGACAGAGGAGCATAATTCTTGAGACAGAGGAGCATAATTCTTGAGACTCAAAGCATCCTTGACCATGACGTTGACGTCTCTTTCTTCTCAACGAACGAGTTCTTTAGCCAAGAAGTGTATGAAATTGTAAGTCCGTAAGAAAGGCAAAATCCGCACAAGGTTGGTGGACTATCTTCCGGAGATACTTCGGCACCTCGGTCTAAGCGTCGCCCAAACCTGTCACCGAACTTGATCCACCATGGGGTTTTCAACGTCAGTGATTAGAAGGCTCCAGTACGATGAAAAAGCTCTAGAAGCTCCTCTAGAAGTCTACCAAGTAGTAACTTCTAATTCTATAAATGCATTTACCAATACAACCACGCACATATTCAATTCTCTATCCATGGCTATTAACATGTGCCTAGTAGTAGCGCGTTGTGGTGAAATTTTTTTTGTGCCCCCTAGTGGATTTTTTTTCGCTGAGCGAACAAACTAGGAAAATAGTACATAAGTTAGCCAACAACTACATGGAAAACTTTCTATAATTCACAGACTGTCAGCGTGCAGACTTTCTATAATTCACAGACTTTCTATAATACACACGTTAGTCAACATGAAAAACTTCCTATTTCATCTAAGCAAGCTGCCTAGTAGAGAATTGAGGAAGGACCCTTAAATCAAATCCGTCTTTTGCGCTTCCTCGTCAAAGGGTTGATACTTCGGAATCATTCCACCAATTCGCAGCCACAGAGAGAGCATTCCTTCGTAGCACCGAACGAAATTGTTCAGCGCTCCATAGTCCTCATCTTCGATCTCAGGCTTTTTCTCTTCTTCTTTCTCATCCTCGGCAAAGTGCCTTCCTTCTCGTTAGAGGAGATCGAATTCAACCCAGAAAATCAAAATCTTACAATTCATCTAGTCAAAAAATCAAAATCTTCCAATTCATCTAGTCAAACTCAAACACAAACTATGTATAGGAATACACAACTCATGTTGGTCACGAGTGCTACTACAAGTTCTCTGTGGTGGAACTACTCATTTTCTAACTATCTTTTGGATGCTGATGACTCACCAGACGTTGGTGTTGAGACTGAGAGGAAATGCAATTGATCTATCCTACTGAGCAGGTGACAGCTCTTTGCTTTCTCAGATACATGATCATGATAGACCGCTACTTTTTGTTCTTGGGATCATAGTGAGAGTGAAAATATATAATCTGTTTTCGATTTCGTTTTGGAAGAAGAACATGATTGAATAGACAGTGAAAGAGCAATTATTTTTTCACTTGGACTTACTAGGGTATGGGTAAGCCCATATAATTGTAGAAGTAGAATGGGCCTTAATCTCTAAATTCTCGACCGAGGCTCACAAGAACATGAGCATCCTCTTCAGGCGCGACCCGCCTGTTGGGTCGTTTCCTTGTGGTGAAGGTATTACCGCCATTCTTCTGGTCTCCTGGAGGCACCACCGCAGCAAGCCTCTCATGGTCCCCCACTGCGACCTGCAGCACTTCTTCCGTCCTCCCACGTTTCATTTCCATTTGCTCGTGGTCATCCACTTCGTCATCCACTTCGTCATCCGGCAATTCAGTCGAACTCGTGGATGGGGAAACATCATCCTCGACTGAGACCAAGGGGGGTGGTGTCGGTGTCCCTGGAGGAGGTGGCGTCGGTGTCCCTTCTAAGGAAGAAACGTCCGAAGAAGAAGCAACGTCCGAAGAACAAGAAGAAGCATCCTGGTTCACTTCTGGCTTGACCACGTCCTGATCCATCTTGTTGGTTCAAGGGAGTCTAGAACTAGATCAAAGAATCTCAAGGAAAATCCAGAAGAACAATCATGTTCGAGGAGGTAGAGAAGAACTTAAAGAACACGACTGTTGGAACGACCTATGATTATGACAGACGGGCACGCAGTTCAGGATAGATACTCTTGTTCTAGCTTTCTTTAGCATAAATATGTCCGAGCATGTGGAATGTTGAAAAAAACTACCTTGTTAGAAATAGCAATAACTGGCGGAAGATGATGCTGATGGCAGCTATAGCAATAACTAGCATAATAAACAAGAACTAGCGCTACAAGTACCGCGATAGACATTGATATTACTTATCTTAGATAAAAGTATGCGCTTCTTTATTTTCGTATGCGCTTCTTTATTTTCGAGGAGGGTTTGCATATGGATTGATATCCCAAGTTTTCTGTGTCATTGATATCCGGAGTCCCAGTTCTTACTAGAGGTACGTAGTACTAGAAGTATCTACTCATACGTAATTGATCATCTGTCCATCATGCCATATAAATGATCATCTGAGCAACAGTCGATCTCCATCGTCAATGTGTTGTTGATTGTAATACAGTCCCTCCTCTCTTATGTAATAATTGTAACACTCCTCGTCCATAATTTTTTTCAAGTTTCTCCCGCCTCGTCATAGACTCAAAGTAAAAATCTCACTCAATTTGGCGCCGTCGCTCAAAAGCAACAAGAACTCCAAAAACAACACAAACGCCAATGCACTTCGTATTCTCTTCATGTTTCAAAAGATACGCCCTCTCTTTGCAGTATCGATACAACAAATACATCGCGTTTTCGTTCTTTTTGCAATCCCAAAATGAACCGGAGCCATCTGGTGAACGTCAATAATTCACTCTTGGGCAAGGAAGTAGTGAAGATGAAGTGATATCTTCAGCCGTCGAAGTTGTCTTGCTCTGCATCCATTCATCTTGCCCCTTCTCCTGCATTCATTTAGTAGTCAAGCTAACGCCTTGCCGCACTTTGTGTGGCCCACAATTAACACGTCAACAAAATTTTCCACCTGCAATCGCTGCGTACGCCTCCACTACTAGTGCTGCCACTTCTGCCCGCCCCGCAGTTCTTGCGTGCTCGTTCTAGTGTACAGGACAGCACAGGAGTTGTTGATGGTGTTAGTCGGTTCGGATTGGCCCCACCACTTCCACGGATCTCTTTTCAGTGCTACGAATTTCGCTGATGTTGAAGCTGCGAGGGTGGTCCGCTGCTCCTACTTCTCCTGTGGCGCTACTCGTTGTCGAGGAGGAGAAGCACAGGAGCTGTTAGTTCATATTACGCGGCCTCGAGCGGCCTGACTCCATATACATTTCCTCACTTGGCGGACTATAGCGTCAACATTTTTAGTAAATTACTGTCAGTCATCATCTCTTTACGACTCTTGTTATCCTCTCCTTTATAATGCCTACGCGGTTCTTCACTCAAGGACGTGTCTTTGACAATCACTTTGGACTCATACTCCTCCCTCCTGTGTGCTGGCTCCTGCACCAACTTACTTTGGACTCCTGCACTACTCTCTTCGTCTTCTTCTGCATCATATCCTTTTTCTTCACGGGGTTACTCAATAACCTTTTCTTCTACTCACGTTATATGGGGGTGGTTCGTATTCTTCTGCTTTGTGATACTTTCCGTCTTCTGATCTTCTCTCAGCTGTGCTTCTCTCTTCGTAGGCTACCAACCTTCAGCAGCCAACTCCGAAAGACCGAAAAAAACCGTCTAGGAGCACAAAGCAGAGGTTCAAATGATGACGAAGCAGGTTCTGGCTCTGGTTCACGACCTTTCCCAAGCATCAGGGACTCTCAGAAACTAGACGAATCAGCATCGTCTCAACCACGTCCTCCTGCTTCTCAAGGTCCGCAAAAAGAAGACCGTCTAGGAAGCAGGAACTCGCTTCTTTGACGACGTGTAAGCAGAAGCAGACCCAGGCTGCTTCTACGGTTTTTTTTGTCCCTTCACCAACAAGAGCTACCAAATGGCCACACACCTAGGATTTCTTTTGTTGTAAGTACTTAGTTGCCCCAGAGATTGTGAAACAGCGATCCAGGTCAGGTCTCAGGTGTCAACTCAAGTAGAACTGCTCAACATTATTCGACATTTTTCAACTGAATTAATAAGCAAGTCAACACTATAACTCGAATATCGTTAGTTTTCGAATACTGTTTCACAATTAAATACGACTTCTATGAAGGACACGAGCGACGGACAAGCAACTCATCCAATTTGGATGAGTTGGTGGATCTATTACGATCATTGATCGTAAGTATGCTGGAACAACCTACAGTCGTCAAAGGTACCCACGACGAGCATGAGAGCGACGTATAGATGTAAATGTTGAAAACTCGACGTCATTGCATGTTGGTAGTCTTGATGTTCTCACTTCTGAAAATTCAGAAGTACAAGCCAAGGAACTATGTTTTTTTTTACGCTTCTAGTTTTTTCTTCTTGTTACTGGTGTCATACACAAATGTAAGTAATTATACATAGCTACGACTACGCCAGCGAACATGCACACTCCACTAAGTGGGAAACGTGTGATCGCACCAAGTGAGGATGTGAGTGTGCCAGTTATAGTTTACGCAGCTAGTATGAACTACTATAAAATGTGTATCAATATCTTCTAGAAGCTTCTACATATTTATTTGTTAGAACAGTCATCCACATAAGATGGCGTCTAACGTGTCGCCCTTGTCAAGTATTACGCAAATAATACTACCTAGCACTGTTGTGTTAGGGAAGAAACTTGAGTGATGCATTTGAAAGAGTCACATCGTCTTGATGGCTCTAGGCCTGAAGATCAACACCATGATCTTCTTCTAGTTGGTCCCTCGGACTGTAGTCCTTCACCTCAATGCTTATGGTAGTTGATCTATGTATTGGCCTGTTTGATCTAGCCACTAGCTTCATTGTGTAAGTGATGATAGTGATCTTGATGCGATTGATCTACGACCTGATTGGTAGGATCTTTAGGTGCAATTTGATAGGTTGATAGGCTGATCTTATGTTGTTCCAACATTCCCCCCTTCGTTACGGCGGAGCGAATGAGGATAACACAAGAGAAACCAAATCAAAAACTATGCATTTAAATCTTAAACATTCTATTACAATTATTTTTTTTTGATTACTTTCAAACAACCTACTAAATGGCTACGGTTTCAATGTTTTCGATTACATACTAACACAACTTTTTAAAAGTTGCAACATGCTGACCTATGCGAGGAACATATAAATTTTTCAAATAATTCACGTCACTTACTGCAGATAACATCTAACGATTAATACTTTACTTTGTGGCATTGCCTATACTTTCATCATGTTTTGATACTTAAACAGGTTTGCAGACTTAAAACTTAATAATGCTTAAATAATTTTCTCAAACTTAACTTTTCTAAGGGGGTTACAGGAGGAGCTCAACATAATAACTCACGAAATCTAGACACTCCTCGCTAAGTAACTCCATCTCGTTTATTTTCTTCTGTGGAAAAATTATGTCAAGAGCTCCTGCGTTTGACGTCTTCGTTAGACCATCAGCTCGCTGAAGATCTGTCGGAACAAATACAATCCTACTACCGTTCTCGATCACCTTCGAATGTCGGATTGCGATGTGTCTTGTAGGCCTTGTTAGCTCGTTCTTGTGCTTCCTACCGCTGAGGACTGCGCTTCTGTTATCGCACAGTACTGGGCCTTTACTTTCTTCTTGTACTTTTTCCGTCCGACCTCGCAAGAACTCGAGCAGCAGATGCGGCCCATCTGCCATTTCTATCGCCTTGGCAGCTGCGACCCATTCAGATTCCATGCTCGAAGTTGCGGTGACCGTTTGTGGTTGGCTTTTCCACGCCACCGGGAACCCGTAGAGGTAGATGACAACACCAGTGATGCTGCGCATTTTCTTGTAGGTGGACGCGAAGCTAGCATCTCCGTATGCGGTGACCGGATGCTTCAAGAGCTCCGGGCAGATCTTCTTGTTCTCCTCGTGATCACCTAGTTTAGCTAAATCCTTAAAGAATGCTTTCTCTGTTTCAGGCGAATACTCGATCCCCTGATGCTTCGAACCCGCCAAGTAGCGCAGGACACGTCTTCCAGCGTGTTCCATGGCTTTACTCACCGGGATGGCGGTGGCCCTTGCTAATTTGTTAGTTGCAGCTCCAATGTCCGGCCTTGCCGTGACAGTAAGCCACTGTAATGCGCCAACAAGTGCCCGAAAGGGGAAAGAAGACGGATTTGCTTTGTCCTCATAAAGCGGCGCTTCATCGAAATCGGGAGACGGCAAAGTTTTTAAATCCGGCTGCGCCATGTCGAATTTTCGCAGGACCTTGTCTACGTAGTTGGCCATGTTGATCCGAAGCACGCGATTCTTTCGCGAATAAATGCAGTCTGCGCCTAACAAGTCAAATTTGACCGCGTCAGGCAGCTCCGGAGTGGCTGCTGGAATCATCGGGATGAGAGAGATAGGATGCCTTTCGTGGACTTGTTGGACCAATCTGTCAACCTCAGCTTCGCTCTTGCCCATGACGACACAATCATCAACGTATATCGTCAGAAGCGCCTCTATCTCTCCCTGTTTGTTGACCTTCTTCCAGAGGCCTGGCTCTGCTTCTGCTTCTACCCAGCCGAGTTCTCGCAAGTCCTTGCTAATTTGGTCGCCCCACAGTTTTGGCGACATCGGGAGTCCATATAGTGCCTTCAGAAGCATCCTCTTCCCATCATCTTCACCGGAGGCATCTTGAAACTGTGGCGGAACAGAAACTACAACGCGATGGTGCTGGATGGATGCCCTGATAAATGCATTCCCAATATCAAAAGCCTTTATGTGCCAGCCGTGTTTTGCTGCATGTGCCAAAGCTACTCGATTGCCCAACTGCGACACCACCGAAGCAAACAGCGAAGCGTCTTCGTTGCTTTCCGCCTGCCATCGGTTCCCAAGCACTACTAAACGCGCTTTGAACCTACCGCAGCGTTTCCGGCTAAGCAACAAAGCCGTAGGAGTACATCTTAACTTTCCATGCTGGAATTCCGCGTACTCCTCCTCTTGTAATTTTCGCCAGCACCGATAGGCTTCCAACCTCGCTGCTTCGACACTGGTTGCTTCTATCCACTTAGCTTTATACGGGTTAGCATGGTGAAACGCGCGCGATGGCGTAGTTGACTGTCCTGGGGGTACTTCGAAGTCAGTAGGATCACCCCCCTTCGACAGGAAGACCTCCTGATATACCAACTCTTCACCATCTTCAAAAGTTAAGTGAGAGTAGTAGGCCTCGGCGAAGTCCACATGCTGCATCTGCGCTTTTGTTCGTCGTTTCCTTGGCACTTTATCCTTAACTCCTCTGGGTCTGCCTCTCGTTCTTGCAGTTGGGACTTCGCGGTGGATTGGCCCATACTGAAAATTGGGTGAATTGCCGTGGTTGCTCGGCGGAAGTTCAGACCCGGAAGCGTCGGTGCGCGGTGGTGGTACATCGCTGTGCCCAAGGGTCGCATTGTTTTGCTTGTTCAACTCGATGGTCTCTTGAAGCGTGTTTGTAGGTTTAGCCTCGACCTCCGGCGTTGCGGGCGGTTGCGTGTTAGTGCCGCCTACAACCTCTTCCCCCTCGAGATCTACCGTGGGATGCACCCCAACGAGCGGAACACCACTCCCAGCGGGCCCATCGGCTGACGCACGAGCGATCGAAGGCTTCAGCTTGGCCAGGATCTGCTCATCCAAATCTGCTGTCTTGTCGTTGCAGAGTTCTTGCACGTTCTGCACTAGTACTTCCTCGAGAAATGCCACATTTGCGCATTGATAAACCGCGAAACGATCGCTGTCGTTGGCTGGGAAGCAGCCAATTAGCCAACAGCTGTTTTCGTCCGACCAACCTAAGTTGATTCCCCGTAGTGCTCTTGGTGAAAGCACTGCATTTTTCTCATCCTGTTTGGCAGGTTCCGTTCGACCCGGACGGAAAATGGCCAAGCAACCAAACCGGCGCAAGTATTTCTTCTTGCGCTCTACGTTGACTTTCTGAAGCGGGTTCGATGTCCTCGCGTTTACAGCTTCTTGTGGAGCACTAACAGCACCTGACTCTTTGTTCTTTCGTGGCATGAGATTCCAACACATTACCACGTGCCGTAAGGCATAGTCCCACACTCTGGGATCAACGTGCAACATACATGATCGCAGTGCGTTCTTCAAACTTTGCACAGTCCGCTCCGCGTGCCCATTCGTCCAAGGCATATATGGTATACTATAAGAATGAGCTACGGCGTAACGTAAACAAACAGCATCCATTTCTGCACTTTTCAGTGTTTCCTCGTTGTCTGATCGCAAGCCTACTGCGACTAGGTCCGTCTTTGTAGCACCGGTGAGCACGTCTGCTCCACATTTGTGCCGAATCTCCCGTAGAAAGCTCTCTACTGCTTGTGGCGCGAAGCTTTTAGCTGGTAAGCTTCTAACCGCAACATACTGCGTAGTGTTGCAGACAAAGAGCATCACTACTTTATTTCCACGGTAAGTTTCAGGCTTCACTGGTCCGAAGAAGTCTGTTGAAAAGACAACGAGCGAAGCATTCGCTTTTTGCGACTCAGAGCTGCTAACATCGGCGCCAATTCCTCTAAATTTTGCTTGTAGGCAGTCCAAGCACGACGCTCGGCTCGAGCTGTCGTGTAAGTGCGCCATCCGCCAATGTTGTAAAAGTCTGTCTTCGCGTGTTCGCAAGCTGTCTCTTGGTCCTCTCCTTCTGCGACCTGCAACAATGACGGCTTTCTTCGCGCGGTGTGGTAAGCTTGTGACAACGTCATCTGCGCGCACGTTGTTGCACGATTCTGCCAGAGGCGTGAATTCATATCCGGAGTGCGTTGGCAGACTGTTCTTGTCGAAGAGGTTTTCAACGCTAGGGAGCCCGCTCGACGTCGTCGAGAACTTGACAAACGCGCCCGTGATAGTGTGTCTTGCGTAGTCACCACCTGCCTCAAATATGATCTGCCAGCCTTCTGCTTTTAGTCGGCGAACCGACGCCAACGCCTCGACAGGTAACTTCGGAAAACAAATCGCCTCGACTTTCTTTCCGAATACGTTCTCGCTCAACACGCCCAGATGTCCTGCGTCTGAACCTGCAACCCCTTTAATACTTCCTTTCTTATCATAATTTATAGACCTAAAATTTTGCTTATCTCTAACTATATGCGACGTACTACCAGAATCAATTATATTACTTAGAACATTTTTAGAAGAATCATTCGACATTAACTGTAAACCAACGAAAAGAAAATTATGACTAGTCTCAATGGATGACGATAAGTTTGCCAAGCTTAAACAAGAAGAATAATTATTATGGCTGACCTTCTTCTGCTGTCTGTGCAGCTTTCTTTTTCTATCCTTTACTACTTTCGAGATACTTCTATTGTTTAGTCAATGCTTGCCTCCCTTCTTTCCACCGCCTTTGCGGTTGTCTTTGTCCTTCTGCTTGCCTCCAGGAGCGCCAGGCTTAAAACGACACTCCGAGCTGTTATGCGAACGGAAGGCGGCGGCACGCGATTCATCCCAGTTGAAATGCTTCGCACAGGTAGGACAGTACTTCGCCGACCAGTTGTTGTTGTCTTTGTTCTTACCGCCTTTGCCTCCCCCCTTCTTTCCCATGCCTTTGCGCAGTTGCTGTTGACCATCGTTGTGACCGTAGGGAGAAGGGCGGTTGTGCTGGTGGCCTCCTCCTTTATATGACCGAGCAAGGAGCAACTGTTCCTCCTTGTGCTTGAGCTTCGCTTTCAGGCTCTGGATCGTGCGTCCTTCCTCGTTGTTGGTAATGACCTTGTTGGCACTCTCCTCGGGCATTGTTCCTTTACCTCCTCTTTCAGCTTCAACTTCCACGGCGAAAGTATCCGCTTGCTTTTCTCCGGCGACTTCTTGGAACATGATGCGGGAGCATTTTTCTGCCAAATCGTCAGCGTTATATCCGGCCTCGCTTGCTGGATACTGCTTAAAGTCCCGCAGTATCTGCGCAACTGTTGCGTCTTTCGTTGAAATATTTCTCATCAGAACATCTCGGATGAGTCGCTCGCGCATCGGTCCAGCAGGTAGTTCAGGTCCACACTTAGCCGCCATAGTTTTCAACTCCGCGACAAAGCCCATCAGATCCATGTTGCTGCGCTTCCAGTTGGCATTCTTCAGGGCGCTCATCTCCTTCTCGATCTGAACCCCTTCGAAGTACTCAGCAAGGCGGCTCAGCTCGTTCAGGACGCCCGCCAAATCATCATCGATCTGTTTGTTCTCGATCGATGTCTCAATGCGTGCTGCCAACGTTTTGCCCAGCGACGCCTTGACGGCTCTGTGCAACATCAAACATAATTGGCTGTCTCGTTCGTTCAGCACCGGCGGGGGAGCCACGTTTTGGACCAGCGGCGTCAAGATGTCCTGCTCAAAGTTAAGGCGTCTCGTACTTGCTTGTAGATTAAGGTCCTTATACCAGCGGCGAAACTGTGTTGCGTCGTCCACCGAGGGAAGCTCCAACAATGCAATGTCTTTCGGGTTCTGCAAAGCTTGTCCACTCACCGGGACAACAGGTGCTGCGGCGGGAGGAACAGCAGGCGGAGCTGCCGGTTGTGCGCCAGGTGGTTTCCCAGGTTCTCCAGGCGCTGGCTGGATGTTTTGATTAGAATTCCAAATGCGGTCCACCAGGATGGTACGATTGCCAAGACTGTTCAGGCCACATAGTTGCGTCCAGTCCTTGATTGCCTGAGCGGTGGCTTGCGCTGCGTTCCTATCCCCGGATAAGCTGACATCATGCGCGGCCAAAGCTGCCTGTAACGCGTTCCTTGTTCCCGCTGCGGCTACACCCACAGCTGCCGCCAACAGCCGCAGACAGGGTGTGGAGAATTCGTCGAAAGTGTGTTGTGCCATTTTTTTTTTTTTGAAAGTGTGAAGGAGAAGATGAAAATAGAGTCTAAATGTTTCAGTTGATATACTCAGAAGGTCGCAAGTTTTAGAAATTTGCTAACTTACGACAAGACCTTATTTAAATAAATTTGAATGATTTGAAAGTAAGAAAAAGGATTGCAAGTAAGGCTTATTTTATTTTTGATTATTTTTGTGCTCATAAGACTAGGTAGACTGTTAGAACAGTCATCCACATAAGATGGCGTCTAACGTGTCGCCCTTGTCAAGTATTACGCAAATACTACCTAGCACTGTTGTGTTAGGGAAGAAACTTGAGTGATGCATTTGAAAGAGTCACATCGTCTTGATGGCTCTAGGCCTGAAGATCAACACCATGATCTTCTTCTAGTTGGTCCCTCGGACTGTAGTCCTTCACCTCAATGCTTATGGTAGTTGATCTATGTATTGGCCTGTTTGATCTAGCCACTAGCTTCATTGTGTAAGTGATGATAGTGATCTTGATGCGATTGATCTACGACCTGATTGGTAGGATCTTTAGGTGCAATTTGATAGGTTGATAGGCTGATCTTATGTTGTTCCAACATTATTCGTTTTTTATGTCGTGTCATTTTTTACTAGAACTGTCATGGACTGCAATGCTCGTCACGGTTTGCCGCGTTTTCTCCTTTACGGGGGTCTGACGATCTGACCAAATATTCCTTCAAGAGTTGACGACTTTTGCAAAGAAATGCTTGCCCATAAATACATAAAAAAAAATCTATGACTAATGTCATTGAAGCCGTGCCAGCTTAAGTGAGTCCACCCATTGTTCACTTGGAAAAGTAGATAGACCACCAGGGGAAGCCTTAACCAGTAGTTTTTGAGATCCAAAGTGCTCGCCATTGGATTCTAACCATTTCACCTTTTGGCGGTCTGACGGTCTGACCATTAATCTTGTCTTCACTTGGCGAGTTTTGCACTCAAAGCAGCTCACGGCCCCATAACCATACTCAATAACACTTACGTAAAAGAGGAAGGCCTACCTTTTTGAAGGTCAGTCTTCGACATTTTTGTTACACATCAAGGCATCATGGAAGCGACTGATAGGATACGATAGGAGCTATGTGTTGACCTAAAAATTGATGGGAGGCAAGGCCTAGTCGTGGGCGCCACCGCTTATTTTTCATATTTAGATAGCTGAAGTCACGTAAGTGCTTCATCGCATAAAAGTCGGCCCAGCTACTAAATTCTATCATTTCTAGGCTTCGTAGCTCCTTCTGTTTAGTAGCCACAATTTATTAGGATACAACAATTTTTGCTCCACGACCTGCTCCTCCAATAGTTTCAGCAATTATACCCAGTGTCTCTTCTATTTATTTCCAAATCTATCACTTTTCATCATCATCTATCTTAAAAATATTAGACCGCGCTAGCATCCATCCTCGTGGATGACCATCAAGAAAAGCGAATGTTGTTATAATGATCTATCTTGTTGTTCATGACCACTACTACAACACCGATAGAAAACTTATTAGACTTTTTCACTCCAATTCACCAACAGTGATTTATTTTTTTGATAGATGACGTTAACTACTCGTCTCCATTTTTTTTTATTCATCCACTTTTTAATATTTTCTATTTACAACATTGAAAATGATCCCAAACCCGACTATTCTTCTCATACAGTAATACTAGCTTCTATCTACAATTTTTACTTACGGAGTAAAAAGGTCGGCCCCATGACGATTCATAGTTACGCAATCATGGTGATGAATGATCGTCATCATAGATAGTAGTAACCTGAGTTGTCAGCGAAGCCTTCCTGCCTAATGAGTCGTTGTCTTTCCTTCACTAGTCGACTTCGACATTATCATCATACTACCTTCATCACATAAGCGAGTAATTCTTGACAGAGATCAGCATCTAGTTCCTTTCTCCAGGTTTTTATCAAATAGACCCAGTTTATCAAATAAGTAGACACATGTTGACGCCACCTCTCCTGGAAGATCTTCTGAGCAACATGATAGCCCTAATTCTATCTTTAGAAGATCGTATGTGTGTATGTCGACATTCATGATACTATTTTTATTGATTTTCATCTCATTTACTCTGTTTTAAGAAAGTATACCTCCAATTATTTATCTCCTCATCTTCCACAACTTGATTTGTAGTTCTAGGAACGATCTTCTACCACTTGAGGGTGGCGCTCCTTATTCAAAGACGACATGAGACCTTCAAGCTCCCGCTGCTTTTCCACGTTAGCGCGAAGCGTCGCTGGGAGATTGTGGCACTCGGTTTCTGCTTTTTGAAATGCTTCGTGTCGTGCGTCTCTGTGGAGCTGGGCACAATGCGGATGAGACCATACGAGTTGCTGATAATGCGATTTCAAGTATCCCAAATACTCCCTGGTTTGGGCGTAGAGGTGCACCTTCAGTTTTCGTGTTTCTGCTTCTGCCATTTCGTTACTTTTCTTCAATTCGGCTTCGATTGATTGTATCTCAGCTGTGTGCTTCTTGAGGGCAGCAGCCAGGTCGTTCTCGAGAGTTGCAACCTCGACCGCCTTCGCTGCAACCTGGTCCTGCGCCGCGCGTTCGGCATCTTGTGCAGCACTCAGCCTTTCCCCGAGCCCGCCAACCGTGTCGGTCGCATCACGCAGCTTGCCTGTGAGCTCAGCAATCTCCTTGTCCTTCGCCTCCAATTTCTGCTTGGCCTTTTCGGCTTCTTCGTCATTGCCGCCATCACCAAGACAGGCTTGGCCACAGAAAGTTCCAGCGGCATGTCCAGGTAGTTTGTTGGGCTGGGTGGAAACATCAGGAACAGCAGAAGCAGCCTGAGTGCTGGAAGAGGAAGCTCCAGAGCCAGATGGTCCACCTGCAACACCTGCACCATGACCATTAGCATCTTGTGTTGCCTCCCCTCCAATAGACGGAGTCGTGAACGAAACGGCGGACACAGTTAGCACACCAGCGGTAGCAGCCGTGGTGGCGGCGCGCGACGCGCACGAGCGGCGTTCGCGTTGGGTGCGTTGCCGTTGAGAGCGTCCCATCTTTTTTGTTGTTTCTTTTACTTACAATAAATGTCAAAAATTCGTGTGGAGGTCAAGTGATTTGACAGACTCGAAGGAAGAAAATATGACTCAGCCAACCGACTGTTGATCGATGTTGACGATATAAATAATGATCCTTGATTGATATCAAGCTAACGACTCGAGCTAGGAACTTCTTCTTGAAAATCTTATGACACTGTATATGCCAAGAAGAATCCGTGTAGAAGTTGTTGTATGACAATATATGCCAAGAAAAATCCGTGTAGAAGTTGTTGTATGACAATATATGCCAAGAAAAATCCGTTTGGAAGTTGTTGTATGACAATATATGCCAAGAAAAATCCGTTTGGAAGTTGTTGTATGACAATAAACGTCAAAACCTGTAACGAAGAGAATCTTCGGGAATCCTTTCCTGTTTTTGGGTCGCTTGAGTCAAAAATGGTCTTGCTGGTATGATGTCTCTATCAATTGTAAATGTAAAATGTCTTGTATGATATTTTTGTTTTGATTTGACTGTAAGAAGTAGAATAGATGACTGAAGTCCCCTTATCAACCACGAGTACGACTCCCAAATCGTTCGATCTCAACAGAAGATCTCGAACAGAAGAGAAGTAGCACTCTCACTCAGACAGAAGTAGCACCCCTCAGACAGAAGAAAATGGAAATCTCATAACGATCATCTCACAACGATATCAATGTCAAGAATCTCACAACGATAGCAATGGCGACTACAAACTTACGACTTTGCAAACCTCCCTGCCTTGTCTAAAACCATCGCTCTCGTCGTCCCCTGCATCATGGTAGTTCTTGTAGAGACAGAAAAACAGTCAGGGAACAGATCTAATGCATCAAGAATCGTCACTCCTCAACTCGTTGTGATAATATCATTTCTCTTGTCCACTAAGATATTATCTGGAACACAAGAGGGATCGTGAGGTCACTTCCACTGCAAGTGATTTTTCTACAAAGGAGAAAGCATTTGTCAGTTGTGATTCTTGTGTGTAGAAATCTGAAATCATCAGTTGTATTGCTCCGAGATCGCCATCACTTCACTTAGACTTAGATGCGGTGTAGTAGAAATCTGCGGTAGTTGAAGACGCGTTGAGTCTCTAGATATCAGACTTGAAAACGGTGCATTAGCAGGAGTATCATGGATTGATATTGTGTTGAAAAAAGACTTCTCTAACCGGGGATATGTACTACAATAAGCACAATTCGATCTTTGTTCCTCGCAGTAGATCTGATACCCATTCCCCTATCTCCTCATTCTCTCGATCGACATCGTCCTTGTCCTTAGGGGTTTCGAATTGGTGGAAGTATCTCTCATGATCTAGCATTTCTGTGGCTCCTTTTCCCCTTGATGAAAAAGGCTTCGAAAAGCGTATAGAGTGGTAATTTTTTTACAGCCGTCCTTAATGTTCTTCGTGTCCTCTTCTCTAACCGGGGATACGTACTACAATAAGCACAATTCGATCTTCCAAAAAAAGTCCTTTGCTTCCTTGCTTCGCGGCCTTGCTTCTTCTACTTACGTATTCAATCTTATTTTCTTTGACCTATTAATCCCATCTTCATGGGATCTAGCTAAGAAAGAAAAGTCAAAGGTGATGAAAGTATGTAACAGTAAGTGTCATCAAAAAACAGAAAGTTGAAGTGAGAGTACGAGGAGAACAAGTAAATGTAGATGTACAGACTTAAAGTTAAATATGAGGAACAGCGATATTATAGTACTAGATGTATTCTCTTGGCCAAGTCTATTATGATTGACCAATCGTTGCCTCTATCGAAGATTATCCTCGTGCCTCTATCAATTTCTATCCCTTCCTCTTGCTTCTACTTTTGATTATCCTCGCCCTTGCCTCTATCGATTTTTATATCCTCTTCTTGCCTCTATCGATTATCCTCCTGCAGCCTCCCACATCGAAGGTTATCCTCCCCCTTTCCTCTCCCGAATCGAAGTTCATCCTTCCATTTCATCCAGGATTTTTCTTCGTTTGCTTCGGATTCCCTCCATTAGACCCAGCCTTCGTCCATCTTGGTCCTCTCATCCCGACCCCTTTCCCCTTGTATTTCATGAGAATACAAGGCAAAAGGGGATCAAGATGCCGAGAAAGATGGACACTAAATGCTGACCATAACTCTAATTGGTGCAAGAGTTTTGTTTCTTCGGACTGCAAATTCTCCAAAGCCAAATGGTTTTTTTTCTGCCTCCTGACGATGGCAACGTACTCCTTTCCCCATTGGATTTTGCCGCCATCCACATCCTCGACGACCCTTTTGGTACGATTCTTGGCATCCGATACCAAAATCGATAGGCCTGGGGCAATCTTCTCCAAATCCTTCGATGCGTTAGAGCAAGGCACTTTTACTTATGTTCTCAACTATTCAAGCTTGTGGAGTGAGGCTCTTGTGGAGTAGGGATGGCGCCCTTTCCTTTCCGTCTTCCCTTAAGAAATAGATACCCGTTCTTTCATCCCTTGAGATAGCTATGATCCTCTGGACAGACTTTAAACTGGACTATCAACATTCATAGTCTAACTGGGATGATCTGACTTCTCAGCATAGTTTACAACATCGGACGTCGATAGTGATAAGACACAACATCGGAAGATAGTCATAATAGTACACAACTACAACTAGTAGATGGGATAGTGATGCACGACAACTAGATGGAATAGTGATAACACGACAATTCAATTCTCTACGGATAAAAAGTGATAGTTACACGACAAGGACAATTCAATTGTCTACGGATGATCCGAGATGGGATACTTACTCAATAAGTACACAAACACAAGTGCACATATACACACACACATAGATAGTGACACACATTTTTATACGCAGCAAGACTTCTAGCCTTAAATATATTGGGCAGCTCTTGACTCAGCAGCTTGAGGTGTGCTTCGTCGCATGCTTTTTCGGGATCTGCTCTCTCGGGATCCTCTCCTTCGTTCGGCGCATACCCTAAAGCGTCTAAATCCACACTCAGATTGCCAGTCCAGCACTCATGTAAAATCAAGCCCAGAGAGAACCAGTCCGTATAAAAATGGTAATCCCCTGTCTGATGAGCCGAAGAAGAAGAAGCTCCCTTCCTATTTTTGCCTCGTCCATTAGGCGCGGCTGAGTTAGAGGAGCTGTCTGTATGCCTCTATCCAGTGAGTACGATCTCCTCTAGTGAGGAATGAGCAATCTGCTCTACACGGGAATGATAGATGAGTGAGTATCTCTTTGTACCATCCCCTTTCTGCTGTAAGTACATGGTTGAGCTTCTTGGGGGATCCCTATACTTACGCTGTGAAGATGAGTTAGCGCATGTGAATAGCGAAGAAGAAGATAGCCTTCGACGGATTGTGTTACTGTTGATCTTAGTGATGGTCTTAGCATCCCACCTCTGCATAGTCTTAGTCATAGATACAGCATTATAGAGTTAGCGACCTGAAGATCGGTAGTTATTGTGCTGTTTGTTACAGGTTTTTGTGTTTGTTACAACTTGAAGATGCTTCTTTATTCAAGTAATAGCAAAGAGCTTAACTGAGGAGGAGAGCCTAGCTGTTGCTCCATTGGCATTATCAGCGCCTCCTGTTGTACTCCACATTAGCAATTCGGGAGCTCGATAAGGCCGCGTGACGCAAATACCTTCATCGACGACCTTTTTCGGCGTTTTCGTGACTATCTCCACCGAACCCAGATCAGAGATCTTCACTCTAACTTAGAAGAGACGAGACAAATAATTCAGCAACGTCATCACTCTAACTTAGAAGAAACGAGACAAATAATTCAGCAACATCATCAAGGGTCGGAGAAGCTTCGTCAACAAGGGTCGAAGAAACTTCGTCAACAAGGGTCGGCGTCGGTCGTCATCATAATATTATCTGCAGCCCCGAGGTGGACCCTATCCCTATCATCTACTTACTAGAGGAGATCACAACCTTATCCGATAGGAGCTATAGGGCACTAACAGTCAACACATCAGTGTCTTCTAGTATTTCTGATGCTGTACTATGCAAAAACAAGGAGACTTCCAAGAAGATGCATAAGAAAGCTGTAGCTGACGCTGAGTAGCATACATAATGATCATGTAGGCCTACTTCAGAGTGCAAGTGCAAGAAAGAGCTTACTTATCCTCTATTACGAATGTAAATGAGTGACTTGACCATAATGAAAATAGACATCATCGTCTCCTCCTCTTTCTGAGTTGGAAATACCCAGTTGCATCTTTTTTTTCCCTGAGACCGCGGCTTTCCGGTCCATTGCATTCCAATGTCTGGGAGGCATCACTACGACGTTTTCTGGCTTCATTGGAGCTACCGCCTTGTTAGCATCTTCCTCTTTAAGAGTGTTGATAGGATCCTTGATCGATGGGTGCTTCTTTTTCAAGTAGAAAGCCTCTTTTTCAAGTAGAAATGAGGTTGCCAAGGATGAGGTATAAAAAGGGCCAAGGATACGGATCGATCGGATGATGCTGTTTGAGGATCGATGCTTGAGCGGTTGTAGCCTTAACTTCAAATCTAGATGAACGTAGGAGTTTTTCTTCAAAAACAGTAAAGCGTCATGCATTTGAGGCCCAATCTGCCGGATCACATTTTTGTTTTGCACCGTCAATCCCTTCTGGACCATGCTGTGCAAATCGGAGTGGGCCAACTCAAGCAGTAAGCACTTGTGTGGATCGGTCCCCATGAAATGGAAATGCGCAAATCCGTAAAAATCGATGATGTACGGACAGCTATCGTTAGAAGTAGTTGTACTACTTGTATTAACTAGTAGACCTAAAAAAAGAGAAACAAACAAGCTCTGAAGCGGAGAGAACAGTGCAAAAAAGACGTACAACATTGCTAATATCTTTCGCCAATTATACTCATCTGCTTGAAACAAGAAAAGCGTCTTATTTTGGGACGTTTTGGTTTCCTTTTTCTTAAAGAAAAGGAAACCAAATTGGAAGAAAAAGAAAAAGACACACCCCTTTACAAGCGATGAACAATTCGTTTGCGTGTACTGAGAAAGAAAGGAGCCTTAACATGGCAACTGCGCAGGACAGAGATTTCTCCTTGCATTTCGTCTAAGCTAGCCTGAGATCGTAGCGCTTTAACCGCCACAACAGGAGGAATAGATTCGTGGATCACGTGGTCGTCAATTGGGTACAACTGCAGTTCTCCGTTAGCAGAAGAAGAAGAAGCTTTTTGATCCCTGACGCGTTTCTTGGCCTCAGCTTCACCAGGGATCGACAGGAGAGTGGAAGTAGATCCACCATTTGTATTACTCGGCGAGCAAGCACGTGCAGGCCCTAAATTCGATGGTCCTCCATTGGTGCCGTTTCCGCCCCCGTTTCCATTGTTTCCTCCAGCCCCACGCACCAGCATCGATTCCGCAGAAAAGACCGAACTGAATCGACCTTCCCCTAATTTCTTGGCGATCTTGAAGCGAACATCGTGCAGACCACCTTCCCCCTCTATGACGTCGCCAGCGTACAGGTTGGCGCGTTCGCCCAAGTCCTCGTCATCCGAGTCGCCTTGCAACCGAGCAGTCAAACGACGCACCGCACCGACGACGTGTCTCAGCGGAGACAAGAAATGGAACCCTGAAGATCTTGGCGAAACTGCAGCCTTGCTGTCGCCTCCATCAGGAGAAGCTATATGGATGGAAGCAGCCAACATTGTTTTTTCTGACGAAGATTGTTCTTATAACGAGATATACTTATACTTACTCAGGAGCAGCACGAGTATCTGATATTAGATACAATTGATGTCGCCTAATCAACAAGACTGTTTTTTCTATATTACCCGATCGGATAATATCAAAGTTGGTGTCCTTTAGCAAATATTTTGGATCATGATGCACGTGCGAATAAAGATCAGTAGACCTACCTTATACAGCAAGAACAGTAGAGTACGTAAGCTGGATTAGCAAGAACAGTAGACCCATCTTCTAGGGTCAATGCATTTATTCACAAGACGAGCGATAAGAGCGATAGATGGAAAATATCATCATGCGCAGAATGGTTAGCTAGTTTGACGTAGTTAGATTGATGTGACCGAGCACCCAAAGTTTCACTACAACTGTTTTTCTATCAAAGATAGAGGGTCGACGTCGAGTACAACAAGACTAGCCATCCTGGTCCACCTGATATCGAAATTTACTTCTACTATGACTATACATGCGGATAAACGGGAAAATGCTGTGCGCTCCAAATACAGACATCGAACACTTCTCTCCTGTACCAGATACCAGATAGAGACATCAGGCACAGACTCAGTGACAGAAAGTTTTAGTTTAGACCATTTGATCATCTTCTTGAAATAATCGTATTTCACTTTTTCAAAATCGTTATCTTGATCATCGACCATAATGACCTCGCTCCCCCTCCTCAAACACAGATAAATAATACGTTTTTCTCTCTCCTCAACAGATCTCATCGTTGATCAAGATACAAGATAACACTATCTATCACCACTCGCAAACCATGATCTCTACGCAGACTGTTACTAACACTACAACTGGACAAAGTCAAATTGACACTACCTCGCGACACAACTCGTCGTGGCAACTGATCATCGAAATTCATTTATCGATGCTGAGGGATCGATTTCGATCCTAGCACAGTTTATCATGGTCTGTTGAAAAAATGTCGAAATCCTCACAACTTTTTTTCTTTTTTGGGAATTTTTGGAAGCATTCTCATTACCATTTTTCAACAACTCATCAATGGAGTGAAACTCATCAGTATGGAGTACAACGTTTTGTACTTAAACAACTTTTCCAATTTAAGTATGATGTTGGGGGAGGGAGTTCGATGATCTTCTTGTGGGGCTAAGCACAATTTCTGATGGCTCTGATAGATTGTTTTCGGGAAAGATGGTGTCTTGATCCTCTGGGGTTCTGACTTCTGGGGTTCTGACTTTGATGTTGACGCTGTAAATTCCGAGTAAGAAGTATAAGTGACCAACATCTTCAACATCTTCTAGTGCCGCCCTTTCTCTTAGTGAACCTTAAGCCCACTTATCGACACCTTGTTGATGTCTTCAACAACCAAGACACACCTTGTGTCTACTTAGTTATCGACACCTTCGACCCACTCGAAGGGCTCTGGCGGACTTGGCTCGGGATCCTCGATGGCCTTGCTAGCCTCCACGAATTCTTCTGGCTCACCAGGATTGCGATCCTCCAACAGCAAAAAGCCACTCTGTCGCTCGTTTCCTAGCAGTGGGACGTAACGGACCGGACCAGAGGAGGTGAGTGTTAGAGGTTGAGGCACTAGAGTAGTAGTAGTAGTAGTAGTAAACCCATTCTAGGGGTACCTCATGCTCGAGCTTGAGGAAGGAGTTGAGGTACTACTAGACCACGAAGGCACTTACGTCGGTTTTCTAGGTTGAACAAGTACTACGAGAAGTAGAACAGAAGGTCCTTACTAGACGGTCCTTGTCCTTCAAGAAGAAGGAGGCACAACTAGTAGACTCACAACATTTAAAGCAATTGTTCGTGTAGATGCAGAACATGATGATTAAGGGTATCTATATCAGCATCAATTCTTAATGTCGTTGTTGCTCCTGCTGTGGATGATCCAGATGCTGGCGCCTGCTTTGGACTGCTCGGGGCTTGAGATGTCGCTGGCGGGGAAATACCGCTACCAAGATCAAACTTGATGAATTTTTCTTGCGCTGGGACTACGCGTGATGGATTGTGCAACGTCATCAGAGCTGGCAATTTTTTCTTCGCAGCCTTGTCACTGTCCTTCTTCTCTTTGTCCGTGCTGGCAGCAGCTGAGTCGCCAGCTTTGTCCTTGGTCTTGTTAGAAGGAAAGGAAGAGGAAGGGATAGAATATTTAGAAAGATGACGCAACCACTGGGACTAGTTGTAGAATGTCGATGTCTACCTTCACTAGACACTATTCAATAGAACTACAACAAGTAATTTCATTTGATTGTCCGTATGGTTTTTTTTTCAGAATCTTGAAATATTACACTATCACTACTTACTTCTTCTGCTTCGCGCTTGTGCTTCAAATCGAGATACTTATGGTAGATAAGCTGTCGAGTCATCATAACTCCTTCTTCATCGACGTCCATTTTTTCAACATCATCAAACATCTTGGCCATCGCGGCTACCTTCTTAGGCGCATCCCCCTCACCCTTGCTCGGAACCTTCTTTTTTTCTGCCTCGGTCGTGCTCGATAGTCTTAGAAGGTGGATGCACAGAGGTAGACCAGCGAGTGTGGGATATGTAAACGGTTATAGGTGGTCGTGAATAGCTATACAATACAACGTTACGAGGTCGAGGGAGTATTAACCAATACATAGTTAGCATTAGAGGAACTTTTCAGTGCAGGAGTATACAGAATCTAGTGCAGTTACGGGCTGACGCGAGTACTTCAGAGTCAAAAACTGATGGTGATTCTGCACGTATATTGACTTGAATATGGATGACTTTGAAATCACAAAACGAGAATTTTTGATTTTGTTCCATTTAATTCGAATTCATTTCTTGAAGAGCTCAAATCTCTCAGGAAGTGCATATGTGAAGAAAATCTACTTGGTCTAAGGTCTATTTTAACTATTTCTCTAAAGTTGAGATCTAAAATTCTCTGGAACGTTTGAATTTCAAATCTGCAAACCAAGAAATTTTGACTATATTCCATTTTAATTCAAATTCATTTCCTGGGAGTCCAATTCTCCAGAGAATGAATCTGACACATTCTTCATCATAGAATTATGATCCTATTTCTTTGAAGTATCAAGAATACTAGAAATATACATCCTAATACCAACAGTATGCTATAAAAATATTACTCTAGACACCATTTTGACTGCCATGTACATCCATCTAGAAGTGTCCTATTAACTCTATCTAAGATCACCAAGTCATGAAATTGAAGCACCATAAGCATACTGCATCTCGTAAGTATGTACTCCTTATCTTATTCTAATTATTCTATCTGTACATGCACCACACTACGTTTCTGACCACTTTTCTAATTCAACAAAATTCTCCACTAGTATCTGTTGTATCTTTTTCACTGGTCTTATATTCCTTCGTCTCTCTCGCTTAAGACACAATAAGGATCCACGATCTTGAGACGACTAGAATTTGCATACTTACTATGCTGCACAACGAGGTGCACAAGAGGCTCAACAACCATGTAAGTGCACTAGAATCTGAAACCCTAGGCCCTAATCCTAAGTACTACTTCTAATAGATTTCGTCAGTACATCACCATAAAGGAGTCGCCGCTTTGTCCGTGCTCACGCCCGCCTTGATTCCTTTTCCTTTCTTCGCTGCTGTTGACAACACGGCCTTGGTCTTGACTGTTTCCTCTGCCTTCTTTGTCTCTTCAGGCGCTGGATACTCAAAAGCGCTCTGCTTCACCTTAGTCTGCTCTCGAACGTCAGATTTAAACGAGAATGCCTTAGGCATCTTCAGGCCTCTGATTAGAGAGGCTCAGAGGCACAAGAACTAAATCAAAAAGTTTAAGTTTTGCTTTAACTTTATCGAGGATGTAATGATTGAGGATGTTGAAAACCAGATACTAACAGCAGGACGAGTCCTTGCTGCTACAGCCCACTTCGGTCATTTTCATCATGTCCCTTGTGCCAGTTTCACTTTCATCTGAGAGATTATCCTGAAGTCCTTAACTTATTAAGCCCAATCAATGCGGTTGGGTTGAACGCGAGTGACAAGCCGTGAATCAACGGAAACCAATACCACATCTGTGTAAAAAGAAGGAAGCCGACAGCAGCTCCTTGTCTAACGCCACCGCTCTTAGCAAAAAAAGACGCACACACGTTGCGACCGCCTGAGGGTAGAGGAGAGAGGAGCTGTTTTGTGAATGTCCATGTGGCTGTTTTGCTTTTTTTTGACTGAAGGAAATCGAAATTATCAGATGAAGATCAATATCATTGCTTCATCGAGGGCCGACGCCCTAGTCTTTACTACATCCTCTGAAGGACTAAAACAGACGGAGCCCTTCCTTCATCTTTTTCTTCTTCTCCTCCTCCTCTATCGTCAACAAAGGACTAGATTGGGTTGTACCTGAATCAAACTAGAAAGAGGATGATCCTTCGTGCCAAGAGACTGAGTACTCTAAATTGAGTATAGTGCCAGAAGTGCACGAAATTCCGTACCTGCGTCAATAATTCCTTGGGCCAAGAGTGCCCCAAATCGTGTGATCGAATCCTCATGCTTATCGCCGATCGCCCTAGTGATGTCTGCCCTGAACTTCTCCGCTCCTTCCGAAACACTCTGCATAAAGAGCAAAGCTAAGCTCACATAAGCACCCTGTCGAACGAAATCGCGAGGATTAGAGCAGGAGTCCTTCAAGTCTAGAAGAGATTCGGAGACGAAGGGTTTTGATATGTAGGAAGAAGGGTAGTATACACATCCCTTCTTGAGTCATCTCTTCAAAATTCTCACCAGTCACGACTTCTTAGTACTATAGCCTAAGCCTTCTTCTCAGTAAATCTATCCCTGAATATGGAGGATTGATTCATCAAAAACCAGATACGACCCTCGACCTGATAATGCATACATTTCGTCCAGGTCATTCCCTTTCCTATTTTTTGAAATCTACTGTTGGCGCCTTAATATTATCCGTGAGCAGTGGTCTCAAAATCTCTTCGGCGTCTGCGTTGGCCGAGCCTGCGCTTGAAATGCCCAATGCCATTGCTGCTGCATAACGCACGTGAGGGTTGTAACTGTTCGCTAGTAGCTTCACCATCTCTGGCACCCGCTGAGGCACGTTGCACATCACGAAACTGAATTATAATAAGGTCCGAGAGTGAACTGGATCTCATCTCACTCGCCAAAGGCCAAACTTTTCAAAAAACCCAAAACTTTTGCCCAAAGCCCAAACTTTTCCAAAAGCCCAAACTTTTTGCCAAAGCCTAAACTTTTGCAAAACCTCAAACTTTTGCAAAAACTCCAAAATTTTTGCCAAAGCCCAAACTTTTCCAAAACCCCATAATTTTTGCCAAAGCCCAAACTTTTGAAAAGTCCCAAACTTTTTGCCAGAGCCCAAACTTTTTCCAAAAGCCAAAACTTTTCCCAAAGGCCCAAACTTTTTCCAAAAGCCCAAACTTTTCCCAAAGGCCCAAACCTTTTCCAAAAGCTCAAACGCTCCCCAAAGCCCAAACTTTTCGCCAAGCCCCAAACTCTTTCCAAGCGCCAAAACCTTTCCAAAGTCCCAAACTTTGCCCAAAGAAAAGCCCAACCTTTTCCCAACAA